AACTACAGGTAGGTAAAGAGTTTGTGGAAGGAAAAAATCGTAATTTTAAATTTAGTTAATCATATTTAAAATTGGTTAGGTAACTTTATTAAGTAGTATTAGTATGGTATTAATAAAAAGTTTAGAAACCCCGTTTCACAAATAATTGTTTTATCGCGATGCGCATTTCGAAGGCTTAGCCTTCCTCTTCAGACGAAGGGATTGTAAAGTAAATACAATTCACAAAAATAAATACAATTTAAAATTCCTTCACCTGAAGAGGAAGGCTCAGCCTTCAAAATGCGCATCGCGACAAAACAATTATTTGTGAGACTGGGTCTCTAAACTTTTTATTAGTACTCCTTACTCACAGTGCAATTAAATAGTTTAAATTAGTATGGTATAATTAGTATTGTATAATAATTTTATATTTTTGGAATAATAATATTCTAACTTGTCTTGAATTTAATTGCATTAATTATTTAAGTACATACTTGAATCTTCAAGCATTACCTCTTGATTAAATATTAAATACTTTGATACATACTGATTACAAGAGCTATCGCCAGATTATCCTAGATTACTAAATTTTAATTGAAATATTCATATATAGATATCATTCAAATTTATTCAAATATTTAATGCAATAATTTATTTCTGATGGCTCTAGCAAAATTATTCTCGGTTCGATTCGAATGTAATAAAACTTTTTAGATTAATGTGCACCGTAGATTTTAAAATAACTGACCTTTAAACACACCAAAATCCAAAGCCTAGTATATTAACTGTTGAGTGCCCATGCAGTATTTACCTTATGCGGCTCATTTCAATGTACCATCCAAGAAACTTTGGAAATTTTTACGTCTGCTCCTAAGATGTACAGACTGTAAAATTTCGCATGTTAATGCATTTAACGTAATTTTTTTCTGTTCTATCTTCAATACTAAGAACTCGGTCATCAATTATTCCTATTTTTGTTAATATAAGGTATGTTAGGTTATCGCATGCCAAAATTTCGTTAACCTCGCTAGAAATGCCTTTAAAGTTAAGCAATTGCTGTTATCTTTTTTTGGAAATATATTCGTAACGTATTTACTTGTTTTCCCTTTTTTACATTTTATTGTAATAATAATAGAGTTCTTATGTCTGAGCCTAAATATCTACTACATGCTATTACCATATCTTGCCGTCTTGAATCTCTCGAATCATTGCTCGTTCAAAGTTTTCTTGTTTTGTTGTTAGCTAAAAGTAACTTATGGAGTGGTGTCCGGCAGAATACGTGATGTACCCTGTATGCTCTGAGTGTCACTTAGTGATATTTTCCATCATCCAGTAGCGAAGCGATCAATACTAATTGCAAGTGTGTCCTAGTTAATAAAGTTTAAGCCATGTCTTATGGAATTGATGTACCACATCACAACCGAATACGCAAACCTGAAAATCTAAAAAACATCCATCAGAACAAATTGCAATATATAGAAATTGTTTGTCAATTAAATACATCCAACGCTAAAGCATTCGAATATGTTGCATAATTGTTTCCTAATTCAACGCCAAATACGTTCAACGAATTTAAGTGCATAAACATTAGAAATTTAACACTCTGTACATCTCCGTCCCAGGGACAAGCGTAAAAAATTGCGTGTGTCAGAGCCACGTTCTAAAACCAATTAAAATCATTTATATTTTAAAATATTTTCGTACTAAGAATACTCACAACTTCAAGAACTCGTTCACCAATCACTCCCGTGGTTATTGTTCCAATCATATAAGTTAAAACGTGAGCAAATGATATTAAATTAAATTTCTATGAAATAAAAATAAAATATTCTTAAATCGGCCATCTATAATTACCTTACACATATTTACAATTAACTGCGCTATAAAAATTATGGCCATTATAAAACCACTAACTACGAATTGCACGAGCAACGGCCATTTGAACATAAGATTTAAAAGCTCCCAAAATCTGTTAACCAAATATATTAAAATTAACCCAAATTATATCTCTTGGTTTTTTTGATAAATAGGGGAAAGTAGCCATATTTGGACCATTTTTATACTTTTTGGTTTATGGAGCCACATATACACTGTCAATAAAAATTAAGTAGCGGAAAAGTAACTCACAAGGCTTACCAACAAAATGATATTTTTGATTTAAGTAAAAATTATATTTACACCCCTCAAATTTTAATTTTAAAAAATTGTATTTTTGGTCCAAATTAAGAAACCGGTTTCCTAAATTGGACCGCGCGGTTTCCTAAATTGGACCATGCTTTTTAAACGGCAATTGACACAATAGTAAATTTTAGATTTAGAACTAACACAAGCACATTTTGTATAAACCAAAGTGCGGCATTTCATACACTGAATCATTTCGAAGATTTGTACTCGTCCACAAGCTTTTCTAGGAGGTCGAAAAAATCATATACGTTTTCCCTGTTAAAACCCGGTGCCTGTCTTCGGCCCAACTTGGGCAACTTGAAGAATTTATATTTAATGATCAACGACAATCTTAATATAACATAACCTCTCAAAATTAATACTATAAATTATAGATAAATAAATAAACTTTCTGATGATATAATAATTATCGGTAAAACTATCGTTTAAACGGCTTGACAGCTTTTGCACTTACGTCGTTATAATAGATTTGATAATCAATGATACACGAAGTTGTTGTCACGGCGCAAGCACGCGGCATGTTTTAACCCAAATAGTTGCATTAATTGTTTATAAATACGAGTAAAACAAGGGGCCTGTCTATTTTTGCACAAACTTCAACAGTCCGCGGATATCGTGGTGGTCCAACTTAGGCGCTGGTCCAACTTAGGCTACCTTCCCCTATTATTAACACAATGAAAAAGATAGATTATATTACCTTAACATAAATATATGCTGCTTATAGGCTAACATAAGTTTCTGTTCCCGTATTTTTTTCTCTTTTATTTGTTTTGCGTCTTCCAATGTACTTTTAAATACATCCAGAATAAGTACCAAGTAACAACTCATGAAGTGCATCATAATTGCACCTGTTATTACTGCCAATGTTAAATAAATGAAGAGACATACTATAGTAACATTGTAAAATAACCGCAGAGCTGGCTTCACGTCATCAATAAAAAAATACTGCAACATTTCGACATTGTTACAAAATGTTTATTTTATTATAAATACTTGCATACGCTTGGCAAAATATATCCGCATGAAAAACGTTGGGAAGGTTCATCACAAGTCTGTAATTCAACACGAAGTACCGCAGTCACTCCGACGATAACATAAGCAACTCCAGATATCGCAAAAATTATATTATGTATTCTTGTTATTCGGCAAAGCCTTTTATCTAGTACGCTGAGATATGGATTATTGTCGACCATGTTGAACGATTGAAGGCTTGTTTTAGTTCTTATTTTGATTGCGAATTGAATAAAGTAACCGAATGTGCTAGATAGCAAAACCGAGATATTAAATGATATATCTGCAAACGTTCCACCATTTTGATACTGATAGTACAAATAGCCTAAATTTCCAAACAGATATATAACGCTGTAGAGTACCAGCAAAATGTCTTTGATGGTACTTTCAATTAAGCCGTACAAAACTATTAGTACATATCCACACAACAATGAATTTAATATACCAGGATCTGAATTTGCGTACATTTTGAAACAAAGCCAGTTTTATTCAGTTCTACGTGCGTATTGATCACAAACTGCTAGTACTATCGTATTCTTTGATTATTGTATCAAATATTTAAATACCTTCTGATGATATGCTTTTTGGGAAAAATGTTTTTAGTACAATTTAATAATGTTGGAAATATAAATAATGTAATGTTATTATTAATTTATTTATGTTGAATGTTTACCAAATATCTAATTGCATTAAAATATAATACAATATTAGATTATTAAATAAAATATACCTATTGCCCCATTTCAAAAAATGGTGGTCATATCCCATGCAGAATAATTTATTCAGGAAAGTATAAATGAATTTATTACTTTCTTTGGTGAATACGTAATCCATTTTTATATTTGAAATATTTATTTATTTATAATTTTTCGTGAATATTGGATTTACAATTTATATCTGTATGTGTTCTTTATCCACAGATAAATTTTTAAATATTAAAGAACACATACAGATATACAAACACAAAATCAAACACCAATTGCTAAACGAACAGACACACTCAATACACGACACAATTTTTAAACCACTTAACAAACTACACATTCCCACAAACACGATAACACACAATAACACAAACACTTGACACACAAAACACCCCTAACATACCTACTAAATTCAGTTTATGAAGATGCCCTCTGGGCGAAACATGTCAACTCCAAATATAAATTGTAAATCCAATATTCACGAAAAATTATAAATAAATAAATATTTCAAAGTATAAATGAAGTCAAACTGAAATATTTCAAATATTTCAAATAATTCAAACCCAAATATGATTAAAAGTATTAAGTACATAAACATTAGATATTTTACACTCTTTACATCTCCACTTATAAATATAATGTAAATATAGGTATGTAATATTGAATCAAGTTAACTAAACTTAAACAATTAATTTAAAAAACTAGGGTCATGTTTTCGCTGAAAAGAAAGACAACCATCATCATAATTTATTCATAATATGTACGAGTATAACACCTAATTGTAGCTGCTTGTATAATACTGATATAATTTTTCAGTCTTCATTTATTACATTGGTAATTTTATCAACATGTTAATTATAAGTAACCTGTTAACAGATCTGACTATAAGCAGTTCAGCCTATGCAGAAACTAGTTGAAACCAAATATAAAACAAGAGTTGTCTGCGTGCAACCAGATTTTAATCAATCTAAGTAATTACTTTTACGTTTTACGCACGCTGTGCACGTTTTGTACATTTCTCTTCAATCAAAGATTTTATACAGTTATGGTATTATACCATAATTAACACCTTACGGTGAGTTGTTCGACGTCGAAAACCACCGAAGATTCTGCGTCAGTCATGTTGTGACCACTGACTACTGATCGACCAGTATAACAAATAATTTATATTTTAAAATTTCCATTTGATCAACAAAATGAACAAAACCATAAATGTATTAAGGTACAAATACATGTTCTGGCGACTTATTAAATTTCTAATTGTTTTTTGGTTTGTTTTAGTGTCTTTATAATTATTATTTTAATATTTGATAAAATACACCATTGTGATAGTGATGGACATATTATTAATCCAGTTCGATTTCCATTTGGAGGTCCATTTATGGGAGTGAGTACAAATATAAGTTAAATATTAATTAATTAAAAGCAATTTACTTTCAGCTTTTTGTTGCCTTAGCTTTGCCATTAGAATTAGACAATTACAACGTTTTTGTTTCCTATAATTTCGAAGGCAATTATGTGCTACCAGCAAATGATAGCGAGTATGATTACCCACCAATCGTCGAGCGATCGTTTAATTTTGCAAGAAAGTTTGTATACGATGCGCTCGAACATAAACTTGTCAAGTAAATCGATAATCACATTGAAATTAATTAAATTACAATAATATTTGTTATTTTATTCCTATTTATATATTAGTCATGGATATTCTGGCAAAGAATGTCTTCTCCGAGCAATCTGTGAAGCATCAGAACATTCGATGGAAAATGGCGGTGTTTTAGCCGATATTATACATATAATTCTTACGTAAGATTTATTGAAATAATTTTTATTTTTATTTAAATAATTTATTTTATTTTACTTTCAGTCCATCCACCTCAAAATCTGAAAGTCTCAATGACTATGAAAGTGCCGAAATGTACGGCAAACTTCATAAACATTGCAAACGCTATAAGAAAAAGTGTCCATTTAGTGTTCTCAATTTAATATCACGGATAGATAAGATTTTATGATTTTATAGAATAAACGATTTTAATTGAAATTGACTTTTATTTTCTTTCGTTATAATACATACTTACACCGTTAGGCATTGGGTGATGTAAGTTTCTCGCTGATCTAACGAGAGTCCAATGATGTTGATTTATCTATTTAACACGTGTATTTTCTTTGGAAAGTAACTGTATGACATACACGTATACTATATTTGTGTTGACACCTTACTTTGTAGCTTAAACAAATACACGGAATGTATTTTTATAAAGTTGAAGTTAGAATATATGTGTATCAAATTACTAAAATTGCTTAAAATATCTTAATATATATAAATCTCGTGTCACAATGTTTGTCCTCAATGGACTCCTAAACCACTTAACCGATTATAATAAAATTCGCACACCATGTGCAGTTCGATCCAACTTGAGAGATAGGATAGTTTAAATCTCAAATTATAGTCGCAATTTTAATTTATTGCTAATTATTTGTCTGTTATTATTTGACAGTCACAATTATCTGTTAACTCCAAATGATTTTAACAGGTGTCGATACCTTTCGACTGTTATTATTATTAGTTGACAGATAGAAACTCATTTTGACAATAATTATAAAAGTGAATGAATTTGTAAATTTAGAAATGGAAACTGTGAGTTTTAATAATGGATGTGGCACATATAGCTAAAAAAGTCTTTCAGAAATTTCGACAATATTCGTGAAAGATAAGTCGGGACAACGTTCGTCAGGGCCGCTAGTATGATTATATGATACTCGTATATATCTTCTGTTCGTATGTATGTGACTAAGCTCCTCCTAAACGGATGGATCGATTTTGATGAAATTTTTTATGTGTGTTCAGGTGGAATTGAGAATTGTTTAGATTAGTTTTTCTTCAATAAAGTTTTCCATTAGTTTGTTGTGTAAAAAAAAAATGCCTAAAATTAATTGACAGATAGAAAGTCATTTTGTAACAATAATTATAAAAATTAGTCAATTTTGAAATAGAAACTGTGAGTTATAATAATGGATGTGACACATATTGCTAAAGAAGTCTTTAATGAATTTCGAAAATATTCAGGAAAGAAAAGTCCGGACGATGTTCAACAGGGCAGCTAGTATTAAGTAAAAGGTGCAAAGAGTACATAATTAAAATAGTTAAATTACTTTAAAATAGCAACAAAATAACTATGAAGTCCGTTGCTTGTAATTCGTGAGTTGGATTATGATTATATTGGAATAAATTTGACAACGTTGGTTTAATGGATAAGATTGTTGTTGTTTCTTATTTTTCTTGATCGACCAAATTCTTTATATTTTAGGTAATATGGGTGATATCAGAATTTACTATTTGAGTAATTTCCTCACACTCCAAAGACTACCGGTAGTGCCCTAAAGAACCTATAAAAATTAGCGTTGTTACAAACCTTTAAAAATATGTTGTCGGAAACACCCTGTACACCAACTAATTGACTTTTTTGAAGTATCTTACTAACATCTTAAGGTTCATACCTTCTCAATCTTCTAACCCTTATGGAAATGCACTAAAATATTCTTTGAGAATTGACGTCATTCACAAAATATGAAAACATAGTATGGAGAACACCCTGTATCTTGTGAAATTAAAGAGTCTTTTAGTATGTTTTACTCCCATTCAAAAGCTGGAAAGTTCCTCTGAACATTGCATTATCATACACTCTCCTAACCCTTCTTGATGTGCCCTAAAACTCCCTTTAAAAATTGGCATTATTCAAAAAAATTGAAAACATGGTGTCGGCAACACCCAGTATCTTGAGAACTGATTGACTTTTTAGAATTTCGCACCACATGTGTTCAAGAGTATCTCTACACGATAAATATCTTTTCAACCTTCTTCGTTTTGGAAGTGCCCTAAAATTCTCTTCTAAAATTGGCATTTCTCAAAAAAATGGGAAACATATTGCATAAAACACCGGGTATCTCGTGAATTATTTAACTTTTTTTATAGTTTCTTATCACCATGTTATAGTTCGAAAGTTTCTCCACATGGCGCATATCTTCTCAATCTTTTAGCCCTATCCGAACAGCCCTAAAATGCCCTTTAAAAATTGGCATTTTTCAAAAAAATTGAAAACATAGTGTAAAAAACACCCTGGATCTTGACAACTATTGAACTTTTTTCTAGTATCTTGCCGCCACGAAAGCTAGAAAGTTCCTCTACACGATGTATATTTTTTCAATCTTCTAACCCTTTCGTTAGTGTACTAAAATGCGATCTAAAAATTGGCATTTTTCACAAAAATTAAAAACATGGTGTGAAAAACACCCTGTATCTCGAGAACTATTTGACTTTTTTGTTGATTCTTACCGCCATGTTAAAGTTCGAGAGTATCTCTACGCGATCCATATTTATCCAACCCTCTAATCTTCCCAGAAGTGCCCTAAAAAGCACTTCAAAAATTGCTTTTTTTGACCCAAAAATTTCATTTTTTGGTTGAATAACAGGGTTGAACTTGTTTGTTAAATTTTTTTTAGGCCGAAGAACAGGGTCGAATTTTTTATTTTATTTTATTTTGTCAAAGAAAAAAGTCGAATTTTTTGGTCGAATAACAGAGTTGAACTTTTTTCTTAACTTTTTTTTGCTTGAACAGCAGAGTCGAACTTGTTTCTTAAAATTTTTTCGTCAAAACATTAAATTAAAAAGTTGAAATTTTGAATTCCTGATTGATAAAACAATTTTTTTTAATTTAATAAAAGTTATTAATTATGAAAAAAGTGACGTAGGCACCTGACATTTAAAAGAGTTGTCTTATTAATTCTGGAAAGCTACCTCGTGTAGAGGGGCCCTTAATGATAAAATTTAAACAATTTTTCTCCTAATAGCAGTAAAGCTTTTTCCTGCAAATTTCTTTAAGTGAAGTCAATTATCTCTGGAACTAATAGAGATAAACCAAAACCAAAAACACTCCGATGTTCAGCATCAAATCCTAGATAAGATAACATTTAAAAAAATTGAAATATAACATGTACCTTAAAAATTTTCCACCGCGATTTTCTCGGAAAATAATAAAGTTAGTAAAAAACTTTCTTCATTTTGTTCATGCCGTGATAAGGATCTATAAAATGGCAGATTTAGTTTTTCCATTTTGCAAAGTTGACCAAAGACCCCTCAAAAAGATCAAGAGAAACCACTTGACTCTTTTTGGACTCAAAAAATTTTTTTTAAGCTAGAAAAAAATGGAAAACGCTAATCGATTGAGTTTTTCAAGGGGATGAAAGATATGAAGTCAATTTTCCGATAACATTAATATTTCGGAAAATGGGTGGTAAATTCTAAACTGATCTAATAAAACCACTTCTCCGATTTACCCCAAATGTTTCCAGTTGAAGTAAGACATCACCAGGATTCCATTAATCCAGGTTTGATTGCGCTATCTGAATTAGTTGATAACAGTGTTGATAACTAAAAATTTTAACATATTATATAATGTAAAATGTAAATCTACATTAAAATATGAAAACCGTTTTTCTCTACCTTTAATGGTGCTTGAGAACGTATCGATGTATGTACATACTTCGTGGTAATTAATAGTGAGAATTTTAAAAAAGTAGATTTGGTGGCCTATGTTAAATTTTCACAACATGGATATACCACGAAGTATCTATACCTAGATATACATTCAATTGCTTTTTAAAATTCAGTTTTTTGTCTAAATTATTTATTATCTTGTTATTTTAATATCATTTTGTCTATAGGTATAATATGATAAAAATATATAATTTAATATTATAAAAAATTTTCTTTTTCAAATTAGCAATTCTACTATTTCTATTACAGCGAATTGTATTTTAGTTAAATTTTCTAAAAGAGTTTTTTTAAATTAACGCCTATAGCCATTATACACCTAAAATTTACATTCCGATTTTATAGTGAGCACGTCAAACACATTTCGCCTCCTGCGTCTTTTTGTGGTTCTATTTTCGTCCAAATTGAAATAAACAACTCGATTTCACGCTGCGATTTCGTTACACCTTCATGTTCAACCACATCTTTACTGGAACCGCGCTCATAATTTAAAAATACTAAAATAATATCGCTAATTACTCTTGCTTTGTGCATCATCACCATCCACCACTACCGTTTGGATAATATTCGAAAGGGTTGGCGCGTGGCGCAAAACGGTAGTAAAATTATTGATCATGTAAGTTTTCATTCTGGCGTGTACAAGTTGTAGCTTGAGATCGATATTTAGCCGCATTTTTGTTTAGTAACTTGTGAACCACCACGAAGAACGTACATAGTAACACAATCAATGAAATTTTCAAAACACAAACAAAACATAAAATCGAAAAATGTCGTTATCGTTATACATCACAGTGTTGATAACGTTGATATTTTTTATAAAATTTGGTAACATAAAAATAAACGTATATAAAAGTTGTGTAAAACACAATGTGTAAAATTTTCAGGTGATTCAATTGATTGTTTCAAGTGCATTTCAATAAATCGTGATAATCCATCGTGTGACGATCCATTTCATAATAACTTTTCGGTGAAGTTTTTCGAGGCGCCATGCATGGGTGGTCGGAAAGGACGGGATGGGTTATATCCAGCTACTTCCTGTGTGAAAATCAATGGAAAATGTAAGTTCCTCTTAAAATTTCATAAATACAAAAATTTTACGTAATTATTTCATGTAAATACTCATTGGTACTTCAAATAAATTTCGATTATTAAAATTTCCAAATTTTGTTATCAGTTGAGAATGGTACGTCGTTAACGATACGCAGCTGTGAATTAGACAGCGGTACCTTGACAACAGACACCGAATTAATCCGAATGTCTCATTGCGGTGGATTTGTCTATGGAGGACAGTAAGTTAAAATCTATTAAAAGTTCAATTGAGTTGAGCTATATTGAAATATTGATTGCGCTTATCACTAAATCATTCACAGGTACGTGCGTGGATGTGTTCAGAGCTGCAACGACGCCGACGGATGTAATCGCGCCACGATGGCGATATCATCTAATGTCTTCTACCCAACGATCATCAGCGTCTTATCAGTGATAATTTACATCATGTGTTAACACATTTCCGCCACTAATACTCAAATCGATTACTAATTTTCATTTATCACACAGCAGGATTCATTTAAATGTAATTATTTTTGAAACTAATATTCTAACTATTATTATACATTCTAACTATTATTATACACGTGAATATGAATCTCTTTGAATTTTAGTTTGTTTGTGACACTTTCACGCGTAAACCACAAAATCAATTTTGATAAATTTTGGTACAGAGATACTTTCGAGTGTACAGAATCAAATAGGCTACTTTTTGTCACAAAAATTTAACTTGAGGGGCGTAAATAAGGGATGAAAAGTAATAAGGAAACTCAATCATTGTTACAGCTATATAATTTAAACAAAGATGGCGCTTATATGTGTTAATATCATTTCTCATTTCAATAAAATTGAGATCATACCAGAAGAAAATAATTTGTTAATCAACATCTTTACAATGTTTTGATTTGCAAACATTTTTGAACACATTTACGTAATCAACCAAAAATGTTTCGTAGTCAATTTCTAGAATAACATTCACTGGTACTGTCGGGAGAGTTGAGTTGGTCACCACTCCCCTAGACGGTACTCGTCCAACCTCAATTTTCAATGGACTAATGAAATTTTCTATGATTAATTTAGGATTCAAAAATACACCCGGAACAATTGGATCACAATGTTCCCACGTGGCATTAGACAAATCCTCTCCGAAGAGATTTGTGTTTATCTGATCTTGGACACGAGTCATAAAATTCCAAGCTGGATTAGAAACATCTGTAATGTTTTTGTACCAATTCTGTAAAAATAATTTTATGAGCTTCATTCATTTAAAAAGTAGCATATATTACTGTTTTCGGGGTATTGATGGTTCCTGCTTGCCATGTGACTAATAACATTTTTGACTTTAAACTCCTAAAAACAATATCCACAGATTCTGGATCAAACGCAACGTTAAATTCTCCAGCCTCTAAGTATTCCAAGCCTCCCATAGCATAAACTTGTTTTAGATTATCAGCTACTTCCGGATATTGCCAGATGGTCATACCCAAAGTGGTTAAAGGACCCATACTCATGTAGGTAACTTCATTCGGGTATTTCTTGACCAGTTTCTGAATGGCTTCGAATGCTCGTTCAGACTTGAGTAGGTCCACGGGTATGGAAGAGTTCCACGTGAGATCTCCAAGACCATCAGCTCCATAATAACCACCCATTGGTGTATCATGTTGAAGAAGTGCTTGTTTACTACCTAAATAAACAGGGATCTTCTCCAAAATAAAATAAAAAAAATAAAAAATAAAAAAATTTAAACTTATTCTGTTTATATACCTTACATCTAAACGATTGAGAACCTTTAGTAATAAAAAGACATTCCGAATACCACTGTTGTAGCCAGTGTTACCCTCTGTAACCACAATGGCTTCCAATTTAAGAAGACCTTCTTGATCAGCGTTGATCAGAAAAATTAAAGCTTCGATGTCGTCTATACCAGGATCAACATCGGCAATAATGCGCTGCTGTGTGCGTTCATGAAATCCAAGCTTTGCGTCGCTGACCTTGACGGTTAACACCTACGTCAATGAAAGCAGCGAAAACAAATAAAGGCTGCATTGTAAAACCGTTTATCTGGGCTTAAATCACAAGGCACACATTATAACATATGCATATTACCATTGATAAGTCTTATGTCAACATAATCGTATTAAAACAAAAACTAGAATATTCCACTCATACTCACGGCAAGGAAAGCGAAACACACCAACAGTTTCATCGCGCGGATTAATTGCATTTGCAGTGTGCACTTGACAAAAACGAACTGATTGAATGTTGTTGCGCGAGGCTAAGTTTTATATGTAACTAATAATAGCATACACGAATCGGACGTGTAGGGAATGTGCTACAGATAGCCGGCAATTTCGTAAACATGATGATTTATGTTAAAACAATTTATTATTATTATTATTACATGATGTCAGCTACGATAATTAGTCAAGATCTAAGATAATAACCATTATACATTATTGTTTTATACTTGTGCATACTTATAGATAAAATCCCTCATATTAGCAACGCTCGTGTAAACCCCAGGATATTGCGGCTGCGCACAACCGTATCCCCATGAGACTACACCTACTAATTGCCCGTTACCTACTAATGGTCCACCGGAGTCACCTTGACAAGCATCTTTCAATGGCGCGGCCGCACAGAACATATCGTCATTTACATCGTTAATGTCTTTATAATTATCGACACAAGTCTCCTTGTTCACGACGTTGATAATAGCCGCGTTGAGTTGAGATGGGTTCCCGCCTGAAGTCCGGCCCCAACCGGAAATGACAACTTCGGAGTTTTCGCTTGGGTCGTATGAAGTCAACCTCACGGGTTGGATTCCAGCTGAATATTGTACAGATTCAGTCAATTCCAATACAGTTATGTCATTGTACATATTATCGGAATCGTAGTCTTCATGTTGGTTGGTTTTTGAAACTCGTACGACCACACCTCCTTGCGCATGGTAGGATGAACCTAGACGAACGGACAGTTCTGATTCGTATGTACTAAGAAAAAAAGAAATTGAGGTTAGAAATTTAATTGTTAGGTTATGTGGTGTCTTACCCATCGGTGCAATGCGCAGCTGTGAGCACAAATCGGTCACTGATCAAGGTCGCGCCGCAAATATGCGCGCCGTTGTGTTGAAGAGATACTTGATAAGGATATTGTTCGATTTCAACCACTTCACCACCGATCACACGTCCGTCCAATCGTGGCGCAAGACTTTGAACTGAATAAACGCACAAACATGCGATGACCAATTGCAGGCCCTTCATTTTGTGCAATATTAAACTTTCAGCTCAAACCTGCAACGTTCGGTGACCGACTAAATTAATGAGTATCGCGATGGAGATAATACGATATCAAATAAACATTTACCTAGCGTATAAATACAATTAAGGAGGACTGATAAAACAATCATATCGAGCGTGCGCACTTCGACTTTGGCTGTAAAGTGCACTTAAAGCAACACTTGAGCAAAAAAAAACATTATTTAATGTGATGCAATATCGCCTAAATCAATTTGTTATTTATTGATATAGATATCAAACTCATAACGGTGGACTTTAAATGATTTCATAACATTAACTTGAACAACTATAATATAAAAATTAATCGTAAAGTCTGTTGGTATGCGCATAACTCAACAACGCCTAGATCAATTTGGCCAATTCTTTTTTTAAATGTTTGTTAAAGTCCAAAGATGGTTTATACGGTGGGAAAAATTCGAATAATTGCCGGGAAAACCTTAAAGGCGGCCCTTTTTATAGGATAAAAGTTGGCATTAAAATTCAATCATAGTTATAGTTGAATAGTTGAATCCGAGATGGCGCGCTGAAGTGCATTATAAGCTATTCTTTATATAATTAATTTTTTTAATATAAAATTGCAAATCATATTGATAGAATTGACACATACTATGTCCAGAACAAGAGAGTAAAAACAAATTACATTTTTATTAAACACCACCGGGACGAAGTCTCGGGCAAAAGCTAGTTTAATATAGTTATCACAAGTCTAAAAACTCATCAATTACTAGTTCAATAGGTTTGTTGTTCTAGAAACTCATTATGATGATAATAAAACAAGAAATAATTAAAAATTTAGTATAAAATGCTGGACAACGTTAAAGTCTTTTCATTGACCAAGAAGTTTTGCTCAACGTTTAAAATGGGTTCCAAGATGGCGTCCTGGTTAGTTATACTAAGTATAATAGGATACTCTTTTGGTAAAAATAGCTCGTACGTATTACAATATACAATTTGATTCTAATTAATTTATCTTACCAGCTGTGCCAACGACATCAGAAACCAAAGCTGTTGAGACTCCAATGACTTCTGTTGCACCGCCTGAAATAATGGTCAAACATGAACCTTCAAAACTAACCCAACTTGATGGTCGTGTTGTGGGCGGTGTTGAAGCTCGCATAGAAGATTTTCCTTACCAAGTATCAGTACAATATGCGTGGCGGCACATTTGTGGAGGAGCTTTGATAGGCTCGAAGTTTATCCTCACCGCTGCTCATTGCACAGATGGTGTGACAGATCCTAACCTTTTCAAAATACGCGCTGGATCTTCTTTGCACAATTCCGGGGGAATCATGCGATCAGTCCGACGCATCTACCAACATCCTCAGTATAACAGCATCAATATAGATTATGATGTCACTGTGCTAGAAATGAACAACCCAATATTCTTTTCAAAGATAGCTCGACCTGTCCCGTTGATTGATGCGGGTATAGTTGTGCAAAACGGAGCAATGAGTATTGTCTCCGGCTGGGGATATCTATCAGAGAATGGACAAGGACCTCAAAAGTTGCACGCAGTAGAGGTACCTATTGTAAGTCGTGAAAGATGTAATAAAGCCTATGGGGAAGGTGTTATTACCGAACGAATGATCTGCGCGGGTCATATTGATGAAGGTGGCAAGGATGCTTGTCAAGGTGACTCCGGTGGACCTTTAGTATCCAATGGTAAACTGGTAGGAATTGTTTCCTGGGGTTATGGGTGTGCTCGACCCAAATTCCCTGGGGTTTACACCAATGTTGCCGCTATCAGGGATTATGTAAATCAAATTCACAAATAACTTTGATGTTTGGTCTATTTTAGGACTTACATGCATTGCAAACATTGTAATAGTAAAATTAAGGTTATAAACGCATAAATTTTTATGATAGAAAACTTTAAAAATTCTATAAAAACCTATCTCAAGTGAAATCCTCAACGTTTTCCAAAAATGTGTCCAAAATTTTTCTTTTTATTAATAACTATATCTGTGTTATACGTAAAAGTCATTTGTGATGATGAGTTTTACGAGTATTACAACTACGGTGATGAAAAAATCGTCAACGGTTTCGATGCGGATATGAAAGACTTTTACTATCAGATATCGCTCCGGATAGCCGGTAACCATTTTTGTGGTGGTACCATTATCTCGGATCGATTCGTTCTCACCGCTGGGCATTGTATTAAACCACACTTAAGTCACGTAACTAAATTAACTATTCAAGCTGGTACCACTAACGTTGGAAGTGAATCCGGACAAATTATCAGTGTAACCAAAGCGTATCTACATCCACAATTTAACGACACCTCGCTTGATTATGATATGGCTTTGGTTGAGCTTGCAAATGAATTGGATTTCACAGAAACAGCAAGACCCATCCGGGTTGCAAACAGAAAAAAGTTTCCTTTGGACGCGCTGGCTGTAGTGTCAGGATGGGGTTACACTAGTGAAGGAGGAACTGCTGCCAAAACCCTACAAGCTGTCAATGTGCCATTGATACCGCCATTGACTTGTCTTGAGTTTTATAAGAAAACTTTGACTTCAAGGATGATTTGTGCTGGTTATGTTGCTGGTGAAAAGGATGCCTGTCAAGTAAACATATAATAAATATTTGTTTAATTGTGGATCTATTATGTTTTGTTTTAGGGTGATTCTGGAGGTCCTTTGGTGTTTGAAAAAGAAATAATTGGTATTGTTTCATGGGGCAGAGGGTGTGCCCGTCCAAATAGACCTGGGGTTTACACAAATATCTACGCCATGAGGAGTTTTCTTAATAAATATGCAGGAATTGTTTGAATTATGTAAAAACAACTTTAAAACAATTATATTTATCAGTTTGTTAAATTATAAACTTGTAATTTGTCTTATAAAGTTTCTAATTGATGGGTTGGGGATGTTAGTGTACACACCTGGATTATCAGCTCTTGCGCAACCTACTCCCCAAGATATAACACCTGCCAGTTCATTGTCTATTACGATGGGGCCACCAGAGTCTCCCTGAAACAAAACAAATCAAATACACTTGCTTTAGGTTACCATATTACCATATTTTGTACTAACTTGACAGGCATCTTTGTTTCCATCTTTGAATCCAGCACAAAACATAACATCCGAATATAAATACATTTTATAAACGTTTTTACAGTAATCTCTTGATAGTATCGGTACTTCTAGGCTTTGTAGATCATTGGCTGCTGATGCTCCATTTTCGTGTTGATATCCCCATCCACTGACAGTACCAATCATGCCTTCATCGATACTGGTTAATGAAGTTATACTGATGGGTTTAACTGCGTTGCTGAGTTTCATTGGTCGCACTTCAAGCACAGCAATGTCGTAGTTTAAATTATGTAAATCAAACATTGGATGTTTACTAATTTTTACGACCCTGTAGGTTTGTCCACCGTACGTACGGCTTGATGAACCTACGTATACTTTTAGGCTGCTAGCTGAAAGTCTAAATTAAGGTTTAATTCAGGTTTGTAGGTTATATTTTGAGGTTGTGTTACCCATAAACGCAGTGCCCTGCTGTGACAACGTATTTTATACTAACAATAGCACCACCACAAGCGTGCACACCATTGATGCGCAAAGAGACTTGATAAGGGAAGTTTATAATTTGGGCTTTTGTACCGCCAACTATTTTTCCGCCATCACCCGGCATAAAATCATCATAATCCGTGTAAACATCATTGCAAAAAACAAAATTTAAATGGCAACTGCAAGAAACTAGTAATAAAATAATTAACTTCATTGTTTACTATTTATTAAAATATACTGACTAAATTACAAGTTGTTCGCAGTAATTATTAGAGCATAAAGATTTTAACAAAAAGTGATAAGAAAGTAGTCAAATAATTTAATACGTTTTTAAATCTGTGTAATCTATACATTTACCTCAAATATAGATAAAAATATTACATACGTCATACATGTAACCTCAAAATAACCTCAAAATTAAGCCTTAGGTACATGAATGTGTGACTCATTGACCTTTGTTGTTGTTATTTGTGAAGTCTATTTTTATGATTTTTTTCTTTTATTTGTGTTTTTATACTTGTACTAAACCCAATTAATATCTCATTAGTTCCTGCGACCAATAATAACAAATTAATTAACGTTGTGATTTCTATATCAACTTTAAACTGGTTTGGTATCAGTTCAATATTAACTCTGCGTTAATCTAGTCGAGTTGTTGCTTTTCCTGGAAATGTCTACTCCAATGTATCCTTCTAATAAAATTAAACCCGAAATGGCAAAACCTGTACATGTAACAACCGCTGAGGATTTTTATTTTGCTTTAATGCCCTCGTACTGGTTATCAAAAATAATCGGCGTCTTACACCTCTCCTTTGAAGGTCAACCTCCAAACCGCAAACTTATTGTTTCCAAGAATTTTATCTATCTTGCTGCAGTGCGCATTTTAATCGTTTTTGCTGTTGTCGCGTTTTTTCACACTTCGCTCATATATGAAGGATTGCCGGATGAAATGACTACCGTTGTACTAGATATCGACGTGTATTGTGGAATCATCGTGACCATTATTGAGTTAATCTCAGCTATGTTGTCCAGGAAGAGTGACCTGCGTACAATTGAACAATTTATTGAACTGGACAAACGTCTTTCTTCAGCTGGCATTAAAATTGATTATATCAAAGCTAGAAGAGTAGCAATCATCGAAATTGCATTGGTGTTGGCTCAGAATATTTTCAAAACCATCATGCTTGTTATCACCGCGCCGTACAGAATTATTTTAATCAATTCCGGATTGAATATTATGAGTATGCTGAACTCGTTTCAGCTGAATGAGTATATTAACATGGTGTTAATGTTAAAGCAAAGATTTAATTGGTTAAACAAAGCAATTCTTGATAATTACGAAAGAAAATGGCGGCGTGATGATTGTAAAAAGAGTGAAGTAAAGAAAAACATACAAACTTATGGCAAGTTGTATAATGACTTAAGGAAACTGTCCAAACGTGTTGATTCAACCTTCGGGTTTTTTGTGTTGGTGTTGATTATTTCCAGATTTATAATGTTGAATACACTATTGATATATTTGTATACAACTATAAAAAATCCAAATATTCGTAATGGTACAGAATATGCGTCAATTGCAATCAATACTGGTTTCCATGCATACAAGTTAATAATGATCACTTGCATTCCCGCATCGGCTACAAATAAAGTAAATATGATCAAAATATAATTCAATGAAACAATGTGAATTTACTAATTTTTGTCGTTTAAGGCTAAAGAAACGGGTAAATGTTTACATCAAATGTGGGATTTAGATCAGGACATCAGGGATGAGGTATGTTATCAGCCTAATACGCACATAATATATATGTATTTATATCTTCAGATTGCTTATTTCTCAATGCAAGTAATACAACAAACGCCTAATTACACTGCAAACGGTTTTCTTCGCCTTGACTATCCGTTAGTCACGACTGTAAGTTAATATGCACATGTTTGATAAGACATATTTGGTAACAATTATTGACAATTTTTTAGATTTTAGGAACAATTACAACTTACTTGATCATTGTAATACAATTTGATATTAATTTCAATGCTCCACCAACCACATGTCCTTGAATGAATGTTTTTTGTTATTATTTTAAGTGTAATTTTTTCTGTATCGATTAAACAAATATAAATATCATTACATTATAATCAAGTAAATATTTATTTCCTTAGACCAACTGTCCATCCTCTTAACATAATTTATCTTATGTTTTATTCATCTGGTTTCATCGAAAGAGATCTTCATGCAAATTTCACATTTCTTATCTTTTTGTGAAAAGTCTTATAGCAATATTAAGGTTGAAACGCAAATATAATTTTAACTCATTATAATCTCAAAGAATCAAATATTTTTAGATGAAGAACACTAATACTCACTAATTATACACATGAATTATTTATTAAGTTTATTTACCCAAAGTATAACTACAGGGAACTACAGGGAGTGACTACTAAAGGAATAAAAAAACCGGAAGAAGAAAAACTGAATGTCGAGATTTGCCAAGAAAGCGAAAACACAAAACCACGTAAGTCTAGCTAATTCATTAAAATATGATACTTGTAAACTTCTAGGAAAACGCAAAATATCTTTAACAAAAGGCAGACGCACGTACACAACATTTTATTTAAACAGATTTCATTTGATAGTATCCTACTGCTTATTACAAATTGCAGATGTCGCAACCGTATGAACAAATAAACGTAACCTCACTAATCTTGTTCTTCATCGCAACTGTAAACGAGCATATTTTGCTCATTTAGTGCCCAAAAGATGGACAAGCAATTAATTTTAGAGTTAGAAAATGCTGCCACGATAATAATGGTAAGGTACACAATTTTTAACTTTTCAACACCGATGAATAAATCTGACTTTTTGCAACAATAGGCCGCGCCGAATTTAGTTACCAATGAACAAAGAAGAGTTGCAGAGTCAATTATTCTCAATTTTCGTAAGACCAAATCACCATACAACATGTGCAAGCATCTGCTAGAGACGTCTTCAAATGATTATGTTAAATTTGAAGCTGGTGAGGCAATAAAATGTGCTTTGATTCGTGAGTGGTCATATCTCAATGAGACTGATATTTTGCAACTTAGAGATTATTTAATGAATTATGTATGCACCAAAAGTTTGCCCTCATTTGTACAAGAACGCCTGCTGCAGGTGATTGCAATCATGGTCAAGAGGGCAAGTGTAGATGATTTTGGTCTGGAAAGGAGAAGTATTTTACAAGATGTAGAGAATTTAATCATAAATTCAGACACAAATAAAGTAGGTACTTGTTCTATTTAATAATTTAATAAATATTGACTTTGAATTTTTTATAGCAAATATTGGGTTGTAAGGTAATAATAAATTTAATGCAAGAATATGCAATAACAATAAAATCAACCGATGTTGGTTTGCCACTTGAAGTACACAAAAAAGCAAAGATGCAATTTGAAGCAACTGACTTGAAGCGCATTTTTCGATTTTGTCTCACTGTGTTATCTGAAGTGACGAAGAATGATCCGCCATTTGCACCGAATGTGACTTCACTTTTAGATCACATCTTACGCATTTGCGAAACTGTTTTAACTTGGAAACGTGCAAGATTGTCAGCGAGATTTGTTGAATTGGAAACCAGATTGACACTTGGCATATCTTGGGCGGAAATAATGCTCTCGCCAGACTTATTGCCGCTTATGTTCCAAATTTATTGGAAAGTGCGCGATCTGGATGAGCTTAGTAATCATGCGATGACGTGTCTAGTACAATTGGCTTCATTAAATGGCGGTATATTCCAGAATGCCAATGAATTAGAGTATCTGGCTTTATATATGGAAAACTTTTTAAAGTTAATAACTTGGTAAGACCTCAAATCAAACAATAGATTGATATTTAGCCAAATAACTGTTTTAGTGTTACTATCAAATCAAAAGAATCGGTGGGAGTAGCAAATATTGTGTTGAACATTCGTTTGTCTTTTGTTAAAGACATTTTGCGACTCCCCATCAGCTTACAAGTGTCATATTTTGATGAAATAACTAGACTTACGTGTTTTTTCATTGAAGGCTCTACTTTAGAAGAAAGTGTAAGACAACCATAAATACACTATGTAATAATTTGTTTGATAAATTGGTGCTTATCATTTGTTTAGACACCCAATGGAAATTATGCAGTTGCTTTTGAACGCATGTTTGAAGCATGGACACTAATGATAGAAGAGTACAAAGGTCAATCAGATGTTTTTATTCAATCGGCTGTGCAATTATTCAATACATATTTGGAGTTTCATTTGGCTCCACCAGAAGGACAAAGACCTCGTGAGGTAGATGAGGTTGAAGAGGACGAAGACAATGATCGCATTAAATTTCAAGATAACTTACAAGCCATCGGTTTGTTTGGACGTGTTGCACTAGATCATTCATTGCCAATGCTCATTAGGTATTGATTTTAATTTAAATTTATAATAATGCATTGTTGTATAATACGAGTGGTTTGTTTGATTGGCTAGATTATTAGAAGTACGGATTGTTAAGCTTGGCAGCCATCTTCACAGCATGACGCAACAGGCAATGAATTACGATGATTCTGTGGTATTGGACAATCTTTTCGAAGACTTGCACTGGTTGCTTCTGATTGCAGGACATACACTCTGTATGGACAGCGTTGGCGAAACACCGCTGATACCATCGGAAATAATGATGCATTCTATAGATAAGTGTACAAAAGGCGATGCCGATTTGGAATCAACACTGAAGACAATGGCGAGTGTGCGAAATCCAGGTGTAAATATTGATTGTCTTGATAAATGCGATCAAGCTATTAGGATATTCAGCGACGTTTTGTGCTTATGCACAATGGAGAAACAAGCGAATGAGAACAATCTTGGTGCGTTTATGAGTCCCGAAGTGGGCTGCACACTTATGTGGTTTTTGAAGCGATGGTGCCTTTCGTATCTCCTGCCTACTGAGACTTATTATAATGAAGTAAGTTTTTGTTTACTGATTTAAGAAATATTGCTATTTTTAGTTATTTTTAGTTTAGTCCTACTTTGATTGGTGCACTGGGCAAGGACACTGATGGTGCCACATTTGTAACAAACTTCTTGCTAGAGAAAATTCAATCCAATATGTTTTACTGTAAGGACGAAGCCGTACTGCTACGTGATACAGTGGATACATTCACCGAAATTGTTGGAGTCGCAGATAAGTGAGTGCAATGCTTACTTGTTAATATTTGTTCCTTTTTTACCAAACCACATATCTTTGTTATTAGATCCGAATACATAGTCAAATCCGAAGGTTTATGGAATCTGATAAAACTTCAAGCTACGATTTTGCCCGGAGTGTTGCCTACAAATATTCGAAAAGAATTGTTCAAAGGATTTATCCTCGCGGGTAGTTGTCTAACGCGCGACAGCGAACGAGATGATTTCTACAAGCAAATTCTAAAACCAGTAGAGCAGCGCCTCAAGGAAATTCTGTGCCAAGAAAACTTGAACCGCATTTACCATCAAGACCACATTAAAGTTGAGCTGATCGACATTGTCGAGAAACTTATCGGCATCAGTCAAGGCAGTAAGAAACCCACGATTCCTCTCGTGTTTGATTTTCTGTCGCCGATATTATCCGAGCTGCCGGTTATACTTGGAATGTATCATAATTATCAGGTAATCGTTCAATTAATACTCGAACTTTTTGGACAGTGCGCCAAAAACATGCTCTGCCACTTAGACAATTTCGCCAGTAAGCGACTCTATGAGAGTACCTATGCCATGGTGCAAACCTACGCGAAATACAACCAAAACCGTTTCAGTGCAGACGCTTCCGATGAAGAGGATAGTTTGGAAGATATTAGTTTATTACTAAGTTTACTTTCGCACGTTCTGTGTAAAGACTGGTTAGATTTAGGTTCGTTGAGCACCAGCGAAGAGAATCCCCTCAAGGCATCCGATGTCGCCATGTACGGATTACAATATTTAATGCCGTTGATAACCATTGAGTTGTTACGATATCCTAAACTTAGCTTACAGTTCTACCAATTTTTAGTACTGATGAGCGATATGTATCCCGAGAAAGTGGTGGCTATGAATGATGATATGCTTACGAAGGTAATGACGTTAATTGAACTTGGCATCACCAAATTTCACGCCGATGTGGTTCAAGTGTGCCTTGATTTTATCGAAACAATGGCGACGAATGTCTATCAATATCAGCTCACCAACAGTAAGTTGTATCAGTTGCTACGTCCGTTTCTCAGTTTAATTCTGGACCTCACACTAACGCAACAGATTAATTCGGAGCATATTAGCTCGGTTAGCACTTGTATATTTGCTTTACACTGTATTTTCCCGGATCAGTATCAGATGCTTGTCCAGGGATTGATTCAGAGTCAGAGTGATGAGCGAGTGGCGGAGCGTTTAGCTGTCGAATTTAACAAATTACATTGGCAGCGAAATGTTGAATGCAATCCGACGCAAAAAGTGCAATTTATGCGACAATTTGATAAATTTATCGCCAATGTGCATGGATTTTTACTGATTAAGTGACTCTTTGATTTAAGTTGGTATCTTTTATACTTTCATAACATACAGAATACAGAAACGCAAGTACAATCATTTTATGTATTATATTATAACATTATTGTAACAACTAACAGGGTGGTTTGGCAATTTTCCAGTAGTCTAATCCTAAACAGCTACATAGTTAGTCCGTCGAAGATATGCAACCTTAGTATCGCAAAGAACAACAAAACATGCAGTCTATTATTGCTATGTAAATAATATCTTACATATAATATTGAAATTTTTGATATACCTCGTTTTCTCGAATAACACGTATCACAGTCATATTTACAAGAGTTGGACATTACGTTTAGATTGGTACGTTTTGTATTGTTTGGTTGGATGTACATGCAGGTAGACGAAGAGTTTCGAAATTATTTTATTCCTTGTAAATGCCCAATTTGAGCACTTTCTCGTATTGCTCCACCCAGAACTGGGTCAGATTGATGTAAAACATCTGACCTTCCGGCGCGTAATCGAGATACGGGAAGCCACCATTCGATTTGCTCTGGGCTGGTTCAATTTGAGTGCCTTCATGCCATTCGTTGAAACTAGTGATGGAAATGTACGGCGTGCCAGCGCTTAATGCTGTCCTCCAACCAACATCGTAGTATTGTCCATGGCGGCGGTGACGGCTATTTTGTGCGTTCCACGGTCTAATATTGGTATCTATATATCCAGGCCCCACAGATGGACTGAATACTAGATTATTTTGTTTTGCATATCTGGACAGGGTTTTCCAATTCTTCCAGGTGCTACCATAGGAGAAACTATTTGCTGCGAAATATGTATAGAATCCATCAAAGTGCGACTTCTTGATGTGTGTTCTATGGCTTAAATCAACTAACAACCCTATGAAAATGGCATCTAAGTCTGTATCGCGAACACTGAGCTTGCCTTTCTTGCCGAGCAGATCGCGCCATACATAATCCGGAATCAGATAGGAATCGTACACGTAAAAGACTGGAAGATCTTTCTCGCCGAAAGGTTTGCGTGTTTTATACAGGGCCGGATGTTGGCCGAATCTGTTGAGGAAGTCCCTCAAGTAACTTCGCAGGTTAGCAGGATGTCTGGCGGGATATGGCTCTATGTGCAGCGCAATTTTAAGGTCGTACTTCGCCGCTGAATCAAATAATAAATCAATCAATGCGTCAGGACTATCCGGATAGTTTGGTGGCGACCATGACAGTACCAATACACCGATTCCAGCGTCCCGCATTTGCTTCATGTGCGTGTTAATAGTTTTAGGATCCTTAGAGCTGTAACATCCTAGCGCTGGGTAGTAATTACTTCCAATGTCGTTTGGAGCCCCGTGTGATCCAGTTGGATATACACGATGGTCTTCATTTTTCCAATTCGGGACGAACGAGTGATTCCAGTGCTTGAATGAACCATCGTACTCTATATTCCCGTACCAGGCGTAGTAGAAGATGTGTACCCTATAATTTGGTTTGATACCCGCACGGCTCGAAACTGGTACGCTGCGGGGCATCTGAAAGTTTTTCTTTAGTTTCTCTACTTTTCGTCGAAGCATCTGGTTGCGTAGAGCCATATTATTGAAGACATTGCTGGTGATGATCATGTTGTCATTGACGGGATCCCATGTCGCTTCTTCGGTGGAAGGAGCAACCACAGTGGTGATGGCAAGGCCTTGGGGACTTTTGGAGGACACTTGAAGAAAGAAATAGGTGCAACACAGGAAGAGCATTGTGGCAAATAGGGTTGTTTTATTTAGGTAGCGTTTCAGGTACCATTTCATGCGGAATCCTTGTTTCATCTACCAAACAATTGAAATACATCTACATTCATACTATTCATATACATTATGAGTTGAAGAGCACCAACCTTGGAAGAGCTAGCTGGATCGTTATCCATGAATGCAATTTATTTAAGACGACTTTATTTTTAATTGCGTGATATATTTCATTAAGTTATTGGCATTTTAAATACCACATTCGCTTCTTGAGTAATTCTACTCTCAGTTCGATGATATAACCGTATTGGATCTAGCTGGAACTGATATCAACAATGAACTGGAATAACTGGTGCAGTTTTCCGGGAGACCTGCGCCGCGCAGGAAATCTTCCGGACCATCGCACACGACCTTTATAAAGTTAATCTTGATTTTAATAATTGATTATATTATCAGTTTTGTGTAAAGTTTATTGACAAACTATTTTCCAAACTTTAGACTTTATATTTTCTATAATATTAGAGATACTTGGTGAATTTAGAAAATCAATAAGTACAAAATTTTTCTGATAAACGCAGGCAACCAACTGTACATTAGAATAGGTTTGAAAAAGCAAACGGTCTGTGAAGAAAATTAAATAAAACCTAAGCCATGAGAGAATGTTGTAGGAACAATTGATCTGTGGGTAAATAAAGAGTATACTAGTAAGATTAACTTCTGTTTAAAAAATAATTTTGAGATTTAAGCACATTATAACTTCAACAATCTATACCATAAACATTAACTTGTGGTATTGAAAAAGTTCTCTTTATAAAACTTTAACTCACTAATGCTTTCTCTAATATCATTTAGAGCTCTATGTGAATATTCTTTTTTCGGCGCAGTTTTATACATTTCCTTATTCCACCGCCTGCATAATTCTTTTACAGTTGATGTATCAATAATTCTATAATGCAAATAATCATCTAGTTTAGGCATGTATTTTTTTAGAAACAGCCTATCCATATATACACTGTTTCCTGCCAAGGGACTGTGACTCTTCATCACATGTGACTGAACAAAATCCATAATATTATCTTCAGCTTGTTGTAATGATATGCTTGAATTCTTGGCAGCCTCTGTAAGACCAGTCTTACCATGCTGATTAATACACCATTCATTCATGGCATTTAACTTGTCTTCAGGCGTATTTATTATCAGATTGGGACCTTCTGCTACTATATTTAGCTTGGAATCTGTTATGATGCAGGCTATTTCAAGAATGGTATCCCTCTCAATGTCCAAGCCAGTCATCTAAAGATAAAAAGAAACAAATGAATGAACTTGTTTGGAATTTTGATTGTGTTTATTCTGTTATCTACCTCTAAATCCACCCAAACAATTCTATTAATTTCCAAATCTTGGTTCATAACGCTGAATTTTCGCCGAAAATCTACAACAGAAAATTTCGGGTAATTTTAGATCGAAACTGGGCACATGTCGAGCATCAACCTACGTTTGAACAAAGAAGTTTTGGTAAACGTTCTGGAAAATGCGCCCCACATTGTTAAATTTTGGTTAGGTCAAATAAAATTGCACCCTTGAATCGCGCGTGATGGACAATTTAACTACTTAGCAGGTATGTATTTAGCTTATTGGGCAGTATTTATTTTACTTTACTAATGAATATGTTTAAATATTTAAATAAAATACTGTTGAGTTAATGATTATAATTATTACTCTACGTTCTAATTAAGTTTCAATAAAGTTTTATATAATAAAAACTTGTTTTGAACTGCTTTATTATCAAAGTCAAACTCTGTTTATTGCGATACCACCACGATGTAAACTAAATCCCTAGAATTAAAATTTTGACAGTTCAATGTCAACTTGAGTCAGTTTCTCGTGCTGTCGAACAAAATCACGTTGCCGTGCTGCCGTTGATCTGCATTGATCAAAGAAACTTCTCGAATTACTTTGTATACCGTTCTGTTTCAACCGTAAAAATGGCTCTTCACGTTCCCAAAGCTCCTGGCTTCGCTCAAATGATGAAGGATGGCGCAAGGGTAAGTTATTTTTGATATAATTAGTTAAATTTTGACCATGTGGTCATCTTACTTTGCCGGGTTAGGCTAATGACTCATACACCTCAACCTCTTGCAGCACTTCTCCGGCCTCGAGGAAGCTGTCTATCGCAACATCAACGCATGCAAAGAATTCGCACAATCGGTGCGCACCGCCTACGGCCCCAATGGCATGAACAAAATGATTATCAATCACATTGAAAAACAGTTTGTGACAAGTGATGCAGCTACCATCATGAGAGAGTTAGATGTTGAACATCCAGCAGCCAAACTGATGATCATTGCCAGTCAAATGCAAGATGCTGAAGTTGGAGATGGCACAGCATTTGTCATCATTTTGGCAGGTGCACTGCTTGAATGTGCTGAAGAACTGTTGAGACTGGGTGTTACCCCTGGAGAAGTTGCTGAAGGATATGAGAAGGCTCTGGATAAATGTTTAGAGATTCTTCCCTCATTGGTTGTAATGGAAATCAAAAACTTCAGATCTGCTGATGAGGTGGTTCAGGGTATTAGAACTTCAATCCAGTCAAAACAATATGGTCATGAGGACTTCTTGGCAAAACTTGTGGCTGAAGCTTGTGTATCCATCCTGCCAGAACAGACTACATTCAATGTGGATAACATCAGAGTCTGCAAGATTTTGGGCTCTGGTTTGTTCAAATCTGAAGTCATTCAGGGAATGGTATTCAAACGTGAAGTAGAAGGTGACATTACAAGTGTGAAGAATGCTAAAGTTGCACTCTATGGTTGTGCTGTAGATATTATGCAGACTGAAACCAAAGGCACTGTTTTAATTAAAACAGCTGATGAATTGATGAACTTCAGTAGGGGAGAGAATGTTGTAGGAACAATTGATCTGTGGGTAAATAAAGAGTATACTAGTAAGATTAACTTCTGTTTAAAAAATAATTTTGAGATTTAAGCACATTATAACTTCAACAATCTATACCATAAACATTAACTTGTGGTATTGAAAAAGTTCTCTTTATAAAACTTTAACTCACTAATGCTTTCTCTAATATCATTTAGAGCTCTATGTGAATATTCTTTTTTCGGCGCAGTTTTATACATTTCCTTATTCCACCGCCTGCATAATTCTTTTACAGTTGATGTATCAATAATTCTATAATGCAAATAATCATCTAGTTTAGGCATGTATTTTTTTAGAAACAGCCTATCCATATATACACTGTTTCCTGCCAAGGGACTGTGACTCTTCATCACATGTGACTGAACAAAATCCATAATATTATCTTCAGCTTGTTGTAATGATATGCTTGAATTCTTGGCAGCCTCTGTAAGACCAGTCTTACCATGCTGATTAATACACCATTCATTCATGGCATTTAACTTGTCTTCAGGCGTATTTATTATCAGATTGGGACCTTCTGCTACTATATTTAGCTTGGAATCTGTTATGATGCAGGCTATTTCAAGAATGGTATCCCTCTCAATGTCCAAGCCAGTCATCTAAAGATAAAAAGAAACAAATGAATGAACTTGTTTGGAATTTTGATTGTGTTTATTCTGTTATCTACCTCTAAATCCACCCAAACAATTCTATTAATTTCCAAATCTTGGTTCATAACGCTGAATTTTCGCCGAAAATCTACAACAGAAAATTTCGGGTAATTTTAGATCGAAACTGGGCACATGTCGAGCATCAACCTACGTTTGAACAAAGAAGTTTTGGTAAACGTTCTGGAAAATGCGCCCCACATTGTTAAATTTTGGTTAGGTCAAATAAAATTGCACCCTTGAATCGCGCGTGATGGACAATTTAACTACTTAGCAGGTATGTATTTAGCTTATTGGGCAGTATTTATTTTACTTTACTAATGAATATGTTTAAATATTTAAATAAAATACTGTTGAGTTAATGATTATAATTATTACTCTACGTTCTAATTAAGTTTCAATAAAGTTTTATATAATAAAAACTTGTTTTGAACTGCTTTATTATCAAAGTCAAACTCTGTTTATTGCGATACCACCACGATGTAAACTAAATCCCTAGAATTAAAATTTTGACAGTTCAATGTCAACTTGAGTCAGTTTCTCGTGCTGTCGAACAAAATCACGTTGCCGTGCTGCCGTTGATCTGCATTGATCAAAGAAACTTCTCGAATTACTTTGTATACCGTTCTGTTTCAACCGTAAAAATGGCTCTTCACGTTCCCAAAGCTCCTGGCTTCGCTCAAATGATGAAGGATGGCGCAAGGGTAAGTTATTTTTGATATAATTAGTTAAATTTTGACCATGTGGTCATCTTACTTTGCCGGGTTAGGCTAATGACTCATACACCTCAACCTCTTGCAGCACTTCTCCGGCCTCGAGGAAGCTGTCTATCGCAACATCAACGCATGCAAAGAATTCGCACAATCGGTGCGCACCGCCTACGGCCCCAATGGCATGAACAAAATGATTATCAATCACATTGAAAAACAGTTTGTGACAAGTGATGCAGCTACCATCATGAGAGAGTTAGATGTTGAACATCCAGCAGCCAAACTGATGATCATTGCCAGTCAAATGCAAGATGCTGAAGTTGGAGATGGCACAGCATTTGTCATCATTTTGGCAGGTGCACTGCTTGAATGTGCTGAAGAACTGTTGAGACTGGGTGTTACCCTGGAGAAGTTGCTGAAGGATATGAGAAGGCTCTGGATAAATGTTTAGAGATTCTTCCCTCATTGGTTGTAATGGAAATCAAAAACTTCAGATCTGCTGATGAGGTGGTTCAGGGTATTAGAACTTCAATCCAGTCAAAACAATATGGTCATGAGGACTTCTTGGCAAAACTTGTGGCTGAAGCTTGTGTATCCATCCTGCCAGAACAGACTACATTCAATGTGGATAACATCAGAGTCTGCAAGATTTTGGGCTCTGGTTTGTTCAAATCTGAAGTCATTCAGGGAATGGTATTCAAACGTGAAGTAGAAGGTGACATTACAAGTGTGAAGAATGCTAAAGTTGCACTCTATGGTTGTGCTGTAGATATTATGCAGACTGAAACCAAAGGCACTGTTTTAATTAAAACAGCTGATGAATTGATGAACTTCAGTAGGGGGGAAGAAAATTTGCTGGAGTTGCAAATAAAAGCAATTGCAGATACTGGTGCGAAAGTCATTGTGGCTGGCGCTAAATTCGGTGATATGGCGTTGCATTTTGTGAACAAGTATGGCATGATGGCGGTGCGACTTAACAGCAAGTTTGACTTGCGCCGTTTGAGCAAAACCGTCAGTGGAACTGTTCTGCCGAAATTAACTCCGCCCACATCCGAAGAGCTTGGTTATTGCGATTCTGTTCTTTTGGAAGAACGCGGTGATACTCCTCTGGTTGTGTTCCGTATGGAGGGTAAAGATTCGCGCATCTCCACCATCGTCGTACGAGGCGCCACAGACAACTACATGGACGACATCGAGCGCGCCATTGATGATGGTGTCAATACATTTAAAAGCATTTCGCGCGACGGCAAATTTGTACCTGGCGCTGGTGCTACAGAAATTGAGCTCGCTCGGCAATTGTCTGCATACGCAGATACCTTACCTGGCCTGGAACAGTATGCCGTAAGGAAATTTGGCACTGCACTTGAATACTTCCCAAAAGTACTGTCAGATAACAGCGGTCAAAAGTCTACTCCAGTGCTGGCCAAGTTGTTGGAAGCGCACAAGAATGGTCTGAAAACCGCCGGCGTTGATATCGAATCGGAAAAGAGTGTGTGCGATGCAGTCGAGAAGAATATCTTAGATTTGTATTTGTGTAAATACTGGGGCTTGAAATACGCCGTCAGCGCGGCTGCAACCATTTTGAGGGTTGACCAGATTATCATGGCTAAACGCGCCGGCGGGCCCAAAGCACGACCTCCAGCGGGAAGTGATGACGAATCTTAAACCTTAGTTATTATATTTATCACCGTTTCTAACATTTTGATTTTCACCATTGGTAAGCATATTCACGTTCTCACATGCATAATACGCTTTAATATTTGTATTTAAAGACAAGTAATGATAATAAAACGCATTTCACAGATTAAATATGTGCTCATCATATTCCTATGCATGATGTCAACACAAACAATTACTGGGTAGATAGATAATGGCAATTAATTTCAGTTGCAATGTAAGCAAAGATTTGGAAGTTATGGTAATTTGAACATAAGAACATCTATGTCCTTTAAAAATGTCGCTATAATTCCGAATGTCTAAATCCTCATTTCGAGTAAGAGAGAATTTTACAACTTAAAACCACATGCAAAAATATGCCGAAACTATTGACCGCTCCAAACCTCAGCGTTCGTGAATTTTATTATAGTTTTATTTTGAAGTGACACATGATAGAGGTTTGAGGAGATCCTCGACCAAACATATATTCTAAAAATTTCCGATCTATTTTCAATTCTGTCTTGCAATTTTATTGCACCATTCCTTAAATCGTTAAATTTTAAAACATAACTTTAACATATTTTTATGTAAGTTACAGTTTCGGTTATAGTTCCGGCCGAAACTGAGGCCAGGGTCGAAATTTCGGTTTCGGTCGGACTCTACTTCTAATGTTTGTTAGGATTGCAGTTCGGTGTATTACGATTCATTTCGGCATCTTCATTTATGGATAACACACGTGTTTACTGATTGATTAACAATTAATTACAACGTTTCGGACTTTTTGTATTTGGGCGTGAGTTTTCACTAGACGGATTCATGAGTATTTAGTTGTTGGCGTATATTGCAATCGACTCTACTCCTCTAGTAAGCAGTTTAAAAGGTTTAAATAATGTACGATCTGAGTTTCTAAAGTAAACTTTGACCATGTATGCCATCACCATACTAGCCGTGTGAGCGGTAGAGAGGATAGTTTAGCGGACTGCTAGCAGTTTAATATAAATTAAAGAGTAACCGTTTCAAGAAGCGTTATAAAAACATGGTGTGGAAAACGCCCAGTATCTCGTAGACTGTTTTACCTTTTACCGTTTTTTACCGTCATGTTAGAGCGGGAGAGTTCTTCTACAAGATGCGTACCCCTCCTATTCGAAAACATGGTGTGGAAAACACTCTGTATCTAGTGAACTAATTGACTTGTTAGAGTTTTTCCGCGCTAGAATTGAGTTAGAAAGTTCCTCTACTAGATGTGTACCCTCGTACCTCTCAAACTTTCTGAAAGTGCCTTAAAATGATCTTCAAAAATGAGCAATTTTAGCAAAATTTGAAAATATGGTGTGGAAAACACTCTGTATCTAGTGAACTAATTGACTTGCTCAGAGTTTCTCTACGCCAGAATAGAGCTAGAGAGTTCCTCTACACGATGTATTCCCTCCCACCTTCCAACTCTTCCGGAAGTGTCTTAAAATGCACTTCAAAAAATGAGCAATTTTAAGAAATTTTGAAAACATGGTGTGGAAAACACCCTGTATCTCGTGAACTAATTGACTTTCTTAGAGTTTCTCCACGCCAGAAGAGAGTTAGAGAGTTCCTCTACACGATCAATACTCTTTCAATCTTCCAGCCGTTCCGAAAGTGTCTTAAAATGCCCTTCAAAAATCAGTAATTTTAGGGAAATTTGAAAAGGTGAGGTGGTAAACACCTTGTATCTCCGAAACAAATTGACTTTCTGAGAGTTTCTTTAAGTCAGAATAGAGTCAGGGAGTTTGTCTATACAATGCATACCTTTTCCACCTTTCAACCCTTTCGGAAGTACCCTAAAATGGTTTTCAAAAATGAGCAATTTTAGAAACATTTAAAAAGATAGTGTGGAAAACACACTGTATCTCGTAAACATATTGACTATCTTCTAGTTTCTCTACGTCAGAAGAGAGTCAGGGAGTTTGTCTACACGATCCATACTTTTTATACCTTCCAACCTTTTCGGAAGTGCCCTAAAATGGTCTTCAAAAATGAGCAATTTTCGGAAAATTTGAAAACATGGTGTGGAAAACACTTTGTATCACGTGAACTAATTGATTTGCTTGAAGTTTCTTAACGTCATGTTAAAGTTCGAGAGACTCTTTACACTATGCATACCTTTTTAACCCTATTAACCCTAGGGAAGTGTCTCAAAATCTCATTCGAATATCGCTATTTTTGTCCAATAAATTTCATTTTTTGGGCGAATAACAGGGTCGAACTTTTTTTAATAAATATTTTTTGGTCGAAGATCAAGGTCGAACTTTTTTACTTAAAAATGTTTTAATCGAATTTTTTTGTTAAAATTTTTTCGCTCGAAAAACAGGATCGAACTTTTTTGCTTAAAATTTTTTGGTCGCATTTTTTTGTTAAAATTTTTTTGGTCGAAAAACAGGGTTGAACTTTTTTACTTAAAATTTGGTTGGTTGAATTTTTTGGTTAAAATTTTTTCGGTCGAATTTTTTTGTTAAAATTTTTTGGGTCGAAAAACAGGGTCAAACTTTTTTACTTAAAATTTTTTTGGTCAATAAACAGGGTCGATTTTTTTGGCGATTATGTCAAGAACAAAAAGAAAAAACGAATGCATGTTTCTCTAAAATTGTAAATAGGGAATAAACGGATAATGTTAGTTGCTAAAAAAAATTGTTGTTTGTAAAGTAGGTTTACGATCGAGATGTTTACGTGATAACGTCTTATTGGTGATATAAGTTTTGTTTGTTGCAATTGTTGTAACACTTCACTTGCACTTCACATTTTGTTTTACTGTTAGGCTCCCCGCACACTACAAACTTTTTATCGGCCGATAAAATATTCAACGAAAACTTAACCGCACGAGAAAATCTCCATTCGTTTGTATGCCGCTAGAGTGAGAGAGACGGAAGATCGGTCAACTCACTCGAACGCTATGACTGGCACGGAATGACTGGCAGCGCTCGAGATGAGACGGGAGATCGGTCCGTCTCTCTCTGGTTATAACGAGAGGGGGGTCGGAATGACTGGCAGCGCTCGAGATGAGACGGGAGATCGGTCACCCGTAAAACGATTTTAAAGACGTTATCACGTCAATAAACGATGTAGAATTAAAGTATCTATCAGAATCCGATTAAGAATTTAATAAAAATTAATAGTTCTTCTCATGTTCTGCACTACCACACTGAAAGTATCAAGGTTTACAAACAAACAAGTTTCTTTATCTCCTGCAGTTTTGTGCGGTCGCCACGCGGTTGGCGTGCGTATCACGTTAGTCTCATATTTGTCGTCAGGGGATCTGGACGCACATTTTCTTTATAATATTTTGAGTTCCTAACCTTTTGTCGCGTTATTACGTACTGTTTCTAAATGCTCTTTCGATTGTGCGCGAGTGATGTGCGGCGTTCCTTCAGCGCGGATTGTACACGCAGAGTATTAGACGCGTATTTCATATTTATTTGGTATTTTCTTTGGGTATGCCAAACACACAAAAATTTATTTTGCATCAAGGTGTGTTCTCGCATTTCTTCAGCCATATGAAAATCAAATCCATTATTGACTTAACTTGTTTTTGACGTGATAACGTCTTTAAAATCGTTTTAGTCGGGTGACATGTTCAGAAACTTGTGTCACGAGGCCTCTCGAGGCCGATCGCAGGTATACCCCCCTCTCGTTATAACGAGAGAGAGACGGACCGATCTCCCGTCTCATCTCGAGCGCTGCCAGTCATTCCGTGAAACTTGTCACGCGGAATCCACACGAGCGGAGGCAGGCATAGCGTTCGAGTGAGTGGACCGATCTTCCGTCTCTCTCACTCTAGCGGCATACAAACAAACGAATGGAGATTTTCTCGTGCGGTTAAGTTTTCGTTGAATGTTTAACAGTGAAACAAAATGTGAAGTGCAAGTGAAGTGTTACAACAATTGCAACAAAAAAAACTTATATCACCAATAAGACGTTATCACGTAAACATCTCGATCGTAAACCTACTTTACAAACAACTTAAATTTTTTTACTTCAACCGCGTGGTCTTTAACCACACAAATAATTTTTGTCTCTGTTTCAATACCTACCGTTGATTTGCAATACGTATTCGATACATTGTTTCGTTTTCGTTTAATGCACAAATTAAAAAGATTAAGATTGTAGTGTGCCATCGGTTGCGTTCTTAATTCTTTGGCGGCTTTTTCCGGCAAAACCCACTACCCTCTACTATTAGATACAATTTGTAATTCCGAAAATAAGAAAGAGAAATCTTTTGCTTTTTTTATGAAATCTTCTTTTCAGCTAGTGCAGCTTTTGAACTAATTGGAATTTTTAAATTCTGTTTTTGGATTTTGAAAGATAATTCAATTCTTAATTGATTATTTAAGTAATTATTTTTCTATCATTGACGGTTTAGCCCTATTTGCAATTTTAATAAAAAAAATTGATTTTTCCATGCCAAAATGACTTTAATCTACAATTGTGTTCACATGTTTCCGTTTTAGAATTTAATACGAGTATACTCTCAAAAACCAAACACAGAATTCAAAAATTCTAATTATTACAGTATCTGTATTTGTTGAAATAAAATATTTCGTCATAAAAAAGGCAAAAGATTTCTCTTTCTTATGTCGAATGCAGTTTTCACTAAAATTTGCAAATAGAGCATAAACGGTTAATCTTTGGATAAAAGTTACGAAAATAATTGATGTAGAATGAAAAGAACTGTTTATTAACCTAACATTGAACGTTTAGGGCCTATTTGCAATTTTAATAAAAAAAAAATGGTGTTTACACGCCAATAGGGCTTTAATCTATAATTTTGTTACTGGTGTCCGATTAATAATTTAATCGAAATTAAAATTTTCATGCATTGTACGAGTTCAATTCTTTTCATGTTCTGAATTACCACACTGAATGTATCCGTGTTTACAAACAAACAAGTTTTCTTATCTCGTGCAATTTTTGTGCGGTCGCCACGCGGTTTGCCTCGCGGTTGGATTGCCTACCACGCACGTCAGTCTCATATTTGTCGTCGGGTGACCTGCACGCACATTTTTTTCACAATAATTTGAGTTCCTTAATTTCTTAGCGTCATTACGCAATATTTCTAAATGCTCCTTCCATTGTGCGCGAGTGATCTGCGGCGTTCGTTAAATGCGAATTGTTTATACGCAGAGGTGAAACGTGAGTGATGTTCCGTCTGCCGTCGGATACTCTTTTGGTATGATACGCATATTTCATCATTCCTACAATGTGCATAATTAAGGTCTTTACAATTTATTGGATAGGCCAACAGCGCAAAAATTAATTTTGCATCAAGGTATGTTCTCGCATTTCATAACCCATTTGAAAATCAAATTCATTATTGTCTTTACTTGTTTTTACATCAACTGCGTGGTCTTTAAGCCTACAAATAATGTTTGTCTCTGTTTCAATACCGTTGATTTGCATTACGTATTTGATACCTTGTTTTGTTTTTGTTTAATGTACAAATTAAAAAGATTAAAACAGTCGCGTGCCGTCGGCTGCGTTCTTGATCCTGTGGCGGCTTTCCGGGCTAGTCGCTGGTTGTTTTACATGATTTAAAATAAAATTCACCAAATATGTTGTTTTCGCGTGTCCAAATTTGTGGTTTACGAGTGTTTCTCATCTTTATCTTTGGAATTTATTTTGTGTTGTAGTAATTTGTTTATGCAACACCCTATATATTTTTGTCTTCTTTGATTTTCCATCAAAAATTGATCAAACGTTGTTTTTGAATGTTTTTCTTCTTGAACTTTGTATTTTATTTGGTGAGTTAGTAATTTGTATTTGTAATACCCTGTATATTCGTTTTAGTTAATTGCCCAACAAGATTGTCCAAATTTGTGGATTAGGTGTTGTTCCCTTCTTCAACTTTGTTACTTCTTTTGTGATATAGTAATTTTCTTTTTGTAACACCCTGTATATTTGTTCTTATTTTCATCAAACATTAATCTAACTTTTGTAGTTATCGAGTATTTTTCTTCATAAACTTTGAATTTTCTTTTTGTCACACCCTGTATATCAGTTTCCCGGAGTCTCGGGTGAAAAGGGAGCGATATTTGTAGTATTTGGATGTTTTCCTGTTTGCACTTTAAATTTTCTTTTTTGTAACACCCTGTATATTTGTTTTCTTTTCAACGACGTAGAAAATTGGCTATTTGCTAATTTCTTTATCCCGGTAGAAATGTACAAAGTGGTACTTGCTTATATGTGCGCGGCAAAACAGGTCGTTAGTCCTGTTTCAATATGGCGACATATATTCTGTTAACTTGTAAAGTCTAAACTTGTATTCTATTGTTAATAAAGAAACAGTAAGATATATTGACTTCTTTGATTTGTGGGTACCCCTTCTATCACAGGAACAGTTCCCTCTCTCAGGGGATGATCCCCACTATTAAAATTATTAAGGTATCCTGTATGATTTGTATTCTTCATCTTTCATTTCAGCTACAGGTCAGAACTTGTAAGAATATTTTTAAGTGTCCCCTCTTTTGAGATGACTTAAAACTTTAAAATATTTGAACAAGACCTTATAAGATTGTCTTTATAAGGAGTTCCCTCTCTCCGGGGGTGATCCCCCACCATAAAAATTGTTGATATGCCTGAGTATCCTGGGGATGAAGCGTAGAGACATCGTAGCTGTAGGATGGGCCGGGAGCAATGGACGGATCGAAGCAGTTGACACGCCGCCAAAAAATTAAAAAATCTGATCCACTCCTGTTCTCTTACTCGGTGGTGTTCTCTTCCTTCTATCTTCTTCTCTTCTCTACTACTACTTTTTATTACTTCTTCTTCTATTCCTTCTGTTCTCGGTTTCTTCACTTGCTTTCTTATTTCTCATATAGCCTTCACTTGAATTCCAATTTCTCTTATAATTCATTTGAGTTTACATATGCAACCCAAATTACACCTGTTATTTTCATATTTGAGAAAAACGCGCACACCTGACCTGGGGACCGAACGTTCAACCCCAGGCAACGTAGCATATCCTACGTTTCACTGAGCCACGTTGCTCACTTATCAAACGTTACTTGTTTCAGCTATATATATTTACAAAATTATAGTTTTACAAAACAATTTATAGACACTGCTATACTCCCAGTGTTAAACACGCCTTATAACTCAAGCTGAAAACGACCAAGTGAACAGCAGGGTTAAATGTGAACGAGAAATTAAAATTAAATTATCCTTTATTTACTGAACAGAGTACAGGTATTATTATCTGTAAAATTTAACAGACAACATTTTTATTTGATGTTACATTCTTCTGGTTCCATTTATGAAGTACCTAAGCGCACAGAGTAAAATTGATGTTACTACTCCCTGTTAACTTTTGCACTGGCAACAATACCACATTGAGAAAACGCGTGATTTATCCGCACGAATTAACAATTGAATAATTTTGACCAGTAAATCCAATTAGAATCCGTAGCCCCACGAAAGAGATCCGACGGCCGGTGGCCAATGGCATTCACACGCGCAAATGGAAAAGTCTCTTAATTGTGGAGTCGATTCGTGATAAATCACTTAGTAGTCGATGGCAAACGATTCTAATGCTTGTACCGTACTGAATTGCTACCAGTCGCGATGAAGATGGACAGAGAAAAAGAACACGTGCACTCAACACAACTGCGTACCATCGACTGACTAACGTAACGTGCGGACGCACTTGAAGCCGGCAACCGGCACGGTACTGCTCAAATGGCAGCGCCGAATATGCTGCGCAAGACAAGGTCGAACTGAAAACATAAACAAATCGTCGAATTCCACGGATCATATAGAAAACATGGATAAAACATGAAATTGTAGAATATTTCCCTCTTGCTCTAGCTCACGTCATTCTGCCATTGCTATCTATCTATTTCTGTCAGTTACTTGAACAAGTGATAAATAAAAACTATCCATGTTATATATAATCGTGAAATCTTTTCAAATTAACTGGATATAAATAAACAGTTAATAGTTATCGACTCAATAACGTATGAAACGTACAATTTTTATAACAATTCATGCATGTTTTACAAGTGCATCTCGTATGACAACAAAATATAACGCAACGAAGAATTAAATTCTACATTTTTAGGGATCCCTCTAATTAGGGGTAAGCCGTGTTCAGGTGCTTAACCCCCAAAAACAAGTAAAAAATAATCTTTCGATACACAACATTGTAAATTTTATTACTAATTAATAAGCTTTTCACCAAAGTTATATATGAAAATGATAAAGAAATTTAATACTTACAATCTGATACAAGAATGGTTCTTCTACGATGTCGGCTTCAGGTTCGAAACACCTAAAACAAGCAAAAATTAGTCCTTCGAATCACAAAAATGCATTTTTTGTTGCTAATTAATTAGCTAATCACAAAAGTTATTTAAGAAAATGATAAAGAAATTTAATACTTACAATCTGATACAGGAATGGTTCTTCTGCGATGTCGGGTTCAGGTTTAAAGCACCTAAAATAAGCAAAAATTAGTCCTTCAAAACACAAAAATGTCATTTTTGTTGCTAATTAATAAGCTAATCACCAAAATTATTTATGAAAATGATAAATAAATTTAATACTTACAATCTGATGCAAAAATAGTTCTTGTACGATGTCGGGTTCAGGTGAAAAGCCCCTAAAACAAACAAACATTAGTCCTACGAAACACAAAAATACAGTTTTTGATGTTAATTAATAAGCTAATCACCATAGTTATATATGAAAATGGTAAAGAAATTTAGTACTTACAATCTGATACAAGAATGGTTCTCTTACATTTACATTGTCGGTTTCAAGTTCAAAACACCAAAAACAAGCAAAAATTAGTCCTTCAAAACACAAAAATGCAATTTTTGCTTCTAATTACTAAGCTAATCACCAAAATTAATTTAAAAGTGATAAAGAAATTTAATACTCACAATTTGATGCAAAATTAGTTTACCTACTATGTTGGGTTCAGGTGCAGAATCTCGAAAATAAGCAAAAATTAGACCTTCGAACTACAAAATTGCATTTGTGTTGCTAATTAATCAGCTAATCCCCAAAGATATTTAGGAAAATGATAAAGAAATTTAGTACTTACAATCTGATACAAGAATGGTTCTCTTACATTGTCGGTTTCAAGTTCAAAACACCAAAAACTAGCAAAAATTAGTCCTTCAAAACACAAAAATGCAATTTTTGCTTCTAATTAAAAAGCTAATCACCAAAATTAATTTAAAAGTGATAAAGAAATTTAATACTCACAATTTGATGCAAAATTAGTTCACCTACTATGTTGGGTTCAGGTGCAGAAAATAAGCAAAAATTAGACCTTCGAACTACAAAATTGCATTTGTGTTGCTAATTAATCAGCTAATCCCCAAAGATATTTAGGAAAATGATAAAGAAATTTAATACTTACAATCTGATGCGCACATTGTTGTCCTGCGATGTCGGATTCAGGTGCAAAACCCCTAAAACAAGCAAATATTAGTCCTTCAAAAAACAAAAATGCAATTTTAGTTACTAATTAATAAGCTAATCACCAAAGTTATTTATGAAAGTTATAAATAAATTTAATATTTACATTCTGAAGCGATAATAGTTCTCGTACGATGTCTGGTTCAGGTGCAAAGCCCCCAAAACAAGCAAATATTAGTCCTTCAAAAAACAAAAATGCAATTTTAGTTGCTAATTAATAAGCTAATCACCAAAGTTATTTATGAGAGCGATAAATAAATTTAATACTTACAATCTGATGCAATAAGTAAAAATTTGCTTGATGCTACTTACTCCTTTGTTCTTCTATCGATAAAGGACTAAGGCGCACAATCACGTTTCCGCAAATTGTATGTAGAATTGATGATATGCACTTTTTTACTATTCCACGCAGATATTCCAAATGTACTCACCTGTATTCACGTCAAACACATAAATTTAACTTCATTTTACTCCAGTAAAGTATCCCTAGTCACCGGAACATATCCGACGGACGCCACGCGCGCTCCACAAAGAATCACTCAAATTATTCGTGTGCGCTGCAGTGAGCTGTTACTACTAAATGTCTCTGATCGTCAATCGATTTAAGTAATGCTACAAAATATCAAGAATCTCGAGAAAGTGTCACCACGTTTGATTAATGAACAAAACACGTGCGCACTCGCAACAGCGTTCAACCGACTAAGCCGAACTAAGCAAGAAAGATTGATAACTGACCCGCAGTTGGAGGGGCATTTTTCTATATGCATAATCAAGAATGCGATTACAAATATATTGCAAGTTATTGTAGTGACGTACGCACCGCAACTCAGCGCACAAAAAGAGTATGAATTTAAACCAAAACGCAATACTAGCGCGATCTGCGTGTGACGAAACATGACATTAAAGATTGCCGGCGTCATCAAGTTTTAAAACTTTGAAATTACCCAGAAATCTGAATTACGTCTGCTAATATTTAACATTTAATTCACTTTCCATTAACAAAATTTATTAACGAAAATTATAAAAAAATTCAATACTTACAATCTAATGAAAAAATCGTGGTCCTAGGACATTTCGTTCGCCCGCTAGACACCTGAAACTATCAAAAACAGAACACCGAAGCACAAAAATGATCTTTTTGCAAGTTTCCCGTGTGCTAATCACACAAATTATAATTGTAAATGATTTATAAATTCAATACTTAAAATCGGATAAAAGAATCGTTGTCCTAGGACATTTCGTTCGCCCGCTAAACACCTAAAACAACCCAAAATTAGTAAATCCAAGCATAAAAATGTCATTTTTGCATGTTTTCCGTATGCTAATCAAACAAATTGTATATGAAAATGATAGATATTGAAAAACAACTGTATAAGTAAAGTATACACTTACTGTACGCTATACCCTCACAATATCGTTATGTATATCGTTTTCATTGCCATGAAAGATATCCAGTCAGTTTTCCGATAACATCAATATTTTCCAAATGACTGATAAAACTGGAACAGATGCGAATGCTGCAAGGATTTATCAATTATTTTTTTTTAGTTTTTTTAAATTATGATCCGATATCTTAATTAGTTTTTAAGTTATTGATTATTTTCAATAATTACGTAAGTGTAGAAAACCAAAAATTTTTAAATATATAATATCATATCATCATAATATAAAATTTCATCTCGTATGTGAATCTGAAAATGGTCTTTCTTTAAAATCTAATAGTTACAATAGTTAAAAGTACAAAAAACTGGAATATTCATTTCCTCCATACTTTCTTATGTAATTTCTTATGTTCAGATTCCTATAGATTATATTATTACTAGCGACCCACCCCGGCTTCGCACGGTTGCAATACTGATACTAAATACACTACAGAAAAACTGTGAACGTTGTATATAAAAACATAGCGGCCCGCTACGGCTTCGCACGGGTTTAAAATATATAGCCTATGTGATTAAAATCGATCCAGTAGTTTTGATTTATTCATTACTGCCCGTGGCCCGCACGCGTTAAATTTGGAGTAAAACTATCCACCTTTCCCTATACCATGAAGATTTCCTGCTGTCTTTGGAATATCTTCGCTGCTAAATTCAAAGTGCTACAGGGAAAACCGCGGCCTCAGACGCACTATTTATAGGCACGCTCTTGCCGCACCGGGCGGCCGGCCGGCACCGCCGAAAACGCTACGTCCGCAATTTTAAAAAAATCCGTTGCGCAGTTTCAAAGATTTAGGCTCCCCGCACACTACAAACTTTTTATCGGCCGATAGTTTGGTCGGGTTGGGCTGTGAGCGCGCACACTACGCCAACTAAACAGTTGGGTTTGTGGTGAGTGCGCACACTAGACAACAGTCGGCCGACTGCACCAATACTCTGAGCGAACTAAATTGATCAAGTCGGCCGACTAAACAATCGGTAGGTGTGCGCGCTTGCGACGAGCTCCATACTGATATCGCAGTCGGCCGATAGTTGGCCTGGTTGGCCGATAGTTTAGTTTGAACGCAGTTGGGTAGCACATCAAACTTGTTTATCGGCCGATACAAAATCGTTGTAGTATGCGGACTTGCATACATCTTCATACTGATTATAAGCCCGACCAAACTATCGGCCGATAAAAAGTTTGTAGTGTGCGGGGAGCCTTTAGCATACAAAGGGACAGACAGAGAAAGCGACTTTCCTTCTCCAAACAAAAACATCTACCGGTCAACTTCAACCCACACGTACACACATACACACGTCTATGCTTGGAGGGGGAAGCTACGAAGCATCGCACAAAGAGCAGACGGGAATAATCGAAAACTTTGTATTTACGATATCACATTAGAAACCTCTAAAATAACAGTACTTCTCCACTATTTAATGGATGTTATTATACATACAAACCTTCCTCTTGAATTACTCTATCTATTAAAAAAAACCGCATCAAAATCCGTTGCGTAGTTTCAAAGATTTAAGCTCACAAAGGGACCGGAAAAAAAAGCGACTTTACTTTATACTATGTAGTGATGATGACTAAATTATCTTAGTAAATTTTTTTTACCGAATTTTGAGTTTAGCTAGTAATCAATACATTCAGTATGATTTTGTCTATTTTCTTTTAAAGTTACCTTGTCAATGAGCTGAACAATCTCTAGAATAACATTGTTCTTAGAATTTATAATTTCTAGCTTCCGGTAATAAATGAAGATGTTACACGTTACGTACTTATTGAAATCAAAGGTCAAGTGTTAGATATGTTAGTTCTTAATTATATTCAGTTGATACAATTAGTATAAAAAACGTGAAAAGATTTTGTCATAAAAAAGGCAATCCGTTCACTTCAGCAGGGACTAGGTATAAATGTTAATACCGTATCAAATTCGGGCATGTTGACTTACGTGAGCTCATCCTTATCAGAGAATAAATGAGTACTGAGCACAAGGAACGATAACATTCTTAATTTGTTTACGCTCAGTTTCGTTTCACCACTGAACGCACAACCGCATCGTATCATAATATTCGACCTGCCGCGTGTTTTGCCGTGCGTGAACACACACAGATCCACGATAGGAAACCTGCTATATAAGTAAGTGAAACACAAGTTTTGCACTTCGATAAATAGAAACATTCAGTTATATTTTTGTTTATGCATTCATTTGTGCGAAACAGAACCGTTCCACTAAATATCTTCACATATATTAACGTTATCTAGTTAAGTGGTAATGTAGTTGTACGTATCACATAAATAGGCTACATGTATAAAAAGTCTGGAGTCGATAAATACATATATAAAATTTGTAAAATGTGGCGATGTACCGACACAAGCGATTACAATACACCGCTAAAGCAATGAATATACACCGCTGAAACAACGCAACGCTTTACTTCATATCAATTTTTGAATGAATTTTTTTGGCACCGTAAAATGCGCGACGCACATTTAAGAGACGACATTCTTCTTGTGGAATATGTTGCGAAGATTCGTCGACATATAGTACGGACGGTTCTCGGATCCATCGTTGCGTTCGCAATCTTCAACTGTAATGCAAAGAATTTAAAATAGTCTAGGTTACTAAATAGTAGTCATTTTGTAATACATACGGAAACACATAAATAACGTATCCACCGCCATCGTATACACACTGAAAAACATGCACGCAATCAAATAAGTGCAGATGAAAATGATAATGGCGGGCCCGATGGGATAATGCAAGTTCTTCTCGCTTGCGAACTCTAGGTACGAGTAAACAATCGACGCAACACCAAGTGAAACGAGCATTTTGCTCAAGAAGAACAAAAAGTCAGTCACCTGCAAATCGAATCAAATTTAATAGATTTGTAATAGTTTAGTATTTACTAAATTACCTTGTCGAGAACTGCAACCCGAATAATGTTCCGCATAAGAAGACTGCACGCATCCTTGGCGCTGGCACAAAAGTTCTTCCCGTGGATGGCGCACATGATGTATGCGTTCTTGTTAATAAATTTGAGGAAAGTCTCCAGGCACCAGAAGAAACACTTGCAACAACAAAGAACTGCTTTCGTCACTGCATTATCGTATTTCTTTAATTTGTGGTCAACATATTCAAGGATTGCACGAATCATACGACATATTGCAATGATGAGGGACCCAAACGCCAATGTTCCAATGTGATATCTGAATGATATTATTACAGTTAAATAATAGTTATAACTTTAGTTATTTTAATACTACCTCAGTGTTCTGCAAACGGCTGCGGTAAGCGCAAAGAATGGAACTCTGGACTTTTTAAAAGTCCAATACCACTTTGCGAAAGTGGCAGCAAGTACCATCTCGCCAAAGGCGGTGACAAAAGAGACTCCCCAGAAGAAGGCAAACACGTTTAAGATCTGAACGTAAATAACCCACTTCGTGTTTGCAACTTCGATAAACTTGCATGTGCCGGGGCAATTCTGCGGGCAGTATCGTTCGAATAGTTCAATGGTACATTCAACACCATCCTGAAACAATTATTATGATTAATGGCTGCTCAATGGAAGAGTACGCACTGTGTTAAATTTACCTTATAGTGAGCTGCTTCACCACTACATTTACATCCATTTGCATCAAAGTTACGTATCTGATAAGATGGCGTTCCCACAGTGGAAATGTATAGCCCCACACTAATCGCAAATGCAAAGATGGCCATTTGCAGCAACCAAGGTACTATCGGGAAAAATAATGCTGATGTTACGGCACTCACAGCCCTAAATTAAATTTAAAAGACATTAAAATACACTAAAAAATTTTATATAAAAAAACATACTTGCTGCCTTCTTTTATAAGGGCTATGGCCAAAATTACTTGTTTTCTTATAAAAATAAGTACAAACAACAATAGTGCTAGAACCACTGAAGATATTATTAGCAGCACCAGCCAAAACTCTTTGGTTTTGACATATTTTTCGAACATATTCTTGGCATTCTCGTGGTCGTAGGGATGTTTTTTGTAGTAATCGTAATTCTTCGCCGTTAAGTATGTGCCTGTGATTAAAAACGACACGTTTACTTAAATGAAAACTCAGTAACTTCAATAAAACTTACTGAAAGCCAACAATGCAATTGTGCCGAAAATCGTCAACCAAACCATAATTTTGGCAATCCATCGCATGATGAAGATATACAACATGCACGCGAAAATGCCAAGCGCCAGAAAACCCAGCATTTCCGGCCAAGTATCGCGCAAGTCTTCGACAAAATCATTGCCAAACTAAAACATTTCAATAAGTTTATTAAATATATCCATAATCGAACCACAGTGTACATCAAAAGCGCACAAACCAACCATATACAAAGCTGTTACTTGAGCCTTTGAAAACTGACCAAATAAAAATACTTAAAGCATTTTGGGAAATAGTTTGCTTTGCGCTAATGATTTATTTACGTGCTATGTGTGCATAGTGAGATGGTAAAAAGTAGAAAAAGGTTTCATATAATCAACTACACATATGATTAAGTAGAGATTCAACCCCGATCGAACAATGTTTAGTTAAATGATTAGTGAGATGTTAGAAGATTTTTACAAACCGGACAAACAACATCCAAGCACGTTCACGTTCAACAATTAAAATTGGTAAACACAAATAAACAACTATAAATTAAGTAATTTGTTTCAAGCGATCAAAACGGTATTTTTTGGAATTAAGAAACATCGAGTGAGAAATGTCCGAGTACCTGTTCCCCCTGTTCAATAAGCTTAATTTGTTTTATAGACTTCATAAGATTATTTTCGGTCATTTGCTCGCCAAGTTTGTTTAATATATCGAGGACCTGTTTAATATCGCCTTCTCTGGGATTCGGAATGCATCGCTTCACAACTGCAATCAGAACCAACAGACACTCAGATCAGACCACCGCTAACTCGCAATCGCATATCTCTACCCTACCACTTCACATATGTTCTGAAAGGAAAACCATGTCATGCACATCGCGCCTATGCGACGAAAGAGTGTGAAATTAATTGGATTAGTGATGAATAAGTGTGGTAGTGTATATGTGATAGGTATTCGCGTGTGTTTGTGTGTGGGTTGTGTTTGGTGTGTTGGGCCTTCCAACATGGCTGCCATGTACCTGGTGGGCGGTATCGCTGTCAGTGAAGAGCCCGATTACGTTGTGCACGGCTAGGGAGAGTACGGAGCCGGCCGCCTCGAGATGCCGCTTGATAATCGCCCCCAAGTCTTCCTCTGGCTGGGGGTGGCGAGCCGAGTGCGTCGTGCGGGCGCGTAAATCAGCGAACACGGGCCACCGTTCGCCCACAGCGGGCACACATCGTTTGAGCACTATGAATTGGTGGAAGAGGATATCGTGTGAGAATGGCTTTCATTTTTGTTGCTAAGTACAACTGAAACGTCCCTACCCGAACCTGTAAAATGAACACTACTTCACTAGAGTATACATACCTTGCTCACTGCGCAGGTACCAACGAGTGCATTTTTTGTTATTGACTAAAGCCTCCGCTGAACTTGTTGTAGGAATCACGCCATCGACACATATTAATTTGGTGTAATCTTTGTTGTTATCCCATATAAAAGTCTCTGAGGGGCATCGGCTGACACAAATTTGTGGCGTGTTGCATCCGGTGAAGGGTACATTTGGTCCAAAACATTTACTGATGTCAAAGAAGAACAGATAAGGTTTATCGAGCACGTGCGGATCAAACCCACATCTGGAGCCGGAAGAATCGCGCGGAATCAAGAGCAGTTCGGTGTCGCCATGTGTATAAGCTATCAAAAAATAACAACTTTAGAATTTACCCAAACGTAACTACATGGTAACTTACCATAGCATGCGACGCCAATCCAACATCCAATGAAAACAACAAATAAGCCAAGACACAAAATATCCGTGCAGGAGCGATTTTTCATAGGTCCTTTAAAGTCCGGATCATACTCGATCTTTTTTCCTGCAAAAAAAAAAACACATGAATTAACATTTTTAAGCTTCAAAACATATGTCAATACACTAATATCCGCACTGAATCACCAATAAGATTATTCAATTGACCTAGACCTAGACCCACTCCGACCTCAGTCAATCAGCTGAAAGTTGCAACTTTCAAAGTATTTAAATAAAATCAGCATATACATAAATTTGCTTCAAAGAACTACTATCGCTTTCTAAATAGATTTAAGCCTACTTTTTTTTAACTTACGTTGTTTAAGCACTTTGCGATGCGTATCCAGCATGCAACAAGTCTCTAAGCACGGCATTACGCGTTCACAAAGGTTCGCGACTGGCCCACAACTCCGTGCACTCACGGACTCGACTCCCACTAGACACGTTATTCACGTTTGTTCACCTTATCAGTGCCAGATATAAATAAAAGCCACGTCGAGGTAATGGTTTTGACAAATTCAGCGATTACTGCTCAAATTATTTACTCGATTCAATGCGTTTTGTTCCATTCAATGTGCGCGCGAGCCAGTGCACGACTGCGGACTGCGGCTGCTTGATGCATGAAAGTTGGAAGTTAGATGTTGCGCGCAGGAGAGGAGGTCAACAAGTATTATGTTAGAAAATGTCGCTACATCAACTTGCATCCAGAAGTGTTTGTTTATAATTTAACAGATGCGAATCATTATATTGAAATATGCATTATTAGACAATGCTGAACGTGACACAAGTAGTTTGCCGTTTTTAAAGTGAAGCTTTATTATGTTACTGAGTACATTTACTGCACTTGCGCGTCGTGATACGGTAGAATTGCTCATTATTTTGAACAAAGAGCGCGGGCGCTAGGTTTAATGCGTAGTAGAGAGATAAAAGTTAATTAAAGACGCTATGCCTACATTTAATTGTATGTTTTGGAAGTCTACAACTGCTTTTTTTATCGGTGGTTAAATAATAATTAAAATTAAGAAATCTCAAGTCTCTCGGACGGTTTTTTATCAGACGGATATATTTTATCATCCGAACTTACCTAAATAAATATTGTCGACATTGTGTTTCAATAATTGTCGTATTCTTCTTAGGTCGTACATTTTCTAGTCGTTATTTAGATGGTATAATTTCGATTAAAATTAATTGTAATGCACGTTGCAACAAAACCTGACATATGATAGTTAAATATAAAAATGTCTAAATACTGACGGATATTACATATTATAGGCAACTCAAATTACGTTTTGTGGTCAATTTTCAATAAGCAGTACTTTTTGAGGTTAAAAATGGCAATTCAGCTTATAAATAAAAAATCAATGGGCGCCGCCATTTTATGGTACCCAAAACAATTTACTATTTACCTATTTCTTTAGTGTTTGATTATGTTAATTACTATATTAGCTTAAATCTTATCAGTTCCTACAAACTGATTACCTAAAATTACCAAACAGATAAAATCCTATGACTCATTTAATCAAAAATGCGATCATAACTACAATTGCTTATCTATCTAGGTGTTGAATTTGAATTTCTTTTAGAGTGAGTGTGGAGAAAGAATATTTGCAACGATTGCGATAAGTGACCAAACCTATCTATTCCAGTTATTATCAAACAACTTTTCATTAATTTTCTAATCCACATGATTGACCACAGGACATTACTTTAATATAGTTCATGATTCATACCTAATGGACTTTATTATTGCCGTACTTATAGCAACAAGATACGTGCAATAACAACAATAGTAAACTACAATATTATCGATTAATAAAATAAAAAATATGTCGTTCAAATATAAATATGTGTCATAAACAAAAGCGGCCCATTTTGCCTTCTAAATAGGGATCGATTGTGTACGCAATGTGTACACTCGACCTCATAAACATATTCGTAGTGATTACACGCTTCGACGAAAAACTTGAACATTTGGAACATTCCATGGTATTATAATTCATTGTACACATTAGTGTAACACCAATCACTTATAACAAGCAGAAAAACTATTAGGAATCAAGTGATATATATTACGGTTAACTGTCACTCGAACTTCGAAAAGCCTATATAGTAATAAATATACTAGCAGTTTCTGATTTATGCATGTACGAGTACACAAAAAAATAAACAAAAGTTTTTAGATTATTTAGCGGGAATATAAATTACAGGTTTTTGTCCACAACTTCTTCCGTGTAAATTTTAATAAAAATTAGTCTATCTATCTAATTACTTTCTTGGTTTCTTGGATATATTCTGCATCGGTTTAGCAAATAAAATTTTCAATTAAATTTTAAAAATGTGAGAAATGTTAATAGTGTAATCTAATGCAATTTAAAATTTATTGATGTACTTTGGTGTAACTTCCGGTCCTTTATTTACATGCTTCAAGGAAGATTTCAGCAATAAAAATAGCGTAATTACTTTTCCATGAGAAAAGATATTTCCATATCAAAATGTATCACAATTGGTTAAAAGGTTTATGCGTGAAAGCGTTACAAACAAACAAACTCCTATGTGCATTCATAAAAATAGTCAGAATTGTAGATAAGCCAAGTTCACGTAAATAATATAAATAACATGTTTAAATGGGTAAACGTAAACAGTAAGCTGTAACAATATGTCTCATTTATTGATAGAAATACATCAATACATGATGTCAAAATGCAAATTTTCACGCTAGTAAGTTGGAAATAGATAGAATTTTCAATCTACACACGAGTACATCAAACGCAACCGGAAGCGAGATGTTCACGCTGACATGGCAGGCGTCAAAAAACCACAAACCGCATTAATTTCGTCTTTCTGACTTTCCATCGTACGGAACACGAACAAAGAAACATTCGTGAACCTCATGCATTTATGAGTAGTGTTTACCTTTGTTTACTTTCGAAGCAAACGTAATAAGACCACTAAATTAATCATAACTCAAACAGAACAAACTGTATAAACTAGTTTTTTTTTCAACCGGATAGCAACGAAAATATATTACTGAAACACAACTTACCGGCGTCAATATCTGGTGTTTGTGACTTCGCCATCCTGTGTGATGACAAAAGATCTCTGCGATCTTTTAAAATAAACTATCGGCAGTGGTTGAGATCCCTCTCTGTAGCGTCGTTCAGAATAGTCCAGGTGATACTGAAAGTGAACAAATTTGTTTACATATTGTTATGACCCCATAACAACAATTAGATTATCATTATTATTTATTATTATTATTATTATATTATTATTATTATTATTATCATTAGTATATCTTATCTTGTAACTTTAGTTTAGTTTGTACACTTAACTCAGGGTCCAATCCTAACGAGCGCCCTTTGCGCATGCTCAAAGTGCAATAACTTAAGCTAGTATAAGAACCACCCCAACTGTTATTCGAAGTTAGTTGCCAGTTACCAACGATCAGCCGCCGAGCTACGACTGCCAATAAAAGCAATAAACTCTTTAAAATATTACTCGCACCCTGTCGAGATCTTCAAACCCTCGCACAACCCTAGCCGTCCAGGCAAACCGTTTTGGTACACCGGAAGCCGCGCGGTGCCGTTTCCACGTGCCAAAACACAACTCTGGTGCCAGAAATCCATTCTTTGGGTCTCTGCACCATAACAATATGTGACGATTAGTATTATCAGATTGGAGAGTTTAACGATAATAAAAGTGATAACAAACAGATTAAACCGTTTTTGAAGCTATTATTAAATACCATCGGTATACGTCATTAGTATCCGGTAGTATTTCCCAAAATATTAAAAAAATTATTAATATTATCTGCCCGCAGTCAACAATGTAAAATGAACCTGTTGAGTAGACAACGCAGGTTCAATTAACGTCTAGCCTGAATTATGAATCATTGCTGCGTGTTTGACCAAGCCTTCGAGAAATGCATGCAGACTGCATCAAGTCAAACCCAATGTGTAAAGTCAACGACACCGGTGGAAAACAACCCTTCTCTTTGCTCTCCGCCCTAGAACACTCGAGTATACTAATGTTGTTTACAAAGTTTGAAGTGCATTGTGTTGCATTGAATTGAATTGAACTGAGGTGCAAGTGCATTCGTCAAAATCAATACTAATGATAAAATAATGGCATTTCGGCACGGTTCAGTGTTCGTGCGGTACGAGTTGCGTATTGGCTCTCTAATTAGCGGAAAAGCCACGAGTGGCATAGTAAATATTAATTATTCACCGTAGTTTGTTATCGTTCTAGCGGGTTGTCACCGTAATACCAATGAAATATTTAAAAATGGCATAAACTGAGCATAAATTATGTTTAACCTAAATAAGTATTTAAATTTGTTTGCAATATTGAAGTTAAAATAATTAAGAATGAAATATATTAGTTACTTATGAAATAAACACAAAAACATAAATTTATTTATTACTGACTTAATACTATAAGTGCAAACGTGAGTTTGTGTGTGTCAATTTTGAAGAAATTTTACATCAAATGGGATATTATTGTTGTAAAACAAAAAATTAAAGGTGGAAAAAAGTTAAATGTTTGTATGGAGATTCCATCAAAGATAAAGTTATATAATACAAATCGATATGGGCTAAAATGCATAATTATACTAATGTATCAAACCAATTTTCCTTTTTTTAAATTAAAATTATAGCATATTAACTGTCAAGTGGCTAAACGGGAGTTTAAATTAAGAGCGAGCATATAATCAATCGAGTGTTTAACAAAGTTTAGCTACGTGGTGTTTACGCTATTTTTCCAGCTTCCACTCTATTTCCATGTTTAGGTTTTTGTATTTAAACATTTGTAGTTTATATTTTCGAAATTTGTTCGCACAGTACTTGGAAATGTAAGGTTATATATATCGGGATTGTTTGACTGAGGGCGCTTGACTTCATATGATCTTGTATCACCCCGTGACTAAAGTACTTTAGTCACAGGTTTGGCCATCCATGTTTAAAATACTACTTTTTGTGTCTCAAAACCGAGTAAAAACTGGCACTTTGAGAACGAGAGAAGATAAAAATAATCTTATTTAGAGTGCATAATTGATCTAAGAAACAAAAAAGGATATACAAAAGCTGTCTTCAATAAAAATCTAGGCCTAGTCAAAATAGCAGGCGAAAACTTGGTTCATATAAAATATTACAACCAGTTTCAGCCAGTTTTAAGAATTATTCCACATCCAGCTTAAATTATTAATAATATATTTTGCGCAAATATTATCAATGGAATTTCTCTGGATTAGATTCATCCGTTTACCCACTATCATTATCGTGCAAATAATCTACGCGCAATTAATTAATAACTAACGTAACGCAAAAATGAGTTATAATTATTCATAAAATTATTAATTATTAATTGATATTTTCAGCAAATAATTCAGAATTAAATTATAATCAAACTATAAAAATAATTGAACATTTTTTTCTCCAACTTTAAACAATCGTCAAAAGTCTAACGTACTCGGATACAACTGATATTCCTAAATCAAATTCTAAAATTTTATGATTTTCACGTAAATAATTTCTCGGAAATTATGAAATTAAATCGACAATGCCATGATTACATTCAAAGTTTTTATGATTTAACCCATTACTTTATGTAATAGCACCAATCATATTCTTTTACTACTTACTGATTATTCGCCCGTGCACAGAAAACGTAGACAATAACACGATTTGTTAAAACTATAGCTTCCACATGCATTCGCGTATGAAATATGAATGCAAGTGCAACGAACTTGTGATGCCACGCGTATGGTTTTCCTCATCAACGGTTCCACAATTCCGAATAACGCTTTGTGTTTCCACTTTACAGCGCATTACTCACTCATCCCGCACAATCAAACCTTTTAAAAATGAATTTACGAAAGTTCAGCATGCAGAAAAACCAAGCCCGGCTAAAAATTGGCACTTTTTAGGTTTGTTTATTTTTAAAACTGTGTATCGCGAGATAGGTAGGTACTAGCAGCCGCAAGCACCGAACGTGAATATAGTGTTAACGTTGTGCTACCGTTATTTTTGTAGCAAGGTTTTGATAAGACTGTAGACTGAATGCTACCGCCTCCACGAATGTATGCTATAATAAATTGTATGGAACGATCAACAAACACTCTGGAAGTAGTGTAGTAAGTGTACATCGTCATTTTGACAAAAACACACGCATTATCCAATTAATCGACGTCTTTTATCATTGATAGTGGTAGTAGTGTTGTAGATGGCGGTACTGGTAAGATGACGATCAGTTGCTGTCGTTTGCTTAGCCGGCCCGGCTAAGGCTTGTCGTCACGCCGATTTATAAATATCGGAAGCGTAATTTGATGTAGGTACATAGTTTGTGGTCTGCGTACGCGTAATTCGGGTTTAACGCGGACGAGGTCGTCACGCTGACATGTTAGTCATCCGTAATTGGAATTCAAACAATATGTCGAATCGTAGACGGCCCAAGGAGAATCCGAAGCATTCGAAACGTAATAGACATAATAAGCAACCACAACAATTACATGTTGATTGGATGTTGACAGAGTTAACAGAAGTGTATTTTGAGGTTAGGTCAAAGTCAGAGGTGTTTGCTTTAGTCCCAAAAACTTCTTTGATTGTTCTATAATTCATAGAGAGCATAGTTTGAACGAAGTTAATTTTAGCACGCATTTGAATGAAATTGAAATTAATGCAAGCCGACATAGCAACACGGAAATGTCAGCGAACCAATTTAAGCTCCATCAGGGTTTACCCTATCGGCAAAATATCAAAAATGCTAGGGGTATTAAATGCTATTAATTCTCTGTGCCTCGCCTTCACTGTCCGACAGAATATAATGACGCTTCATTTAATAAACTCATTCAATGCAAAAAGCTAATCAGTTCACATGGTTGCGTAAAGTTGGTATCAATGTTTTGAATACAAACAATTGTCAAGCATTTTTAAGTTTATTTATACTCATAAATACGAGGTAGTGGTAAAGGAAATAATAATATTAAATAATAATTCCACTAATTTTTGTCTGTATAAATAATTACTTTCTTGTTTGTCGAATCCGAGAAATTTTAATTTAATTTCGATTTGAATTATATACTTAACTATAACTATGAACCCTCATTTCAACTTTCATCTCTAATTTTGCACCTTTCAAATTAAAAAATAATAATTTGCTACAAAAAGTGGCATATTTCCTTTTTGACGAATTTACTATAGTATTGCAAAATTTCATCAAAATAAGTTCAATATTTTTTGCCAAGAAAACTCAACATTCACATTTATAAGATTAGTATTATGTTGTTTTTGCGACACACTGTAAACAGTGCAAACGGAAATGGAAAGTTAATCTAAGAAGATTCATGTATAGAAGCATTGTCTGCTTGAAGCGACGTTGTAGTTGCTTTCTCAGAAATGGCACATGCGATGGGATTACATGCTACACATCACGTGTGGAAAAGCATGCACATTTTAAACATTCATGTGTACATTAAAATATATCGGTCATCGTGCCAGATATTGTACAAACATGATGTAAATCGTGCATTAACATTAAAAGTGCAGTCACGTGCATCTTACCTTTTTTTAAATTTTCAAAATTAGTAGAAATGTAATAAAACCTTTTTTCTTTAATATAAAAAACAGAATTCTGCCGACATGTGTAGTATTATTTAATTTTGTTAATTAAAAACCTTATTTTAGGGAGCCGTGACAATAAAACAAAGACTGTTAAACAAAAAAAAATGAAAACTAATGGAAATGGGAGTGTTCAGTTCGTGATGATAGTATGCGCTTAATTAAAACGTTTTCTGGGTCATTTTACGCCAGCACCATTAATGTGCTATCATGACAATTCCTCGACTCGCGATCGCATGAATAATAATTCTCAAACACGAACGCAATTGGAATTGGCGTCGAATTCAAACAAACAATTAGCTTCGTTTCTTTTTTAACTTCGGCCATCGCTTGCCAGTTAATCATAGATAAACATTTCGATTCCAATAATGCAATTGGACGAATAAATTATTCATTGGTAATTCACCCGGGAATAATTAAGAGATCAACAGATAACTAATAGTAATACAATGCGCAAGTAATGAAAAATATATGCGAATTAAATTAAATTGACCACGTAACATGCAACATGTTAATTTTAGCTATTTATGGTTTTATTATAGAACTATATTTTTTATATTAAATTTGAGATCAACGTACGACTGAATTTCCCGGGATACCGACGCGTATAAATCGAAGCTACGCAGCCGGGATTCTGTGGAGTGCCGAGACAAAAGTGGGCGGCAGACAGCGATGTCGGCAGCCGCCCCACTTCACTTTGGGGTGGGTGCGTCGGCGGCACGGCGCCAAACTACCCGACTACTGGTCTCCGACTGGTTTCCACGGTACCCACTTAATCGAATCTCGTGTTGGGATGTGGACTCGGATATATGGTCTATTTTCACTGATCACACACTTAACTAGCATTTGCAAACACATAAAACTCGGAATATATAAATTTAAACGATGCGAGAATTGGCTTGTTGTGTAGGGAATTTTATGCATCTCCAATGACAATAATCTAAGTGAAATATAAAATGTAGAAATGTTGTTTTCAAGGTCGTTATAAGAAGGAAACTGACATAATAATTTTATAACATACAGAGTGTATAAAAATTAGTCAATTTTAAGGTTAGGTTTTTAAGAGGTGTATGCGGGCAATAAAACTATTTCAAGGTCTAAAACTTGATGGGAAAGAATTTCGTATATGAATAATAATTTAGGTTAGTTTGGAAAGCCAACGGAAGCAACAAATTTACAGAAACTTGATGGTTGCCATTAGCAACAATAAAAAATACTCTACACAGAATTTTGTATGCTATCAAGTTTCAAATCTTTTTTTATTTTACCAAAATTTTTGTTTAAATGTTTCTTATTTTCTAGTTTTTGAGAAATTTTCGTTTTTTTTTTCTTGAATAGTACCTATATATTCTGGTAAAATAGAATTGTTGCCTACTTATTTTGATATTCTAAAATTGAATTTGAACTTGCCACATGTCTCACGCATCTATTTTAAACCATTTCTTCAATTCCAAATAAAAACCTCCACCAATTTTATATTTTTACGATGCTTGACATTGACGCACGAGAAACATACCCGCAACGCAAACAACAACAGTAAACCTAATTAAGTGATCGAAACCTAGGTAATCTCCTGTTCGTGCTCATGATCAATCGATGTTTACAACCCGCATATTGTTATTCGTTACGTTAATCGAATCAAGTAGCAACGAATCAATTATTAAATAAAAAAAACTAAAAATATAAACCACTTTATTAAAAAAAAAAACTTACCTCAAAAAGAACGTTGAGAAAATTGCACCACGTTGGTGATAGTCTTGGATAAATAAAATAACTAGTGCGTGTTCATCGCGATGTCATCGCCGATAAACGTACAAAATACAACTGTGCCGAGATGCGAACGCGAGTTGCACTTGAAATGTAATGCGTGGCGCTGCGCAGTTCAGCGCATTGCAACATTAATACAAGTTCTGAACAATCTGCAACAATATCTCGAAATCAAAATTCAAGACGCACCTTAATTACAACTTTAAAATATTTACACCTGTGCGCGATCACGTTTTCAAAAATTGCAGACACTGACTTAATTAAACATTGCACAATTTAATTCTAATCGGTGACAAAGTTTCAATGCGCATATGCAAAGTTTACTTTGCACGTATGATTAAACGAAAGCGTAACATGCACATATAAAAGACACTTATCAACGAAACAAAGCACATCAAATACCTGTTGACTGTGCAGTGTGTACGGGCCAACACGTACCGTATGCGTGCGTCTTTCGCGGCGCGCTTTCCCCGACTGAAAATAAACATCACAAGAACAAGGCCGACAGCGCGGCTGAGCCGCTGTGCGCCATCATGCAGCACCGCTGCCGGTAGAGATTTGTTGTTGTTTTGTTTGCTTTACGTTCCTTTTAAACTCGGCTTCGCATGAGTGGCGAACTCATAGCGAACGCAGCGTACAGCTAACGCTTTGTATCCATTTCCACTTCCCCATCCGTTGATTTACCTTGAAGTTCAAGTTGTGTTCAACTTCTTGTACGTAGCACTTGTGCACTTGAAAAGTTATGGATGCTTTTTGTATTGTTGGTTGCCTATTACCAAAACTGAGATTCAAGCGTAATACATAGATGCAAAACTTAATTTTTACATTGTTTGATGTTTTTTCTCGTTAATAACGTCTAGACTATTATAAATTAATTAATACCAGTTCATTCATGTTTTGAAAATATGACAATTTGTTATTTTGCTCTTTCTGAGGTATATTTTTAGTCGCATACTATCTTGGTCGTACTTACTAATAAAGGTAAATGTTTATAAAAAATTCAAAGTTGAAAACGACTTAGTTGATGTAGGCGGTAAAATAATTAATGTTAAGTTAATTATCGTGCCACCATGACGACGTCCGTGGCCGTCGCGTTTCAATAGTGGGGAGGCAGATTTCCACAGCGTCATTTGAATTTCCCGCGGCTGACATGGCGGCAGCTCATTTCGAGAGCAGATGTCGCGGCGGTGGTTTCCTTTCGCGTAAATGAAGTAGCGTAAGCGTGGCTAATCAAGGTACAAAAAGGTAAAGTGTCTGCAAATCGCGCCTCCGGTGCTGGTGGTGAGCGTATGGTGTGTGTGGTTGGGGGCGGCCGACAAGTTACGGGCTTGATGCATGCAGGCTGCGACCGTAGGCGGCGACAGGCGCGGCGGAGTCCATGCAAGTGACGTGCAGGGCCCGTCCGTCGCCGCCACAAACGTCAATGAAACATACACGCGCAGCGGGCGCGAGCGAGACGGCGCTGTGTGACGGGTGCGACTCGCTCGGTTTGATATTTGCCTCCTAGAGGGTTGCGCCGCATTGTGTCTCGTCGCCCAGCTCGTATGCCGGCCGCGCTCTGCCGCACCGTTAAAATTCGTCACGTTCCAGCTAGCATCTCGTGTTTATAGTTACATTTTTTATAGGAAAATGAGTAGCTCCGAGGAGGTTTCGTGGATCTCATGGTTTTGTGGACTGAGGGGCAATGAGTTCTTTTGTGAGGTGAGTCTTGTCATGCACTTTGCACCCAACACTATCCCCCAAACTGACCTTGCTGTGTGATTGTAGGTCGATGAGGATTATATTCAGGACAAATTCAACCTAACAGGATTAAATGAACAAGTACCACACTATAGACAAGCACTGGATATGATATTAGATTTAGAACCAGGTCAGTTACACCTATCTAACTATGCCGCATGTGTATGAAGCATATTTCTTATATCTTTACAGATGATGAATTAGAGGATAATCCTAATCAATCAGACCTGATTGAGCAGGCAGCTGAGATGCTCTATGGTCTAATTCATGCTAGGTACATTTTAACCAATCGCGGAATCGCCCAAATGATTGAAAAGTATCAGTCAGGAGATTTTGGTCACTGTCCCAGAGTGTATTGTGAATCACAACCTATGTTACCCTTAGGCAAGTACATATTCCAAGTTAAAAAAACGTATTCTGTCATATATTTATTAATCTATGAAATTGTGTGCAGGTCTATCCGATGTACCTGGTGAAGCAATGGTTAAATCATACTGTCCGAAGTGTATGGATGTGTACACACCGAAATCGTCTCGACACCATCACACCGACGGTGCTTACTTTGGCACCGGCTTCCCGCATATGCTCTTCATGGTGCATCCAGAGTACAGACCTAAACGTGCTACAAATCAATTCATTCCGAGGTACGACAAAACCGAACACAGCAAAATAATTTAATTTCGTTATTTATTTGTTTGTCGGGTTCGTTCGCAGATTATTTGGATTCAAAATTCATCCACTGGCATATCAGCTGCAGCAGAACGCGGCGTCGACGTTCAAAGCACCAATGCGCGCCAGTATCCCGTACAACAACGGCAAGCGTTAATTTCAGTTGATACCTAGAGCTAGCTGCGCCGGCGCGTCTTCACAAGACACAACACAATGGACGCGCTGCCGAAATTCTGAAAACAAATGAACAACACCTCGAGCTATGTGCGCGAGCCGCACATACCTACATTCTATCTGTATTTCTTAATCTAATAAAAACGATGTCAAAAACCAAAAAAAAAAAACATGTAAAGAGAATAATGGAAGGAAAGAAAGCACTGCAACGAGCGACGCCAAAATGTCTAGAGACCGGTATTGGGAAGAGAACAAATACAACAATAATAATTTTAGGGTATTTAAGTAAAACAGAACATTGAACACGAAAAAGCGTCCGTTACTAATTTATATATGCGAAGCTATACTAATTGTGACTAAACGAGCATGAGAGAACGCGGATGGTCTATAGAACTCGATGGAGACTGCTGTGGCATTATTTATTTATTTTTCGGTTGGCAAACAATTACACGCCTCCACTCTTTTATTGAACGTTGTGTCTTTTTGATTGACAATTGAATTAGTTTTTGTTCTATAGATATGTTCTATATTTAAGTGTGTAGCAAGAAGCAACCAATAAAGTTCTCTTATTTTTCATTTGTGTGGCGTTTCGGTGTGGGCGCCTGTGATTACCTGCGTGGACGTCGACTGTTGGCCAGCAGCGGATGTGTATTCATAAGTCCGGTTGATATTGGAATCTGCGTTCAAGTATCGCCTTTTAGTTTGCTCTGTTGCTCGAGGAGCTGCTGCAGAGATTGCGGTGGTGCTGCGCCAAAGAACGACTGCTGGCGTTGCAAGTCTCCATTGGAGCGCAGCTGCGGTAAAGCTGGCGCCCACGACGATGTGTTGAAGAGAGAATATCCAGGTGCATTATTTATCTACAAGACGTATGTTTAATTGAGATAATACACTAGAATTATATACTATACGTACGTTGTTTTGATTACTAGGACCTGCATTATTTGGCATCATATGTTTGCTGCTCTCGTTCAGCATTGCCTGCCTCATATTCATCGAATGGTGTTGATTAGGCGGCATGTTCATACTCATGTTGGTGTTTGGCCCACGCGCGTTGTTCCATGGACTAAACATGTCGCTGGGTCCTTGTTGTGGTTGCGGTGGTGGACCCTGTTGGCTGTAATTTTGATTAAACAAGTAGTAATCCTTCGGATACTGTTGCTGTGGGGGCGGTTGTTGCCAATTGGGTCCAGGGCCGCTGGGTGCCGGTGGACCGGATCCAGGCCCCGGGCCAGTTTGTGGTGGTGGAGGCCACCAGTTGTTAGCTCTCTCGTCTCGATTAAATGGCATATTGTAGGTCGGTTTGTCTAGCATCGGCGGAAAATTCATTGATGCTGACGGAGGGCCATTGAACAAGCTTTTGTTCATAGCGTTGTGTGCCATGTTAGGCGCCATGTTTGGCATGTTATTCATCATGAAATTGGACATATCCATAGGTGGTTTTTGATAGTGCATGTTTTCCATATGTGGTGTTGGGCCTCCGCTCTGTGGCGGCATTGGGATTTGCGGAGGTGGCGCATACGAGAAGAAATCTTTCTCGTTGTTATGTGGTGGTGGTAAGTTATGATTTTGATTAGGAAATTGCATTCGGAAGGATTGATTTACTAATTGGGACGGTGGCGGGGCGGGTAAGAGGGGTTTCTTAACAGGCTGTTTTTCTGTTGCTTCCGGACTAAATTTAACCTTGATCACAATAAAAAATTAAATAAATTAAATTCAAATTTAGGAATTACTTTAAAATTACAACGTACTTGTTTATTTTCCTCTAATTTCTTATATATCGACTGCAATGCCACGTTCTGCGTCACTCTCTTCATTTTAGCGTTATCTAATTTAGGCACATTTGTATTTTCCTCTTGTAGTTTAACTTGCCGCTCTTCACGAGACTTTTCCAGCGAACCTTGCGGTTTCAAAATGCCTGCTTTCCTTTCAGAAGCTAATAAAAACTCAAATATTACAACTTAAAATAATAAATAAGCATAAAAAAGGCAAACCTTTCAATTTTGATACATCAAATGGTTCCGAAACTTTAAACGATTTCATTTCCTCTAACAGTTTATCTGTTGGATCCGGCTGAATGCAACCTGGCTCAAACACTAATACCCCATCAATCTCATTGCTAAAATGATTGAAATACGTTAGATTAATAGCGCGATCGTACATAATTATAGCTCACCTAATAATTAATTTACTGCCATTCACATCAAAAGTGCACAACCATTTGCCTAGGTCAATTAATCGCAGAGCCTGCAAGTGTTTCTCCGCGTCAATATCCTCCAAACTCTCTTTGAATTTCAAATGACTAAAAGCTTCTTTGAACGGAGTGAAGCCTTGCAACTCTTTGTCCGCTAATAAAGGTTTATTTACATCTGCAACACAACATTATTATTTCCTATCAAATCTAGAATAATTGATAACTTACATTCATCATTAGAGTATTGACTATCAACATGTTCAGTAATATTATTCAACAGTTTACAGTAACCTGGCCAAATTTGCAGTCGACTAGTAAATTCGGTTTCTTTCAATAAGTTTGGTTTGCACTTAATCCAAAGTAACAATAGTCTAACTAAAAACATACCAAAAATAAATATAAAACAGATTTACTACTTAATTGACATACTTGCGGGTAGCGCATAATAATCCAAAATACTGGCGTCATTCTTCAGCGTATACACCGGAAGTAAAAACGCACTTAGTGATCCAGCCAACAAAGCCAACGCCATTTCTGCGGTGATTTTTTCCTCATCGGTGAGTTCGTCCTTTCCTAAATGATGCAACGCATACATATTAATAATGCTGAGCATAATCAACTGGTCCTCGGAGAAGCTCTGCGTAGCGACAAGTGCTGTCAGCGTGGCATTGATACTCTTCAAACAAATCGCCGCTTGCTTCAGGTCAGTTTGGGTGTGAAGCAATGCGTGCATACGAAGAAACAAACTGATGAATTCATTGACAGAGAGTTTGGTTTGAACGACTTGTACGGGGCTTGAAGTTTTATATAAAATAAATAAATAAATATTTAAGTCTTGCACTGAAAATATATTAAATACTTACTTGTCCTTGTCAATTTGTGCTGATAATGTTTTCGTCAAGTTAGAAATGGCTGCGGGAAATGGATTTTTCACCGCAATACCACGCACGTATTGAAACACTGTCGACAGCTTATCGCCCTGAGAAGTCTCCAATAATGCTAGCTGATTATAGGGATGGCCACTGTTTGGTGAAACTAGTATAGCATGCTTGTAAAAACTTTCAGCCTGTTGCCTCTGATTTCTGTACCTAGCTATATCACCCAGGTGCACTAGACAATATTGACAAATGTACAAACAGGAAGAGGATTGAGGCACAATCATGGCTGACTCTGTATATGATCTCAGTCTTCCAAAAACTGCTCCACATTTTCTAAAGGGCAGGTCTAGGTCATAAGTGGAGCATAACTCTTGCAGCAAGGATAGATAGAAACCTGAAGCAGCTTCTAAGCACCATGATAGCAGATATTGGGAATCACTTCTTCTGGGATTCTATGAAACAAAATGGAAAATATCTTTGGTCATATGCAAAATGCAAAAATTGTATAAAAATAATTAAATCCATAGTAATATTACCTTTTTATCTCTGGTGAGCTCCTGTAGGGCAGATATATGATTCTTAAATCCCAATGTCCATAAATCCTGCTCCACTTTCTTGTCAAGTGCATATTCTAAATCTATAACCAAAACCTGATGATAGATAGTCTGTAATTGCTGTTGGTCGGTCCAAGCATGCAGGTTGTTCAAAAGATCCTGCTGCTTGGCAGATACTTTGGCTTTCAGCGGCTCCGCCTTCCTACAAGCAAGTGAAAATCGTAAAAATTGTAACAAAAATTACTGCAATTTGAGGTTATTATTCAAATACTTACTTCAACACCTGTGCGGCCGCTTTGTAACCCATTATTATACATGAACTCTTTCCAGATTAAGTAAGAGTTGTTGATTTGTTTGGTATCATGTCACTTGCTGGGTATGATAACGTGTCATTGTTTATATTTCGATTTGTGGTGTAATGCAATTTAGACTCGCACACGACGAGCGAGATTACTTGAACTTGTGTGATTATCAAAAGATCCGTTGACAGCGCTGCTTAGTGGAACTATAATTATTATCCTTAGAGCGCACTTGAAATGAGTGTGATAATAGATGGCGACAGTATAAAATGGACTTTTACACAAAAAAATGATTAAACAGAGATTTTTATTTTTATTTTCAAACATCTTTGTACTTTGCATGCTTTTCCTAAATTTAATGACTAAAAATGTTTTTATGTCATAAATCATACTTTATTTGTGCAACAGTATTTCACATTTATATTTTCTAAAAGAAATTATAACCAAACAACGACAAAAAGAAGTTTAACATATAAGCGCCAATAAAAATGAGAAAGCATACAAGAGTGTAGTGAGCAACAAATAATTTGCGATGATGTCGATTGGCGTCCTCTGCCTTTGTCACTGGCTCCTTCAGTATGTAGATGCGTCCTCCGAGTACGTAGTCCTTTGCGTATTCTTCCCAATTGAATGTGCTCATGCGCAGCTCGAATAACTCCTGATCGGTTTTGTTCATTTTCTCAAATAAGGCAACAATTTTCCGATGTGGCATTTGCCATTCTCGCACCGTGAAGAAACTGATGACTTCCGTGAATTTTCGTATCTTCTTATAACCCGCTACTAACCTAAAGCCAAAAGAAATTTTATAAAATTTTGAAAATTTTTACAGGTCACTATTGTTACTCACAAAGGAGTCTTCCCCATGATTTTTAAAATTCCATCAACAATGTGTGCTGGAATGGTGTGTAGGAGAAACCAATACAAATTATACAAAAATAAATATCTAGTTGGTAAGAAAAATGGCCTCCAGATAGCCGACATCAGTGGATAGTTCCTGCCCTCCTTTGAACAAAGATCCATGTATGTACCTGCAAGACAAAATAATTTAGTCATATTAAAACAAAAACCAGGAGGGGGTGAGAAACAAAAATGGCCATAATACTAACTCCAATCAATTGAATGTTTCCATGACGTAAAATTATACACATCGAAAGCATCTGTACTCCGCTCCTTCTGGGATGTATTATATGCAACAGCTAAAAGTGCATTCACCACAAAGTCAACTGGTACGATGTCTGCTTTCTTCACGAGATCACAATGCAACGTGCGTAATAATCCCACCCCACAGCTAACCGTCGCTCCTGGCGGGCCGTAAACATTGTCAATCCATCCTGGCATAGGTTCTTTGTAAGAAGACAAAACTATAATCAAATAAAACTTATAAATAATATAAAATTGTATGTTATTGATGATTTTTAACTCATTGATGGTCGAACAATTGCAATTGGAAGTGGATTGCCGGGGTCTTTGGCCATGCGAGACACTAATTCTTCAGCGACGCACTTAGTGTAAGTGTAAGTATTGGGAAACTCTCCTAAAAGTCTACAAAATATTAAAATAATAAAATAACCGTAATATATTTCAGTTTAGTTTACGATGGTTCCATTGTCTTGATGAATTTGTCATCCGGAAATGTTTGCAACAACGTATTTAATTGTTCTTCGGTCATAGGCGGTTGATATATTTTCTCTTCGATCGTTTTTTCATGGCAATTTGAAAAGGCGGTGCTCACATGTATAAAACTCTAAAAAAATCAAATATTATAATCATTAAACATTAAATTAAATGATTACCTTTAATTTTATCATTTTCTTGGCGTTTTCTATCAAATCCTTTGTTGCTCGGACATTTATGTAATAAGCAGTGCGAAAACTTTGATCAAATCTCACTGTTGCAGCACAGTGCAATACAACTTCAACTTCCGAATGCAGAATATTCCAATTTTCTTCGGAAATATTCAGATTTTCATCACTGCAATTTCCGGTTATCATTGCGACGTGTTGACGATAATCGGGACATTCTTTTTTGAGGCGGTCGTATAGTACTTGTCCGAATATTTCATCAAAACGCTCCACTTCTGATTTACCCTTTTTTTGACGCACTAATATGTAGACCGTTTTCACACGACACACACGTAACAGACGTTCTAAGGTTACTTTGCCTAGGAAGCCTGTGCCACCAGTGAGAAAAACTACTTTATCAGTAAAAAAATTCACAATTTCCGACGCTTCAGCCATTGTTAAGTTACTGTTGAAACTATTCCTGAATTCGCATACAACATCAAATCAGAGTATAAGCTACGAGTACAAACTTTGCTTGGTTTGTCATTGCTTTTATACGCGATTGATAAGGCAATGACTTGAAAATTATCAATCATTGTGCAAATTTTGCAATTTTTATGCCTGAGTTTAATGCTATTGTTATTAGCCAATATTAAGATTGAGCATATGAAATATATTTGGTTTGGCGTTTAATAACAAAAGTTTATACATATGCATAGTGTATTTAATTAGAAATGTGCATACATTTCAACGATTACGCACGATTTTTTTGTTGAATCAATGTGAAACAGTGAAAGTCAAAATTTTAAATTGCCTTAAACATTTTTTTGCATAAGACTATTCTGAAATTGGGAAATTCGACTTGTAAAGTGAGAAGTAGGACACGAAAAGTGAAATTATGACAGGCATAATGAATATTATCTACGGCTTGGCCGTCCGTATATAAATTACCACTTTTTTGTCTAAAAACCGTGGAAAAACTGGCGCTTTATAGGTGGAAGTAAAAAAATATATAAAACCACACGCGCTGTTTTAAATACGAGACAAAGTTTTGTGGAATTTTCCGTGTTTGTGAATTGTGAACAAATATCATTCTTTTGCCAAAAATTAACAATCTTTATTTAGCATGTTTCTAACAATAGTAAATATTGCATTTTAAAAGCACCAATGTGTTTTGATAAAATAATTCTTCACCTTACTGCAATGTTGACCTTATCTCGGACGAAATGCATCTAGATCGTATTTAAATATAATATTTGGTAAATAAATTAAAACGATTTGAATAACAAACAACTCGGGCGGTCCTTAAAGACACTTTCGACCATATCAAACACGAAATAATTTAAGTTATACCCCGCCACATATGATATGGGCCAGTGTTTCAGCCCTGCACAGCAATGGCGGCTCTTTTGACCAACCCATCGTTGTTGTTAATGCCTTGTGGCGCACCACCATTGATATCCGTGCTGTGTTCCAAACTCTGGGCCTTGGTAATACTGGGATCGGCCTGTTCATGGATTGGATGGGTACCATCGCCGGTTCTTAGCACGCGATGTTCGACGATGTTGTGTGGAGTAGTGCGTAGGTCATAAGCTAACCCTACACTAGCAAGGAAATTGATGATGAAGGTCGTCATTGAGTATCGGCTACCCAGCTCAGCTGCGCGGTAATCCCACGGGAAGGCATGATGATAGTTATGCCAACCTTCACCCTGTGAGAGGAATGACACCAGGGCACTTTCAACTGGTTTCAAATTTCTAAAATTATAGTATTTAGTATTATAGAAACACATTTATGAATTTTAACTTTATCCTTACTTGTCATATGGTTTCGTTCCGTAGAAGTGGGCAGCACTATTGACCAACCAGGTTATGTTCAGCATAATGACATAACGAGCAAAGAACGCAACAAAAAGTGAGTTCCAGTAGGATTCATTCCAGAAGTACACTGGAATACCAACCGGGAGAGCCAAAGCAAACACCATGTACAATGGTTTGTAGAATCTGGAAAATCATAACCAATACTTTAGTGTAACCAAGGTTTTAATGTTTATATGTTTACTAGCTTTTGCCCGCGACTTCGACCCGGTAGTGTTTAATAAAAATGTAATTCGATTTTACTCTTATGTTCTAGACATGGTATGTGTCAATTCCATCAATGAGATTTGCAATTTTATTTTAAAGAAATTAATTATATAAAGAATTGCTAATAATGCACTTCAGCGCGCCATCTCGGATTCAACTATTTAACTATAACTATGATTGAATTTCAATGCCAACTTTTATCTTATAAAAAAGGGCTGTATTTAGGGTTTACCCGGCTATTATTTGAATTTTTCTCGCTATAAAAACCATCCTTGGACTTTAACAAAAATTTTATAAAAAGGACTGGCCAAATTGGTCCAGGCGTTGTTGACTTATGCGCTTACCAACAAATTTTGCGATTCATTTTTATATTATAGAAGATATGACTTGCGTGCTATAATCCCAAAGCTATTAGTGTCTTCAATGTTATTCAACACATAAGACGTTGATGATGTCTGTTGCAATTATTACTTGACGACAAATTGCAACATTTTGATGTGTGACACGTGCACATTTCCAATTATTATATTTTGATTGCAGAGGCGTGAGCAAACATATTGATTAAAGTGTTCATAGTGAAGATTTTAAACTTAAAGACTGTTTGGTGTTGTGGACCAAACAAGTGCAAAACAAAATGGCTGACACATATTGAATAACTTTAGGTTATGTTTAACTTACTTCTTTTGGAACATCACCATCCAATCCGCTTCCAAATCAGACATATCGATTGTCTTGCCTTTGCTGACAACGGCCGGATGTTTTCTGCTCATCAGCCATCCAACGTGCGAAAAGAAGAAGCCACGGTTGGCGTTGTGCGGATCGGCATCAGTATCGCTGTACTTATGATGCTGACGATGATCACGCACCCAGATGTACAGACAATTCTACACAACAACAAAACAACACAATAATTAACAAAGAAGTTTAAAAAAAATCCGAGAGAAAAACTGGAAAGCGATAAGTCCACCTACTTGCGCAATCATCTGGACAACAAATGTGCATAATGCAAGTCATAAGAGAAGAAACAAACTAGAGCAAAAACAGAAACTAAGTCTTTGTAGCCAATACACACACAATGAGTGATTGTTGTTTATTTTTCAAAACATCAAAGAAAATCGTATTTGAGGGCTTCTTGCAACGCGTGCGCGCGTGACAATAAATATTGGAAAAGAATGTGAATCAGAACGTAATAATTGACACTGGGTTTGTATCTATCGGTCGATTGGGTACATTCTTTTGTTAGATCGCCTAACATCATTAGTATTAGAATTAGAATGTCACAAAATTTTTTCTATTTTGTAGCTAATGCTTCCTTTAACTTGATTAAACAAGAAAATCTATCAATACGTGAACATATGTCAACTTAAACTCAATCAGTTGTCAGCAAACATTTTGAAAATCGTTGAGTTTCACTTTCCAAGAGTTTTCAAGATGGCGGAAACAAAATTTGATTAATTATTTACCTGTCCAGCTATTGTGTGCAATACCAACAGTGCCGCACGCAGTGGAGGTGTTGCTTTGAACGCCTTGTGTGAGAATAGTCTGTGTGCGCCGATTGTTACGCCCTCGCCTGATGACAACGCCAAAAAACCCACTGCAAAACAATTGAATCACAACTTTTAATTATGTTATATAATTATTGTTGTCGTTAATATAAATACGGAGGATGCGCATCATGTGCTTCATCAAAACAACTTTCTACAATACCAATCAATATTTTCTATTTTGATAACATTTTAACCTTGTAGTTAGTTGTTTCGAAATGTTAAGGAATATTTGGTTAAATTTTGATAGAGTATTTGAAGCATCCTTCAGATTGAAGTGTCTCACCATCTTCAAGTGCAATGACGCATATGTCTTTGGAAACCTTAACATGACGCAAGGCTGGCAATCGAGTGCTTTTCACGATTTTCAAGTTTCACCTCGGACGGCATGTGACATTCAGTGCTCATTAGAGTACTTAAGTGGTGAAACGCTAATCGAAGGTCTTTCCATCGAAACTGAGCATGCCAACCAGTCTAATGTCTCAGCAAATGATTTTTAAATTACTTATGATTTACATTTGTATAATAACTTCATACGCAATACCACGAAACATTAACTAATTAAAAAAGGAAAAAGTCATTTAATTTTAGGCCGCCATTAACTTCCGGTTGGAGGAAATAAAAGACTAATAAACTAATTTACCAGTACTGAATGAAAGAAATGTACTTACTCCAAATAAAAGTGTAGATGCGCGCCTGGAAGATCATCGTGAGTCCATAGAGACCCGAAAGATGCAGGGCAAGGAAACCAATTGCGTTGAACCAGACAATCTTCCGTTTGAAGGTGTAATCCGTGCCGATCTCGGCGGGTAGCTTTAGATGCGTTGCGCTGTGCTTTTCTTGCAGTGGTGCTTCTTCTTCCTTGGGGATGGGATCCTTTGCGTTGGGCGCCATCTTTATAGTGTGTCGTTTGTTGCTTATTTCTCTGGTGTGACTGGTGAGCGACGTTCTGGACAAAAGCAGACGTTTAGCATGCGGTGTGCAGACTGCGGACGCGCTTGTCCGACGAATCCAATTTCATGCGGTGCGGCGTCGTTTGTGCATAGGACTTATAAATGTTGCCCCTACCTTTTTGAACCACGCGCCACTCGACCATCACTTTGGCAAGACTTGTCGAGACGCAAGCAAAATGATTTAAATGATGGGATATTAGTGGAAAGAAAAAATTATGCGCTGCGCTTTCTTGCATGCGGCAAGTATGCGTTTTGCTCCTGATTGTCGATGGGTTTAACTTGTCTAACCCAAATAGCGAAACAATCGCATGATGGCTGATGCATCATTGCATGAAATTTGCTTCTTTAGCGCCGACAGCCATTAAAAGCACAATTAAATTTATGCAAACATAATTTTTGTATAAATAAACATTTGCAAACAAATAAATTAATATACGATGAGTATAAACTAGATTTTATTTAAATTAACTGATGTTATTAATTAATTCGTCAAAAAAAAGGTTTTTTTTATCAAAATATTTGATATCAAATTGTTTCTTCATTTGAGGTTAAATCCTTCTAAAAATTTTAAATTTTGAATTTATTATTAATTCATTAAAAACTAAGACGCGACAAGCGCCCATAAATCATGTCTGTAATAATTATACGCCAATAAAAGTTTCCCAACACTTTGTATAATTAAATAATCAATGACTTGCAAACTAATTAAACGAATTACACAGACGAGCTCAGATTTCTTCGTCGTGGTTTCTTATTTTCGAGATCATTTGCGCATAGATTTCAATTCGATTGCCTTTTTCTCACTGCACGGTAATTAATAATTTCTAATTGAAAGAAAAATCACCTTGGACTTGACAATAAACTTACTATAACAATTATACGGTACTGTAAAATAGAAAATGAATTACCTTGTTTGTTTTCCCCGATTTTTTTGTTTACCAAAATTTGATCACAGGCAAACACAGTTAAAGTACAACTACGATTAAAGTGAAAATCACCACACTGCAGGCATATTTATAATTTTTCTTTATCTCGATACGAATACAAAGACGAATTAATTTTTTAATCTCGGTTTAATTAGCGCGCGTTATTGCATGACACAAAAATATCAACGTTTTTCTAGAAGTAAATAATAATCAACGATTTCATTGCGGCAGTGTTTTTAGATTGCAATAAATATTAATTAATAATTTGAATAATTAATCAGTTGATAACAAAACAAGTAATCACAATTTTATTTCCTGGTAAAATACCGAATCAAAGTGTAATCATGAATATTTCACAATTATTTATTTATTTATTTTGATTTAGCAATAAAATCAATAGAAAAACCAACACTTTGAACTTGAATTCAAAAAACCCAATTCAATAAATATTTCTTCAATTTAATCAATTGGGATTTCATTAAAAAATTTGAGATATTTGTCTATTTTTAGCTACTAATTGATTTTTAATGAAACAAATATTGTTTGTCTTATACCCAACATGTATTATGTCACGTTTGTCGTAGGAAATGAAGGAAAAAGTGCGCGATATGAAACAATTTCGATTTCGAGCGAAATAAAACGTCATAAAACGCGACATAATGATCGATACTATCTACATACCTACACTTATGCGGTAGCTAGTGTTGCGTTTTTGATAGAACAGTCTGGTGAGGCAGTGAAATGTTAAATATCAACGCGTCCATCAAAATTGTACCGGGCTGATGGTGCGACCGAATTAATAGCAAAGCGCAAAATGCGTCTTGCTTTTGCGTCGCGTGGGTAATTGAGTTGTGTGCAATATGCGTTTTACGAGCGTGCACAAGACGCGTTAAATAAAAATGAGTAAAAAGCTATGATTATATAACGTATTGATTTGATATATAATAATCTATTTCAAGTAAAACACATTTATATACATTTTAATCGTATTGTAATATTTACATGAGTAGTAATAACTTGTTAACGGAATAGGGACATTAAACGGATCATAGATGTCGCCAGTGTACGTCTTCCTAACCTAATATTCATCATAACCTCAAATATGATTTAAAAATCAATTTTTTTTAGTTTATTCGGTGTTTTCAAAGTAGATAATCGCCAAAGACGTAATATTTTTTTATCTGGAAACAATGTGTTCATATTTACACAGTGACGAAGTGTCGCAACAACCTGCGGGAGCTAATCAACATCGCCATTTAACTCTTTCGCTTTCGTTCGCGTTTCATTCATCGAAACTGATCGCGCGTGTGTGCGCGCATTGCGTGTGTGAAAGGTGCTCGTATTATGTGAACTTTTTGCATCATTGCGCCGGCATTTTCCGTCGAAATCGGCTGGAAAAAGCCAACACGGCGTGCGTTTTGTTTCGGCAAAAGTGGCGCTCGATATGCACTCGCGTGCAAAAAGACGCGCGGCGTTCTTTCTTGTCGTCGCCATCGCAATAGAAATGGTTACGGCTACCACTAATTCATCGGGCATCAACGACAGCCGCAAGATCGGCAAGTTTTTTCATTATCAACCGTACGGTGCTCCTGTTTATGGGACGCCAAGCAAACCGATTCCGCAGCAGCAAAAGTGCGGTGAGTACGAGTTCCAAGACATATTTTAAAGTGATTTGTATTGTGTGTCATGCGTAAAAGAAGTGTGTGAAATAGTAGTGTAAGTAATTTTCTTTCAAAATTTTCGCAATGTATTGAAAGTGTTGGATGAAAGGCGCCCGAATTGCAGCCGGCGTCGAATTAGTGGATTTAATGCAGAATGCGCGTGTGCACTCGCCAATTTTCGCAACTCTTTTGATTGCAATTTGTCTCCGGGTTGGCAAAGATTTCTCGGGTGAATAACAAAAAAAGTAAAAGTCAATTGGTTGCTGCATTGTGGGCAATGGGCATTAGTAAAAGTGGTGTTGCACATTTTCATCAAAATCGCCATTCATTCGATATAATTATTATGATTTCGTGAGTTTTTGATTATAATGGAGAATGTCACATGTTACACCAATTGCAAAATTTGGCATAGATTTTATTAAGAAAGTTATTGTGTCTAAAGAAGATATAATGTTCTACATCTGACAATGTAACAAAAGGTTTACTTTTTTTATTTGCCAAATAAGTAAACCTAACCTAAAATCTTTTTCTAACCTTAAAATAACTTAAATAACTTGACAATTTTATTAGATTGTGGAAGAAGTAATCGCCTCATTCGACCTGAAGCAAAAATTATCAATGGGAGTGCAACTCGTCCACATGAATATCCATGGATGGCAATCATTTCCAACAAAGGGCAGTATTTGTGCGCAGGATCGTTGATAACAGACTATCACGTTTTAACAGCTGCTCATTGCCTCAAAGCTGAGTTGAGTAGCAATTTTTTCATTTTATTTATTTTTTTAAATTTGATATATTTTATAATATATTGTTTTCAGTATTTTAAGAGATGACATGAAAGTGATACTTGGACAACATAACAATTGTGAAGAAAACAGTGATATTGTAACCTTTTCCGTGAGCGACATCATTCGACACAGTCGTTTTAATCCGGAAACATTTGCTTTTGACCTGATGTTACTCAAATTAAACATGAAAGTGACTTTTGGGCAGTTTATCAGACCAATTTGTTTACCACCATTAGGTATCATAATATTTGCCATACATAACCTATAATTATAACCAATTTTTTTGTTTATAGACCCGTATCAGCGAACGGTAACAAAAAAATATAAAAACCGTGATGGAATCATTGTCGGTTGGGGCACAACGAATGTCTTTGATGATACCGAGCTCAGTTGTCTTCCACTTCAAGCCGGTGTGCCTATTTTGGGGCTGGATTCATGCCCTGGTTATGATGAGTCTTTGTTCTGTGCGGGATACCTCAATGGAGAAGCTGACAGCTGCCAAGTAATCAAATAACATAATTTATAAAACAATTGAAATTGATTCGAATAATTTTTAGGGTGACAGTGGTGGTCCGCTTCAAATACAAAACAAAGACACACGTTTTGAGCTTATTGGGATTATCTCGGCTGGCGAGGGTTGCGCGGTTGCAGGACGTCCCGGATTGTATTCGGACGTGTTACAAAACCTCAATTGGATTTACAAACGCATCGCAGGAGCATCATGTGGGGCCTATCCCTATGGTTTTGTGGTTTTATAAAGGAATATAATATGCTATGTATGTTAATACTTATTAATCATAAATAAACTATTATTTTATTAAAAGTTACTACAAAAAGCGAGGTTTTGTTAATAATCACTTTTAACACAATAAACTGCATCCCTAGTGTTTCTCTTAATCCAGTCCAAATGGGAACTGATTCTTGTGAAGAGGGCAGTGCTGGGAGCTTCACTACAGTCGTTTCTGTCACTTAGCAAGCCTAAAATTTCATATTTACTAAATTTTCATCACAATAAAAAAACTTTAATTTACCTATGACTTCATAAATGCCGTTGCGAGTGCGGAACATAACCGGACCTCCAGCATCAGTCTAAAATATCAAATAATAAAAATATTTATATCCTGTGATTGCTATCATTAAATATTCGTACATTACAAACAATACTTCTAGTGCCAATGATACCAACACATCCCTTATCTGCACTCACATACGCAGGATCAAAAGCAGTCGCTACGCAGTCCGAGTAAGACAAAACAGGAAGTCCCGCTTTGCGTGGCCTACAAGTGGCGCTAGTTTCACCATCCGGTAGGGGCGCTTCCGTCCATCCGACAACTGTAGCCACCTGACCCGTATATTTATGACCTAAATCGAACATCAGGGCGTTATGCACGCACACAGTTCATTACATATGTTAAAAAGAAATAAAAATAAAAATGAAAAAGTTAACACCCGCATTGTACGTAATGCGGTAAAAAGCAGTAAAAGTACAGGTAACAGTAAGAGTGTGGTTATCACCTGGGAACGATAAGCAAATAGGTCGCATTCGCTTCTCATACTGGACTGGTGTGTTGAGGCGCACCAATGCGATGTCATAAGCGCGATTGCCCGGCGAGAAATCCGGATGCAACAAGATGGCGCTCACGCTTACATTTTGCGAGGTCACATCCGGGAAACATCTGTCAAACTGACCTAGTGTGACCTTCACATCATACGGTGTTAATCTATTAATATAAAAATTAATTTCTGATAAATATAGGTTATGATAAGTGATGATGGGTGTGTTACCCGATCATTTGAGAACCGGAAGTGAGGATATATCTATCGTTGATGAGAGTTCCGGGTATGGCAGTTTCTCCTCGCACTTGAATTATGGCCAGCCATGGAAACTCATGTGTCTTGAGATATTCTCCACCGAGAAGTCTTGCTTCTCGGTTTGGCAAACCACATCCTAATAATAATAAAAAAATTGTTATTTTTATTAGTTATGGGATGAACTATTTACTCACGACAGTTCCAATCGGTAGAATAATCCGAAAATAAAAAGTCCAAAAATCCTTTGTTGTCATCTCCGGAGTAATCCTAAAATCGCCACAGTTAAAAACACAGCAAAGCGTCACTAATTGAGTGTAAGATTGAGTAAACATTTTACGGTCTACTGATTGCACTCGTAGTGCGTGCAAAATGGAAAATGATCCTGCTAGACATCCGTTACTGTTACATTTATTGCATTTTTTGCTCCAGATATAATTGGCGTGCACCGTTGCTATTCACTATGTATGTAATTATGCGTACTCACGTCTTCTGGCCAGCAAGCCACGGATGCGACGAGGAAGATCAAGCGCACGCAACTTGATCGAAAAAACATCTCTGGATATCTGCGCCAACTTGAGTACCGCGTGTCGCGATTGACGTTCGAAGAGAATTTAATTTTGTGGCGCGATGTCGCGTTCTGTTATTCGTACGCAGGAACAAACGCGCTTCGTTGGGGTCACTCACACTTTGGTGCGGGTTCGATTTTCGAACTCGATCGAAATAAAAATCCAGCAGAGACACGAATATCTGCGCGTGGGTGACTTCAGATATGTTTTTAATGCAAATCCAACTTGAAAGAGCCGTTACAAACGCGCTGGAGGTTTGTTTTTGCATATTTTTGAAATAAATCAACACACACACACCATCAATAACATGACTCTAAACTACTGAATAAAAATTAATCAGTTTTATTATGATAAAAATATAAATAAAGTGTGGAATTCATAGTAAAATATTGCAGACGTGTTATTTCCATTACGCACCTACAGAGGGAGACACAATAGAAAACAAAATGAAGTCGTTCGGTCGTGTTTGTATGGATTTGGGCGGAGAAGAGAGCGCGCGGCTATAAATAAGTTACTATCACATCACATGCACAACAAGTTCTCGAAGCGGACAGCATCAACATTCACATCGCTTCATTGTATACAAAAAGAAAAAGAAAGTACAATCATCGGAAAATTATCTTAACCTTGATTTTTGAATGGTTTAATAGGCGTAAAAATGAGTTCAGTCTTCTTGACAGAAACAGCCGTCCTTGGAGTGCTCCAGGATCCAGTCGAGATAACGCGTGACACGCGTGTAAACACCAGGATAGCCAGGCCGGGCACAGCCGTTGCCCCACGACACAATTCCTGCAAACGAAATTGGGACAAACAAGGTAATAAACTGGCGTCAGAAAACCTGAAATCTGAATATATACCTATGAGTTCGTATTTTTTGTCCGGTTTCTCGGCGACCAGTGGTCCACCGCTGTCGCCCTAAATTAAAATCACATTTTATGAGTTTTGCATCCTGACGTGCGGTTTGGCGCAGTTACCTGGCACGAATCTTTCTTGCCGACGCTCGGATAGCCGGCGCAGAGCATGTTATCCGAAATCATTTTTGCCGAATAGTTTGTTGCTTTGCATTCAGCGTTGCTCAGCACGGGGACTTCGACCTCTTGCAGGATGCACGACGGTTTACCATCCTCTTTTAATGTTCCCCAACCGGACGCTATTGCTTTTGTGCCAACGTACAAATTATCTAAAAAATAAATATTATAATTTTTTATAATTTCATTTTCAATTTATTTTACTTTACCTTTAAGTTTGGGAAGACAAATTGGTTTAATTGTGTCTGTAATTGGTACCCGGTCGTTTAAGCGCAAGAGTGCAATGTCATTGTCAAAATTAAGAAAACTGAAAGCGCCTGCAATCGCGCGCAAAACAAAACGAGATTCGGGTTTTTTCGAATCGTTGCAGCGATCATGCTCACCAAAGGTGACCTTGATCATGAACCACATGAACCTGCAAGATGCACAAACAATATTAAGAATTGTACATAAACTTAAATCTAGAGTGTAATTCCGCTCACCCTTTGACGCAATGAGCAGCTGTGAGAACATAGCGATCGTTGATCAACATCCCGCCGCAATAAAACCGATTGAAGTAGGAGAGGCGAGCCATCCATGGGAATTCGTTTTGGGCCGCTGCTTGACCGCCGACGATTCGGCTCGCATCATTACGCTCACCACAAGCTGGAAAATTACGCAAAAATCATTAAAAATCCACCATGCTTACTCAATGCCAATTGGTCTTGGTTGTAAATCTTACTGCAAGAGCACGTTGATGCAGGAGTATCATGTCGTGGCGGCGGATGGTTCCCATAGTTGGCAAAACGTGTGCCGAAAAGACCACGACCAGCTAATTCTGTTGTTTCATCAGCCTACAAATGATTAACTACTGTACTCTTATTCTTTAAGAGATTTATAGGTTATGTTGTAGGTTTAACCTGACTCACAAACGCACACACGTATCTGACTCACTGCGCAAGTATTTTTATTAGTTTATTGTACTGTTTCCATTTTGGCAAATTATATAGACGTGGAGCATCGAGTGATCGTAATATATGCGCAGGCTGTGATTCCACCGCGAAATTAAATGCAATTAAATGTTTAATGAGAAAATTATCCACGACGTGAAAGCCACGATTCGCGTGCTTCACGCATTGAAATCAATCAAATAACGCGAAATCATCAAACATTGAAGCGCGCCGACGATCAAATTGATACATCGCCGATGACCAATAAAAGCTGCTTTACGAGCCTCTCGCGCGCGCACATTATTTATTTAAAACATATAACGGAAATTCCAAACACGTCGCGTCGACGATTTACGAATTCGGTTTCGGCGACGCATCGAAGGCGAGTCGACACCTTGGAAATGATTGTCGTCGTCAGGGCGTTAATTTATGCACGTGCACATGTACACACACCATACGCCGAAGAGAAAATCAACCTAGAACGTGACAAGTGTCTACCAGACAATCACATTCTTCAAGAATGTAAACAAAAGACTTGTGCTGCAACAGCAAACAGTTTACTTTGTTTTCCGGTTTGTTAACATTATCGACAGATGTTCCGAAGCTTAATCGTTGTTTAAAAAAGCGCCGGTTGTTGTGTTTTGTAATGTAATCTTATATTATTGCAGTTACGTGTGGCAATTTAGCATTGACTTTGAAACTCGGCGCGATAAAGAAGTTTGCAAAGTCACGAACACGCCGCCGGTTTCCAAGAAGTCGCCGCTCATGCAACATTCATGCGCTTTTTCTGCGCTCGAACTTTCGATTGTTTTTGCTAGACTCGCGGTAAGTTTACCCCTATAATACTTAGACTTACCTTGATTAAAGTTGTGCTTGTCGTGAAGACGACCAAGCAGATTAAAACACCACGCGAATACATTGTTTTATTCCATATATTTTTATCGTTAAATTTTGAGTGATAAGCACACAATGAACTGTTGTTAGCCCGCGATTATGACTTAAGACACTTTCGGTTGGATGTCTAGAGATAGAGAGGTCTGTCCTTTAAAAAGGAGGCTTGGGGACTAAACGACGTCCGGCCGTCGACTGGTCTGGGCACGGCGTCGCGGGCAATGCTGATGGTCGTTGGAGTCGACAATGTAAGAAGTGGAAGAAGCGCGTCCGCGCGAAGCAGAACCTGCCTGAGCTTCTGATTATTATTGTCTGCTATGTGTGAACCACACAAGTCTGTACATATCATTAATGTCGACAATCCAGACAACTCAACAGATCTTAATTATGCTTACATTTTAGTATAGGTTATGATTTAACTATGGTTATGAGAAAAGGGTTCTAGAACTCGCTTATTCTTACTAAAAATTAGTAAATGGTTTGAAATGGATCAAAAAGAAGTTTTCACCTTACTACACCGTACAATAGCGTTATAAAACTGTAAAAATGCATGATAATAAGAGGAAAATGCACACTTTGATGACTGACTTAATTGTTATGACTGCAATTTGGTTTTAATGAGCGTTATTGCGTGCAGTACTTGAGTTTCAACAGGAAATTAATTTGTATTTGCATCTTGACCACCAGGTAATTACAAACGCGTGAATATTTAAACAATGAACATTTATTTAATAATTTCCTGAGTAATAATCAATTGATCATAAGTGGATATAAGTGCAACACTTTGATATATCGAAAAAATTGTAAAGTGTATGAAGTTTATCCGTTTCCTCAAACTTATTCTTCCATGTGCTTTGATATTAATGTGTTTTTAACAGTTTCGGACGTTGACTTTCGATTAAAATGCGGTTTATTGCCTTTTTCACATCAGGACAGTATTTAATGTTATCTCAATCTTTATATACACAAGTTTTGGAAATAGGTACAGAATAATTCGGATCTAAAACTTATTCTAGTTGCTATACTTACAAATATACACGAATTTGAATGAATATGTAACTGTGATTTAAGATGAATGCAGCATTCGATGATATTTTTGTGTGTTTTTGGTCGTTTGGTGATAAGTTTGATTCTGTGCGGTCTTTGTTCGCACGAGTCCGACGCATTAATTAGCATCTAAGCCGGTTTCTCGTTGTTTTTCGGTTGGTGGGCGCATGCCGACACGCACACACTCATGTCATGACCATTCTCAACGTGCGGTGCGTCGCGGCCATGTTTTGCCCGAAACATAAATCGAAAAATCGAAAACGTATTAATGTCGAATGCGGACTCCTCTGCGCCGACGCGCCCGGTAAGACAATTAAGGTTTTTGGGTCGTGTTTTCGTTTTATTCTCGTAAAAATAAATAGCTACAGAGTTGTCCTCGGAAGCGTGTCATGCGCACACGCAAGTATCCTCCAAGTTATAACGCAACCAGTTGAGGTACTTGGAAACTCTTGTGTACACGCCGGGATAACCAGGACGTCCGCAGCCTACACCCCAAGAAACAATTCCTGTGAAAATAGGTTAATATTAGTTTCTACACTTTAGGCAACCCAAAATGCAGACAAGCATTTTATGTGTGTTTTGATATCTTACCAACTATTTCATATTTTTCTCCGTTGGGTACCAATAGTGGTCCACCACTATCACCTTGGCAAGAATCCATTGACCCTCGACCAGCACACAGCATATAAGAAGTAATACGAGATGCTCTGTATTTCATTGCGCGACATTCGTTAAGACTCAGAATGGGCACTTGAACTTCTTGGACAATACCAGGAAGCATACCGCCTTCTGCGGTGCGACCCCAGCCAACAACTGTGCCCATTTTACCAGCAGGGTCAAAACTACCTAAAGTATTATCATATTTTTATTAAATTTCAACAAATATTTAATTATTACCCACCTGAACTTGATGGTAAACAAATAGGTCTTATATTTTTGGTAAATTCAACAGGTTTTCGCAACTTTAACAAAGCAATATCATGATTGTAAGAATCTGCATCAAAGTTTCGATGGCGTATGATCGCCGCCACAGCCCGCATCTTTGCCGGAGCATCCTCCGTAGTAGTTTGATCGTGATCACCAAGAACCACACGAATTTTGGACCGTTTTAATCTAAACCACGATAACAATAATCTTATTGTGCGGATTTTGTTTAACCAATAATTACTAACCTTCTCACGCAGTGCGCAGCTGTTAATACATAATCTTCGGTTAGTAAGGAAGCCCCACAATGGAAATGTCCATCGTAGACTAAGCGTGCAATCCATGGATAACGGTTTACTCCAGTTGGACGTCCACCAACAATACGATTCTCTTGATTGGAGAGACCACATTCTGAAAAATTATTATAATTATTCTCCAAACATTAAAATTGTTGTTTTTTATTTACCACAGGTACAATTTTTCGTTTTTGGATCTTCATCCTCTTCATCATCATTGCTTCCTCCACCTGCTATGAGATTAGCGATTCCAAACAACTGATTAAAGAGGAATCTTCCAGTTCCGTTTGTGCTCTCTCTTTGGCTGCGTTCATATATCACGTTGTTCTTGAACGATGTGTCAAACTAAACATAAAAGTAAAAAGAATGTTGAGTGCGGTATTTTTCGATTTTCCTTGCGACGTGTCTTGCCTACGGCGTTAGATGATAATGAAAGTTAATTAAAATATTATATTCGTGCTGCGTAACAGGCACGAACTACAAATCACGAGCGTAACCCAATAAACATCGTAATATGCCTGCATTGTAGAATAGCAGAAAGCTTCCTTGTGATATTTTAGCGCCGCACCTTCTGCATTCTAAGCAGCACTTGAATTGTGCCCAGTTATGTGGAAGTGTTGTTGCGTTCGCGTGCGAGAACAAACCGATGCATAAATATGAAAAATTTTACGCGCTGATGAGTTTTACAGAGCGCAACTGTTTATCTTCTTCAATTCCTTATTTGATTGCGTGAATAGAATTCTATATTTCCGAATTTGAATTCAAAAAGTGCAATTTATTGCAATTTTTATTACAAAGTACTGAATAAATATGATTACTTATAAAAATATGGTGTTTGATAATATTGATAAGATGTCTATTTTGGATTACCTGCTCAAAGTTGTCAAAACTTGTTGCTCCACTATTGACGGCGCAAATTTGCGATGCAAAACAAGCACACAACACAAAGCACGATGCCCCGAACAAGGACATTCTGATCGCATACCAGAGTCCCAATTAAAAGGCCCAAATATCGCTCAATCAATAAAATTAATTGCCGCGATTCGAAATTTTGCGCGGCGTTAAAAACAAGCACGCAAAAATCCTCAATCAGCAGGCCGCGGACGGGATGCGCATTTCTCTTTCGAAGAAGTTACTCGCTTGCGTGAGGCGCGACCGACCGACTATGTGTGAACTGCTTGGATCCTCCGCGATGGAGATGCTTAGATGCTTTCACCGTCCGTCCGGCTCTTTCACTGCATTCGAACGCACACGCACGCCGTCGGCGAAGAAGAAGAAAGTAAAGCGGCGGCGATTCGTTTTCGTTGCTTTTGAACTGGAGTCGCGCGCGTGCGCAAGGTGGGAATTCGATTTCGTTCATCGACTAATTCTCAGCCACCACTACATGCGCAATAAGGATACAATTATCGTCAATTTAAGAAAAAATAAGTGGAAAATAAAAGTTTATATAACTTTACATCAAAACCAGTAAAACAATATCAAATAAAATGATGGGAAGTACAGTTTGTTCTCTGGAATTAACTGGAATGATATGAAATGATAACATATTATTATAGCTGATAAGATTAAATAAGATAAGCGACATTATCTCAATTCAGTCCACATCAACCATCATAATTGTGATCAATTCATCACAAAGATTTCAATAAAAACCTACGTAAAATGTGGGAACAGTTAAAAAATTCAAAAGCTCTTAAATGGCTTGTGTTTGTGGTTATGTTGGTAGTGTTGTTGTTGACAGTGTGTATTTTTGTCTTCAATGAGCCAGAAAAACTTGCGACGTGCACAATTTCGATAAAAGAAGATTTGCAACCAACTGCGCCATTACTACTTCGATCAACGTTTGATGTTACTCATTCTACAAACGATGCCTACTATCTACCAAAAAACTTATACGGTGATATTAAATTCATCCAAGATTACAATATAAATCTAAGCTGTCCCAATGGTAAAGTAATACAAAATGGAACGGATACAGGTGAGACTATAGTCTCAATTCGATATTCAGGCACCAATAAAAACTTTGAGGTAGTGGGAACTGAAAAAACTGTAACGTTATCACAGTTTACTTGCTCCAAACCAGGCCATATTGCTCGCTACACAGGCAAGACTTGTCTGGATGGATTTAAAGAGATTGGAATAGGTTTCCAGGTGAGCTCATCGATATTTCTACGTGAGATAACTGTGTGTTTTGATCCGATTGAACAAATCACTGCGTATTCCACATACAGTCTCACTCGGTTTATCAGAGGTAGTCAAACATTTGAGTCACCCAGACCTTACTTTGAACCTGGAGAGTTTTATAATGTAGGCAACCAACAAGTCAATGAATTATATAAGCAAAAGGTACAACGTATTAATATCAACAAACAACTTGGTTTGAGTGAAGATTCAACGAAATATATTACTGAAAACAATCGTCATTTCCTCAGTCGTGGACATCTAACTGCAAATGCTGATTTTGTCTACGAAAATCAACAAAAAGCTACATTCTTTTTTGTGAATGCAGCGCCACAATGGCAGACATTTAACGGCGGAAATTGGAAGTTATTGGAAGAAAGGGTGCGGTATTTTGTTGGAGTAAGAAATGTAGATTTGGTGGTCTATACTGGAACTCACGGTGTTATGACCTTGCCACATGAAACTTCAGGTGAACCTACTCCTATATATTTATATAATGAAAATGATGTTCAGGCCATTCCTGTGCCAAAAATGTATTGGAAAGTGTTGTATGATCCGTATACCCGGGCAGGTGTTGCTTTTGTTGGACTCAACAATCCTTACAACAATGACATCAAGGAAGATGTGCTCTGTACCGATATCTGTGACAAATTAACATTTAGCATCTCATGGAGCAGAACTAACAATGAAATGGGATACGGATATTGCTGTGAAGTAAAAGACCTCCGTGCAAAAATCAAAAATATTCCAAATATACCCGTTAACTCCCTTTTGGTATAACAATACTGATATATAACAATATATTGTTTGAATTGTATCTATGATTTCTTATTTTCACGTCTATTGCATCGAGAAAATGGCATTCTCTTCTTGTAAAATTCATCGTCCTACTTTTTACTGCCTGAGATGCATAGAATTTGCAATCTGTTAAAAATCACGCACGTTTCCGTTCTCGCAATGATTAGTAATTGTATCACATTGTCGTTAGACAACCGCGCACGAATTCATTCACACTGGCGTCTCCACTTTCGTTCACCTTGTCCTTATTACTCGCCGCGCACCGGCTGAACTTCAACATGGCGTCCACATCCACGTATGCTGTGATTAAAGTAAAAGTGCAGCTTGCGCACGCTGGAAGAAAATCGATTACAATCGCAATCATTGTAATCACGGTGTTTTATATAATCGCAGAGCGAAATTTTAAATAATCGCAAATTACTGTGGTGAATTCATGCGTGGAAATTGAATTCAGGAAATCTAAGAATTCCACATAAATCTAAATAATTATATAAGTAAAGAAAATATTGTTGTTTTTGTTTAGTTTTATAATATGTATAATATTGCGATGATAATAATATAATAACAAATGAAGTGATGAAGTAATGATGACTAGATGTTTATGATAATACTGATTTTGTACCTGGGGCATTCTCTGGCATTCTTTTAAATAAATTAATTATGCATGTTTGGGGTTATATACCGCCGGAGGACACAGACATTCCCCATTCAGGGATTCAGTGACCCAATCAATATAATTGGTAATTTTTGTGTAGATCCCTGGTAAATTAGGTCTTCCACATCCTCGTCCCCAGGATACAAGCCCAATGAGTTCCATATTTCCATTGTTTGTGTTCATATGCAGTGGTCCACCACTATCACCCTGACAAGCATCTCTACCACCATCCGGATATCCAGCACAAAACATATTCTCTGATAGACGTTTGGATCCATAACCAGCATCATAACAATCTTTCTTGTTCCATACGGGCACTGCAACCTTGCGAAGGATGTGCGATACCTTACCACGCTCGTCAGTTTTCCCCCAACCGGCAACAACAGCAAGACGTCCAGCGTAAGCGTCGTCGCCTAAAAAAAGTGAAATTTGTTGATGTAATCACCAAGATTACCGAAGAGAAAATGAAAGTCGTACCGCCCGTTGGCAGGCAGGCCGCCTGCACCTTAGGTCCGAACTCCACCGGCGCGTCCAGCTCCAGGACGGCGATGTCATTATTGTAGCTGACTTTGTCGAACGCGCGATGTTGACGCGCCCTCCGCACGCCTCGCACGATGGTCTCGCCGAGACGATTTGCAGAGTTGCGGTCATGATCCGCTAGCACCACGGTTATACTGCGCACGTCGAAACTGCAATCATAATTTAGCGATATAGAGATTTCTCTTTAATATTTTTCGTTTAAATTGAAACCGAAATATTCTAAAAACAAAGAACGATTGTACAATACCCGTTGACACAGTGTGCTGCTGTTAAGACATGTTTCCTTGTGATTAAACTAGCTCCACAGTAGAATTCTCCACTTTTAGATAAACCAGCAATCCATGGGAATTCATGCACTTTGGTAATGTTACCGCCGACGACTCGCATTTGCCTGTTGCTTACTCCACAAACTGTTTAAACATAACAATTATAGATTTAATTCGTTTTATTTTTGATTCTGATGACACTCACCGCAATTACACGCGTTACGTTGCACGATTGCATCATTCTAGAACACACACGCGCACACACACGCAATATTAGGCGCACAAATTAGGTTAGGTGTAAATTCAGCCTCACTATACTCACCCGACTACCAGGCGCACTCAGCCCTCCGACCACAATGAGCAGACACACAAACAGCACGCGAATGCACTTCATCTTCGGTTTTTACTTTCGTTTTGCTGTTGTTGCACCAATTGCGCGCGGTTGACATCCGACGAAATAAGACGAACCACCGTTTCGGCCCTCCGTGCTTATATACGTGCGCGGCGGCGGGCCGCACATCGCGCCACGGCGATATTGCACACAATGCGCGCCGCAATCAGCCATTGTTTCAATGTTAAGGGTGCCGCGGAGGGGGCCATCCTTGACCATTTTTATTTAGTGTGTTTTGTATTTTCTCTACGCGACACGTCCAATGTCGGGGAGATGCATTCAAGGTTCCCCTGCGTGTGTAAGGTGTAAGGACGCGTCGCGACGTTCGCACACACCTGCGAACACACAGCGTTTGTTTACCTACATTATTCAAAAACGTGTGACACAAAGTGCATTTGTCGGTCGCATTGTTCCACTACACGACTGACCTAATTACGAGAGATGTGTCGAGCAAAATATGTCAGTCATGCGCGTGTTAATTGGCGTGCGGGATTATTTTTCCACGCCTGTTGACTTAACCTTAAAATCAAAACATTTCCAATGGAGGAACAATTGATTTCGTTCGGGTTTCGGCTATTGCTCAATTTAGCGTTTAAAGTGTAATTTTATTAATTGTGTGTGTGTGACACGCGTGTCGCACTCTCAACGTGTATTGTTTGCCATAGGTAGGCGACGTCAATGTCAGCATAATTAGAATGATCATGACCATGAATCTAATGCAAATACACTAGGTTACCAATATTATGTATAGTATTGCACGCATATCCACAGGGAATTAAAAAACTACAAAATTTTGTTTGTGATTTATTTGACTAGATGGCACTAGTAAAACTTTTACTGTTGCAGAAATTTGTAGGTTATGTAATATTGACATAGTTTTATATTTAACTAGCTTTTGCCCGCGACTTTGTCCCGGTAGTGTTTTAATTAAAATGTAATTCGTTTTTACTCTCTTGTTCTAGACATAGTATGTGTCAATTCTATCAATAAGATTCGCAATTTTATTTTAAAGAAATTAATTATATAAAGAATTGCTATTAATGCACTTCAGCGCGCCATCTCGGATTCAACTATTTAACTATAACTATGATTGAATCTCAATGCCAACTTTTATCCTATAGAAAAGGGCTGTCTTTAGGATTTTACCAACAATTATTCAAATTTTTCTCGCCGTAAAACCATCCTTGGACTTAAACAAACATTTTAAAAAAGAATTGGCTAAATTGGTTTTGGCGTTGTTGAGTTATACGCTTACCAACAGATTTTGCGATTCATTTTTATATTATAGATTTGAGTAAATAAAAAATATCCTGTATAAGAACTTTTTAAAATGTGTGTGAACTTATGAATAATAAATTTTGCATAAGTCAGTATTTGACAAACGGTTCAATGCCTTGTTGCGCAAAGGACGAACATCGCCGCAAATTCAATTAGTGCACAAAACTGTAACTTTTTGTTTTATTTGTAAATTTAAATACACACCGCCAATGTCATCGGTTGACATTCGTGATAACATCTTTGTCAAATAGCAAGTGAAATAACAAGTTCAATAGCCACCCGCTAAAATTTAATATTTTATTGTATAATTTCTATTGATGCTTTTGTTGGTTTTCCGGAAACCCATGAAAAAATCCTTGCGGTGAATCGAATAAATAAAAGCATTGAAAACGAAAAAAGTCCCGTATGCTGCGGTGTGAAATAATTTAAATTATTCCACGAAGCGCCGATGAATACTAATTACCGCTGATAGTCAATCAACACCGGACGATCATTAAGCGGAGGTTTGGAGGCGCGATGTATGCGCGCACACGTTCGTACCCTTGGTGTCCAAGTGTGTGCGCCGATTGTGCATCAAGGCGAAAGCCGCCCCTATTCGCACGGAATGTTATAATTTATTTGAATTCCATAAATCAGCACCTTGACCAATATTAGTACCTGTCGCGTCTCGGCGACGCGTATTCTCGTCCATTCACAACTCGATCGTTCATTGTGTTTAGATCTTATCTCGTTTTTTTTTGTGTGGTGAAATGTTTTATTCATTACTTTGCTAAATTCAAAACAAACAAATCATTTAAGATCAACTTGACATTTCAATTTTTTGTTTGTATTGCTGAATTGAGAGGTAACTTTTCTTAAATTTTATACTGCTGTAAGAAAATTAATTTATATCAATTTCTGGTCATATAACAATGCTTTATGTAACTCTAACAAACATAACCTAATTATTGTTGATATATACATTTAAAAGTTAAAACAATTTTAAGGTTTAAGGCCTAATGACCAATTCCTTTTCCAAACATATAAGTATTTTAAATTTAATCTATAATATAAAATTGAATTGCAAAATCTGTTGGTAAGCGCATAACTCAACAACGCCTCTACCAATTTGGCCAATTCTTTATTTAAAATGTTCATTAAAGTCCAAGGATGGTTTTTACGGCAAGAAAAATTCGAATAATTCCTGGGAAAACCCTAAAGACAGCCCTTTTCTATAGGATAAAAGTTGGCATTGGGGTTCATTCATTGTTATAGTTAAATTGTTGAATCCGAGATTGCGCGCTGAAGTGCATTATTAGGAATTCTTTATATAACTAATTTCTTTAAAATAAAATTGCGAAGCTTATTGATAGAAGGTTCACATACTATGTCTAGAACAAGAGAATAAAAACGAATTATATTTTTATTAAACACTATTAAACCTCTTGAATAACCATACTTTAATCAGTTATCGAATGTAGTTCAAACAATTTCATCATTTAATTTCTGTTCCTGGAAAGTTTACACAATCATTGAGTTTATTCCACAATACAATTGTCTCAAGGTTGTGACAACTTTTAGTGGATCATCTACGTTCATTATGTGTGTTGCATCCGATGAAATTATGCAAATGAAACGAATATTACACCAAAACCGATGCAGTTCCATTGTTATACTGGACCATTATGCATTTAATGTATGTTAATTATATGCACAATTGCATTACTGCATCGATGCACAAATATGTACACACTTTCGCAACAATTGTAATATTTACATTATTACTATCATGCTAAGGTAATATTAATGTAGCAAAATGTAAATTTCCGATTTTATTGAGTAAATTAATCAAAATTTTAAGTTATCATTCTTTTAAGTAATATAATTCATATTACTATCATCTGTGAGATGAATATTTATTAAATTTATAATTGCATTTAATGGCATATTACCACTAGATAATTTCTTCTCTGAAAAATCTTAAAACACCATTGCTTTCTGTGATTAAAACAAATGTGTTTAATAAATTCTCATTAAATTTAGCAATTTAGCAACATTAAGCTCCTGTACATTCTGCAAATGCTCAACTTTCCATTTTAGCGAATAAACAGTTATATCTACTAGTTTTGTCAAAGAATTTACGCTTTGATGTCACTTCGTCGATAGTTAAGCAAATAGTTAGCGAAAATAAGTAAATGTATATTCATATTAATTAACACAGGTAAAAATGGAATATCCAAGGCAATTTTTGATTGCAAAAGAAAAAAAATTGTAGTTATTTTTATCAAATACGTTAAAAATGTATTAAAATCAAAAGAAAACTGGTTGCCATTGGTTTCAGAGCATTTCTTGTCTTGATAATTCTTGTTTCTTTCCCTTCTTTCTTCATTACAGCTTTCGTTCTCTCTTTTTTCGCGGTGTCGCCGTCGGACCGAGCGCGTCACTTTTGTATTATCACCCAATTACCTACTTTGTTAATTGCCCGATTAGAAATCTTCCGCTACCGCTGGCGCGGCCTGCGATGTGCGATGCGTCAGTAATCCGTGAACTGTCCGGCCATCGCGAGCGTTTTTCATCCAACCTGTTGTTCACGCCCGATCACGTCCGCGCGACAATGCAATTTGGAAAGTAACCAAAGCGCCAAAAGAACCATTTCGAAATGTTTCGAAAAACTATTCTACTAGTCATTTTCATTGTTGGCGCACACAGCGTTCAAGTGAGTAAAATACATACTTTCCAACATCATAATTTAATTAACGCACAATTTTTTTATTCTTACAAAGGTACCATTGGTTCTGAATGGTTCCGATTCTAGTCGAGTCATTATTGGTGCCGATGCCAGTTTGGTACATCCACATCCGGGAATTAAACCAACGGCGGCCACATTTGAGTATAAACCGGGTGTACCACCTGGGGAAAGCTTTAAACCTGAAACCATTAAACCGGAAAATTCACAAATAAAACCACCGAAGCCCAATCATCCAAACAAACCATTAAAACCAGAAAATAACAATCACAATAATCATAATAATAACAATCCGTTTGGTTGGATTGTGGATTGGTTTGAGAACTTTAAAGGATCTCGAAGCCCTGTTTTAGAAAATGTGACAAACGCAGGCGATGCTTTTCTTCAAGAATTAAATCAAACACAAACTGAACAACTTTATGAACTGCTTAATCATACTCAATATAATACAAGCAGTGAGTATAATTCATCTAAAAATCGAGTTATAGTAAATTTTAATTATTTTTAGGTGAGTTTCAACAGTTAGTGAGTTCAAACAAAGGACTTTTTGATTGGTTATTAGAAATAACTGGTTTTGCAAGACCTAATCTTGATACTGCTCAAAGCAAACCCAAAGTGTGCCCACAATGTAGTAAGTAACCATACCATAACCTTTAAATCATACTTAACCTCACATCATAACATAACCTTTAATTTCTTAGCATGTGGTCAATCAATTAAACAAATCCGAATTGTTGGCGGAGTAGAAACTCAAGTAAATGCGTATCCATGGATGGCTTATCTGAAATACAACGGACGGTTTTACTGTGGCGCAAGTGTCATCAACAATAAGTATTTACTCACAGCTGCGCATTGCGTGAGCGGGTAATAAATATTCCAATATTTCGTATTTTTTACATTACCCGCATCTACTATATATGTGCTATATTTGTAGATTCAACAAAGATAGGTTAGAAATCACACTTTTGGATCATGACCGTTCAACGCCATTTGAAACAACGACGTTGACCGCGAAAGTAATCAATGTGTACAAACACAGTCGCTATAATATGGGTGCCAACTACAACAATGATATTGCATTAATAAAAATAGACAAAGAATTGGAGTTCAAAGGTTTATTGAGACCTGTATGTTTACCAACGCCGAAGAAAAGTTTTACGGGGTATAAAGGAGTTGCAACCGGATGGGGAGCAACTGAAGAACATGGTGCTATATCCAATAAACTCCGAGAGGTCGAAGTTCCTATTTTGGCGAATGCTAAGTGTGTTCAAACTGGCTACGGAAAACGCATCACGGAAAATATGCTGTGCGCTGGATATGATGATGGCAAGAAAGATTCCTGTCAAGTAAGTGCTGAGTTTTAAATAATATTCACATAAATATTTAATTTAAACGTTATAAATACTTTTAGGGTGATAGTGGTGGGCCATTGCATGTGCTCAATGCCACAATACACCAAATTGTCGGTAAGTACACTGAGTATTTCAAGTTTTAACATAACCTCACTTAATCACTAACAAAAGCTTGTGGTTGAGGTTATGTGTATGCTCGATTTAACATTAAACGAATATAATTTGTAATTTATTACCCGGCAGGCATCGTCTCGTGGGGTGAAGGCTGCGCAGAGCCAAACTTTCCCGGCGTTTACACCCGAGTGAACCGCTATCTGACGTGGATAAACGCCAACACCAAGGATGCCTGCTACTGTTCTTAATTCTAGATTATCTAAACAATCTGGAATGCTTACTGCTGAAACTAGTCTAGAATTATTTGCGATTTAACATTTAACAGCAAATTCAACTAGCGATTATAGTTTTAAGTGCCTGTAGTGATTGAATATATATTTATTTTCTTGATAACCAAAAGGCCTCCATTTCTCCTTTACCCTGCAAATTAAATTATAAAAATAATAATGTGGGTAATAGGAATTAAATTCAATTTACCTTGACTTGCACTTTGCCTCGATTTTCAATGCAGTACTTTTCGCCCGGTAAAAGCTCTTTGGTCACCGATGAGATGTTAATCTTTCCGGCCTGAAAATCGACAAAATTAAACCCTTCCCAAGACCAGAAGATTAGTTGATTGAATATAGGTGTGCCTACCACACTGTTGGACTCCATACGCGATGCGGTGTTGATCGTATCGCCAAAGAAACAATATCTCGGCATCTTCAGACCGACGACGCCAGTGACCGCCTTGCCGGAGTGAATACCTGGCCGGCAAACAAACAGATTTCTCCTAATTATTAACTTTAAATTGCATTCGAGCAATTTCAATTTCAATTAAATTTATTGTGCGCGCAAGATGAGAATGCTGAGCGAAGAAAGTGTTCATTGTTCAAACAATAACCGAGTAATATAATCATGAATGGCGGCTGCATACCAATGCGTATATCCGTCTCAACACCGTCGGGGAACTGCAGCTTCTTCATCGAGTCCAACATTGCCAACGCCACATCAGCGATCTGCTCGGCGTGGCGTTCAGTGCGTTCTGGAGCACCACATGCCGACATGTAAATCTGGCCCACAGTCTCAACCTACATTTACAATACACGTAAGGCTTTTGTTTTTAATTTTACATTGTTGATATTTACCTTGTACACTTTGTATTCATCCATCAATTCATCAAAACACGAGAAAATTGTATTCATCGAAGCAACCATGTCCATCACATCCTTTACGCTTGAATTCTGCAATCCCAATATCTCGCAGAACATGATGGAAACACTGCTGAAAGTCTAAATCACACAAAATGGCGGATAGAATTAAACATAACCTTGAAAGTTGTTAACGCACCTCGCAAGTGACTGTGTTGTCACCAGTCTTCATTTTCTCAGCGACACTTTTCGGAATCATGGAGTAAAGTAATTCGTCGCCTCGTTTCTTCCACTTGTCGAGAAGTTTATAGCTCTCGCCAAGCTCGTCAGCTGTTTGCTCCGCATCATCAAACATAACCTCTAATCTACGACCAAAACGCATTAACATAATAATGTTTTCTAAAGTTTTGGAACTTTACTTGGAGTTGTGTTGCCATCCAGCCAGCACCATCTCTTTGCTCATTCCGTGTTGATTCAAATCATTGAGGAAGATTCCGAGTTCCGGCAATTCGTTAATGTCGTTGATTCTAAAATAAAATATTATAGAACTTCTTGTGGAACTACTACAAGAAGTACAATGTTACATTGGGCTGCATAAGAAGACAATAACATTTATATCGTCAATAAACTTCATTTGGCCTTTCAGCAATAAATTTTTATCACCACCAATCGCAGGCTTTACGTCGGTTGGCGTCGGCGGGCGAATTTTGCCTTTGGATTTCTCTTGCTTCAACTTTTGCTCTTCCGCTTCCATTTCCTCCAGTTCTTTCTCATGCGTAGTGATCATTTCCAACTCAAACATTACATTAATCAAATTCATGGTCTGTAATTCAAAATTTAAAATCAAACAGTTATTTAGCAAGAAATAATAAAATGTTACATTTTTCCAGGTGAACGTAATTCCTTTCGGGCGTCGTAATTTAAATAAGTCAGTGACAGTACGACCAATGAGTGATTCCGGTGAGCCTTTCCAAACTTCGACGATTTTCTCGCCGGCACCCATCAGTTTCATGCGCGGGTTCATCATGATGCCAAACGGAAACAATTCAAGGAACAATTCGCAAGGGAATTTCTCCATGGCTTTGGATGAGTTCGCAGCGCGCTGCTGATGGTAATTTATCTGCAAGAGTGTGCGTCGTTATAAAATCGATTGGAGGGTTATGAGGAAATGAAATTACGTATTCGCGATTGTCGAAGTCGAGGCGGTAGCGCACGATAATCGATGTGCGGTCTACGGATGCGGAACTCGCTTGGTCCAGAATGCGTAATTTTACTTTCAAGTTGAAAAAATCCTTTGCAATTTGCGTTAATAAGCCTGCAACATAGCAATTATGTAGGTGGCTACAACTCTAACTTATTTAACTATAAAATATTTCAGAGAAATAAAAAAATAAGATTTTCTATCGCAAAATCTTGATAATATAAATATCATTGGAAATAATAAATGTAAACAATGCGGAATTCATAAAATCAGCAAGTTTCACGTGTGTTTGTTTCATTTTATGCTTTCCGCACGCACGTCGGCTTACGCCAGCAATATTTTCCGCTTTCCACCGAAAAAACATTACCGATTATATAGTTTGAGAAGCCTTGCCGTCCGCTGCGGTACACAAGCACACAACCTTTCGGATCGATCTCGGACAAATAAATCGACGGGCTCTTCATCTTCGGATAAGTGAAGCAAAATTGCGAATGTATGTTGTCGACGCTCGATAAGAAATCGGTGAAGAAACGGCCAGTAGCACGTACTGTTATGTCATAACTAGAAAAAATATACAATATGGATAATAATTTATTTATATATCGAATAGAATAACTTAAATAAATTAAAACAAAAGTTTTAAGTTTTATAAGTGTAATCAAAAGACAGCAACATACATCTGCTTTAGATTTTTGATTATTTAACTTAAAAACTTTTGTTTTAATGAATAAAATTTATTTATATATTAATTTTATTGATTTTACCCAAGATTACTGAAGTATCGAACGAAGCACTTGCCAAAAAAGTTCATGAAACTGTCATAAGAAGCACCCGTAACTTTCGAGCAAGCAGCCGCAAGATTTGACATCACGCTATCAGGATACACTTGATGCGTAGAGAATTCAGACACGGTTAATCCAGCTTCTTTCACTACATTCTCCCAAACAATATCACCGTATTCAAGCTAACAATTAATAATTATCCATTAATAAAAAACTAAATAGTTAAACTATAATTTACTAACCTGAACAAAATATTGAACACTCTCCAAAAGCATTCCATACATCTTGAGATTTGTTTAAGTGCCGGTTTGTAGAAACACTTTTCACACACGTTTATACAGCAAAGTAGATAATTCTACTGATAATTGCATTGATCTCAAGATTATATACGTTTTCTTGCTGGCGGTGTGATAAACAGCCCCTAATAGCACCAACCGAACTAAACAAACTGAATTAATCGGCGTCCGACCAAAAATGACGTTAAGTTAATTACTACTAATTACACTTGCATGTTAATACCTACTTGGAGGACACAGTAAACGCAAACCAGCAGATAGCAACAAAGGATAAGATAGAACAATGAACACAAACTATGAGAGATATTAATTGCGTTTATGCACGAATCTATATCAATTACAATTATTAATTAGTTAAATAAAACATTTGTTTTGAGAGATAATAATTAGAGAAATTATTTTGTTTGAGATGAGTTTTAGTAAAGTGCAAACGAAGACTGAAAGGATGCGCAAGAATGTGTCGGCTTTTATCATTCGAATTGATCCAGTTTCCGAATACTTAAGTAGAAAAATCTAAATAAAAGCTTTCTTATTGGCTTGTACAATTGTGTAATTTACATTTTCGAGCAAATTCAATCAGCAGATTAGTGTATTTCATTTGCAAATAGAATTCACAATTGCATGCACTTTGTTTTTATCATTATCATTACATTTATTTGATTAGAATAAAGCTCAACAATGTCTAAAACATTAGATAAATATATACTAAATACTTTCTCCATTACAATAATAAAATTAATACCAGCAACTGTTTTTATCTTCTTTTATTTACCTGCAAGCGTTTAAAAGTATGTTGAAAGATGAAAGTTGCGTTGAAATTCAAAGTGAAGCGCTTCCTATTCTTTGTTACCAGGCAACTGGCACTTTTTTATAAATTTACGTGACTTGCGTTGGTGAATTGCGTGCGTCTCCGTTCGCCTCGAGGCGATTGCAGAGGAAAAATGTTTCCATCTCGCCCTTGCCCTTAATCGTCACACTGCCACGAGCGTTGATGGTGTATCGATCCGGTGGCAATAAGTTTTTCGTGCACAACGAGATATGTATCATTCCAGGCTGTAAATTAATTGTATTACTTGAACAATTAGACAATTTAATGACAATTTAACACTTACGATACTTGTTGATTGCATTCTTGAAGCCGTATTGACCGTATCGCCAAAAAAGCAATATCTTGGGACTTTTATACCAACAACTCCAGCTACAGCAGCGCCTGTATGAATTCCTATCGCAGATTGTAATTAAATTAATTGTAATGAATTAAATGTAATTAGAAGTCTCACCAATTCGTATTTCGACCGGCATTCCATGTGGTCCTTGGATTTTCTTCACGTTTTGCATCATGCTTAGTGCCAAATCTGCTACGTCAACTGCGTGTGTTTTATTACGTTCAGGGGCACCACTGGCAGCCATATATACTTTATCAACAGTTTCCACCTAACACAATTGGCGAAATAATTATTCTGATCAAATAAATTATATTTGGAAACAAATAAAAAGAGACCTTATAAACGTTGAACTTGTCCATTAACTCGTCGAAGCAGGAAAACGCAGCATTCATCGCCGTGACAACATGCATCGTCTCCGCAACAGTCTCCGAAATGAATCCGACCAATTCGCAGAAGAGTATAGTCACCGAATCAAAAGACTAATCAAAATCAGCAATATAACACAACTTATACCACCAACATTTCACTTACTTCGCATGTACTAGTTTCACCAACCCGTAAACGATCAGCAACACTTTTCGGAATCATCGAATAAAGTAAATCATCTCCACGGCGTTTCCACTCGTCCAGCAAATCGTAATTATGTTCGAGTTCGGTGGTCTTCTGTTCCGCACGGTCGAACAATAACTCCAGCCTTCGAAAAATTAACTCGCATCACAGATAACATTCACCAAACAAGTCGAGCACAAAACTCACTTTGAATTGTGCTGCCAACCTGCCAAGACCATTTCTCTACTCAAGCCGTGATGGTTTAAATCGTTGAGATACAGCCCTAACTCAGGCAATTCATCCAAGTCATTTATACTGCAATTTAACGCCATGATATCGTTTTTTTTTAAGTAATTAACTTACAGTGGACTGCATAAAAATATAATAGCGTCCATGTCCTGTAGATAACGCATTTGTCCGCGTAGCAGGATATTTTTCACTACGCAGTGACTGTCCCTTCTCAAACGATATGGTGACGCTTCCATTTTGTTCTCTTTACTTCCGCCAGCGTCATTGGCACCGGATGCCATTAGCAACACCTCGCCGCGTATGAATTCAATCTCAAACATTACGGATTGTAAATAGAATGCCTTGAAACAAGATAGTTGAATTAATTAAAATTGTTTTCTTGTTTATTTAGTGATTTACGTTTTTCCAAGTAAAGGAAATGCCTTTAGGTCGTCGCAGGCGAAAACATTTTGTAATCGGCTGTCCGTATAGATCCTTCTTCCAATTCAGCAGTTCAATAACTTTGATTCCAGCCCCGATGATGTGCATCTCCTTGGACATCATTACAGCAAACGGAAACCATTTCAAAAGCAACTGGCACGAAAACGGCGCAAGAGAGTTTTTTATTTTCAGCTGAGCTTCTTTTTTCTTTTTGTCCAACATCTACATTAACATAGTGATGATAACAATGTGTTAGGATAGGTAAGCAGTTTTTTATACATAATGTTCGTTGTCGAAATCTAGGCGAAATGTAACGATCACGATGTTTCTTCCGCTGGTCTGCGATAGCGTGCTTTCGATCACTTTCACGTTAACCTTGAGATTAAACACGTCATTCCCGACTTGTATCAAGAGTCCTGTAACATTCTCCCGCGTCTTATTTCGTAACTAGAGATTTATTAATTGTGTTTTATTTGTACCTCGAAGATATTCTGTAAAACCTTGACGAGTGCTTCGGTAGACCAACACACATCCTTTATCATCCACGTCAGTGAGGTACATCGATGGACTTTTCATTTTTGGATAGGATAAGCGAAATTGTGAGTGGATATTGTCAACGCTTTGAAGAAAGTCAGCAAAGTATCGACCAGTGGCTTTGATTGTATTATCATAACTGCAAATCAATCAATTTTTTCATGTGTATGTTTCTTGTCTTCATATTCTAGATATTGAAATGTTTACCCAAAATGGCTGAAATAGCGTACAAAACATTTTCCAAAAAACTGCATGAAGAAATCGTAAGATTTGTTTGTGGCTTTTGCGCATGCTTTGGCAATGTCGCTCATAATATGATCATTGTAGACTTGGTGAGTGTTGAAAACTGAGTGTTTAAGACAGGCTAATTGTTGTACTTTCAACCACGTTTCCTCTCCATATTCTTCCTGTAATTAAAATTTAGACAAAGAACATTTAATTCTTGATAGTTGTTATGTTCAGATGTTTTTAAAAACGTGTTCAAGACCATGGTTATAACCGATTTTGGACCGTTTAAAGCCCGAAGCAAAAATTACCAGGGGTGCTATGCAAACACAGGCGGCTGTGCGAGGTTCTACCCCCACCACTTTTTGCGGGTCAGCTGCAGGTATAAAAGAGTAGCGCGCAACGACCACCGTGTTCTGTCGTGCCTCAGTCTTTAATCCGTCCAGTCGCAGGGTTTCTAGGTTCCTCTCACCGAGGTTCGTCACAGATAATCCAAATAGACGACGATATTAATGAACAGCTTTACTGTTGTAGTCAGTATACACCAGGGGTTTCTATTTTAATTTGTTCTATTTTGAATACAACCCAAAACACATCAACCGCAAATCAACATTATAAAATTTTCAATGTTTATTCAACTATTTAGTTTTTATTACTAATAAAAACCTCATTTATCGCCGGTATTTGAATAAAAATCCCTTCACAATTAGTATCATTTAACTTTTACATTTCCGTTGTTGCTTTCCCTCCAGTTCTATAATTTTTCGAGCAAATTGTGATCTAAGGTTTATAAGTCTAACAGTTCTAAAACTGTGACCATCCCCCTAGGAGAACGACTGTATATCCGAGTTAGAGTCAACCAGCTAACCGTCTCATCACGACTATTTATAACTTTATTATTGTTTACAAAGCAGAAGAAGAAACGTAATTAAAACGAATCGTGACAATAATAGATGCTTTTAATGTTATTAATTTTGATTACAATCGTGGTGTGTTCTTGGCAATCAGCTATAAATGGCGTGTTGTTTGTTTGTGCGTCGGTTATTGTGCAAGTTCTATAAAGTGATAAAAGCTTCCTCAGTGGTAATAAACCACTCCAGGGATAGTTAAGATTAATGACATCAATTTATCAATTTGCGTTGATCTTGTTTTTCTTCAACCACATTTAATCAATTAAATTCTCCTTTAAATTATAAAGTAGATCAAAATAATAAACAAGTACGCATATGCAGATATACCGAAACAGTATTAGTCAAGTCGGATAAAATGATTTCGGTAATAAATGTTTTATATTTTAGAATACTATATAATAAAGACTGCGAGAATGAGAACACATCAATATTAATCTGGTTTATGTGCTAGTAGAATATGCATATATATTCACCATATTCTGGTGAAGAATATTTATTAATAAAACGCATTTAAACAAAATCTAGCAAAGTGGGTGAAGAGAAAATGAATTCACCAACCTTAAAATTTTCAAAATAACTATTTATCGTGAAAAGATAGATTTGATCCGCGGAAAAGTATTGCAAAATATACAAAATTGCTATATTTGTCAAATGAAAATATTTAGCAATCATTAACGCGATTAAACCTAATTCAAATGAGAGTGCTGGCAATGCGCCAAATTCATAACTACACAGTCAATCTCCACAAACATATTCACTTACCTTATAACAATAAAAATACCTAATCGAAAAAACATGCTTGTTTGAAAGTTTATTAAAATAACATTTCTATAAAATATACGTTTTTACTATCACTTATTATTCTAAATAATGCCTTAATACCTTAATAAAGTGCTGAACACTCTCCAGTAGCATCCCGTACATCTTCGATCACAGAACAATCAAAGACGGCGCACAGCAGGCGATGATCTTGACTTTGAACTTGTGACAGACGCCAACCGCGAGCTCTTCGCCTCGACCGACTTCCTACTTTTCAAACGAGCGACCGAGCAATGAAGCAAATTCGCAATTTATACGTGTTGCACACACGCGCTCGACGCGCTCCCGACGCACAGGCCGCACGCTTATCCGCCGTTCGCTTTGAGGTCCTTTTCGTATCCCGCAACCGCCACCGCCGCCGTCACTGCCTCGGTACTCGGCACTATCCTATAAACACACAGACTTTAATGCACGTAGCGTTTTGACGGATGCATCTCTGGGGAGCCTATTTTTTGGTTTCATAGAATTAATTTTCTTTCCTTTCAAGGCTATTTTCGATATAACTAGCTAACGGAATAATATATTTATGAAGGACACAGAAAACCTTATAGAACATTAAGTAAAAGATAAATTCATAACGAACGAAATAACTAACCAAAAAATAAAACTTAAACAAAGTAATAAATTTTTTGCATCAATGCAAGATTTGGCCCGGTAGATATACAACTTGCAAAATATTTTGCAGTAGTATTATTTATAATAGTTCCGACGATTGTTTCGTAACGTTCGGCACGTTGATGTCGATCGTCGCTGGCGCTTTATCTGTCCTCGCAGGTGCCGAAGACGACATTTGCGATTCATGATATTTCTCAACGTTATACCTATTGAAGACAACTTTGCTGTGCTCAAAGGTGGCAATCATAATGGCGCAGGCTGGTGCCACTTTAATCAATCGTGGCGTCAATCCGGCAAACAATCCTTTCAATCCATGAGTCAGATACAGCTTATGAACTAGGGACAGCGTCGATACAGGAGGGCCTTGCTTTTGATCTGTTAAATTCACAAAGAAATTTATAATTTAATTTATTAATACATAAATACCATGATATCATACTTGCAATAACTCTAGTTCCAATTTCTATCTGTTGGTGAGTCTTTACCACATCAAATGGTACTGTAACTGCAGCAGCCAGCTACAAATATTTAAATTAATTACTTACTATTAGTTTTAACTTATTTTCAACTTACCCCACCAGATATAGCGCCTGCAATAAAACTATTCCAAAATGACGGAACTCCATTATTTAAAAAGCATTTAATGTTCTCATATCCTGTCCAATAAATCGCCGAAAATGGCACATCTCGCATCAAAGTGGCTACCACACCTTTCCACAGCCCCCTAATACCTGATTGCTGAACAAGAATCTTCAGAGCTTCCCCAATTTCATAATAGGTTAGTTTTGTAGACTGCATTTTGGTACGTATTAATTCTAGTGGACTGACTAGTGACACTGAAAATATTCTGGCTGTTCCACCTGCTATTAAAGGAATCCATATTGGTTGAGTGCATGCTGTGCCTTCAGGTCTATCCTTATTGTAATTATCCTTGAGTTTTAAACGTAGTTGCTCATAAGTGACAAAATAAACCACTGTTGCTGGAATGGCTAACACTAAAGTTGGACTCAAGCCACTCCACAGGCTTGATACACCCTCAACTTTACTAATTTTATAAATTGCATCCTGAAAAGTAAGAGAAAATGAACCTTGGTTCATGTTTTTACAAGTATATGTAAAATTTTACCATTGTGCCATTAAAATGCATCTGTTTATTCATTCGTGACCAACTATTTGTTTCACCACTGCAATCACATATATGATCCATGAGTCCATTACAATATAGAAAACATTTTGAAGTCATATTCTTGCTTTGAGCTTGTAATCTTATCTTGACAACATCCAAAGGAGTCACTGCAATATAAAATAATTATATTTATGATTATAAACATATTTTATATATTTTATATAAGTTTATCTACTTACCAAAAAGAGATGTTACCACAGCTCCAGTGCATGATGCAAGAACTTGTTGAAGCGGAGTTGTGCGATATTTGGGATCGTCAATGTCTATAACGTCATCTGCATCCATGTTTCAATCAGTGGGAAGTACGAAAACACGTTGAAACACTCAAAAACTGAGTTTTACCTCACAAACATCACAGTGCGTGCGGCACGCATGTACATCATGAAATCGCCGTGTTTGAATAGAAATACCCGAGCGAATTCATTGCAAGGACGCAAACTAACCTACAATTTTGATATAGACATGTTGTAATTTTTCTCCCGGCCGCTAGAGAAAAACTGACTGCGTTTGAAAGTTTTCAAGTTTTCTGCGGTGTCATCCACTGACGTCAATAAGTTGTGTTTGTTGCTTCAAAGTGTACAGAACTACGATCATGGGTCAAAAAAGAAGTAAGATAAGTTCATTTTGTTGGGTGTTTTGTAAGGTATTGTATCAATATACTTATAGTAAACGTTAAACTGTTCAATTTCAATATCTTTGGACCTTCAAAATATAGTAAAGTAAGTTATCACCATTTTAATACAATAATAGCTCATTCCTTTATTCATCTTCTAATGTTATAAAATTTTAAAGTTTGTAATAATTTATATGATGCAGTTGTAACAACAGTTTATAACGATTATTGATTTCTTTGCATAAGAAATCTTTAATTAATATCACAATCGCTTACGATCTAAATTTAAAAATAAACACACGATACGTAAAAAATGTTCATAAAATTTGCCCCTAATCGTAAAATCGATCAAAAGTTTTAAAAACACTTCGCGATTGGCAAATTACTGAACTCTCTCTTTCGGCAAGAATAGCGCTAGGAACGAACACCCAATGGAAATAACACTAACAAAAATAAACGGTTGCTCACATCCGGCTTTCAGCAGATGCGGGAATATTATGTTTCCAATAATTGTCTCTGCGAGACCTGTAAGGCGCGTTAGAGAGATAGCCATTGTGCACAAACGCGTCGGCAACAGTTCTGTTACAGAAACATTGAGCACTACTGTGTTTACCGCAGAGATGGCCGTTAAAATTGTGGTGAGTGTCACAACGGTAACGACATCTTTGGCGAAGTAGATTGCACCGCCTGCGATACCGGAAACAGCACCGTAGATGATAAACAGATTACGGTTGCCTAAACGGTTGATCACCCATCCGGTAAGTAGGAAACTGATAACTGAGGCGGATTGCACTATGATGAGATTCGTGTAAACATTGTCGTGGTCATAGTTCACTGTGCAATGTGTACTAATGTTACGATGTTGGTGTGTCATTGTTTCAAGCACATCGCAGAAATCTACAGTGGAAGTGTTGTGGGAAGTATGGTAATCATTCATGGCGGCGAATAATTGAGGAACCCAGTTTTTCAAAGAGTTTAACCTAAGAAAAAGCAAATAAAAAATAGAAATATTTAAAGGAATGACTAATGCATGTGACTAACCCCATTTTGTATCCCATTTGTACGGCGCTTAAAAATATGATGATAAAAACATGTGGGGGACAAAAAAGATCCAAGATATTCTTCAATTTTGATTTCCAACTTTCTTTTTTTGCCGCTTTTGATGGACTGCCGTTATTGTTGCCTTCATTTGGATCGCGAGTTTCATCAATCAATGATTTAATCTGTAAATAATATAAATTTAATATTTTTAATTTTTAGATGTGATTGTTACGTACAGGATACGTATCTGGATCTTTTCCACTATTCCAACTATATACAGTTTTAAATACAGCCATAGCTTCCTCATTTTTGCCAACTGACATCAAAAACTTCGGACTCTCTGGTAACGCCAAATTAGCTAAACCACTAATCAGACTCGGCAAAGCACACACCAGAATATAAATATTCCAAGAGTTCAGTTTCAGTCCGTTGTAAAACTCCAGACGTACATAATCCTGGAATATAACCCAAGCCATCATCGGTAGTATTATATTAGCTAGATTACTAAATAATCCCTGCAAGAGAAAGAAACGCGCACGATGCTTCTTGCTATGAAACTCTGAGAGTAAAGAAATCAAAATTGCGTTTGGTCCATTCATTCTGAAAAGAAAACATAACCATAATTGATTTAAGGTTATTATTAGTTATTAGGTTATATATACTCACACAAAACCAGCTAAGTATTTTGTGACTAAGAGCATTGTAAAGTTTTGTGAGATGCCAGCCAAGAAGATAAATACAGTATCCAACAAATAACAAAGAACTAAAAGTCTTTTGCGGCCGTATGTGTCTGCCAAGAATCCCCAAATAAATCCAGAGGATAAAATACCTTAAAAAAACAATTAAACATAATTATTTAATTAAAATATTTAATTATTCATACATAAATTGGCAGTTAAAAAAAGAAAACATTTATTATTATTATTAGTGAAAGTGAATATTTTTCTCAACAATACGATGGGTACGCATTATTTGATAAGAAATACATAAGCAAAGTATACTGGTCGTAAGTTCATAAATATTCAACTTCCGGGAAATAAAAGTATTTAAACTGATTGGCCTGTACATAAAACTTACCAAACACTGGATCTAATGGTGATAATAGTGATAACAAATTGTCCGCACATGTGACAATTTTATTTATCAACGAAACAACTTAATAGCTTGGTGAAACGATTAATGCGCGGAAAAAACAATAAACGTTAAAGAACAATGTTATCGTTATTAACAACAAAGTAACAAATAATTAAATCAAGTGTAAGTTTAACAAAATGCCTGCTTAGAATTCTTCCACTTCAATAAATTTAAATCTCATGAAATAAATATTTACAATACAAAACTAAGTTGTGAATAAAATTATATTTAACTTTTTTACTTTTTCTGTTAAAATCTTTGCGTTTAATTAATAATTTTAAAAATACAGACCTATGTAGGTGATGGCATTTAACAATCCTTTGTCCTCAAGACTCAGCTCAAGATCACACTGTGCGACTGGCGCTACATAGCTCATGGTCTTAGTGTCAAACACGGAGGCCCATCCGGATGGAATGGAGATGAGGAGCATGAGCAGATTGAACTTGCCGAGGCCGGTGGCGGCGATGGCGGTCTCAAAGTCGGCGGGCCCATCTGGTACAACGGAAATTGACACACGCATTAAAATCGCTCTTTTGCACCCAACCGCCTTACGACTCACAGTCGTTTGTTTATATTCGCATAAATCGCACTCGGCGGTGGAATTTAAAACTCTTATCTATTAGTGACTAGCAATGCGGACGAATTGTTGCGCGCGAGAAGACGAACGCAGAGGCAATGAGCGCGATAAGCGGACTGGCACTCATTAGAAATTGTGTGCACGTTTAATTGTTTGTGGCGGACGCGGACGGCAAACCGTTGTTTGCTTTACTTCATTTGTGATTATCAACAATTCTACAACTCAACGTGCGTTTATTTTGTACCAAATTCATGATAATAATATTATGACTACATTTTATTTAAATATTTTTGCTAAAATTTGCTAAAATCAAGGTTGAAGTAAGTATTTCTGTAATTCATAATTTTTGAAGTTCCAGACAAATAAAATCGTGATTATTACTAGTTTTATTTTTAGATTGTTAATTCTCGATTTTACGTTTTTTACACGTTGTACTCGTAAATAATTTGGGATATTGTTTTGAAATAAAAAAAAGAATATTCAATGATTCATACGTGTATGTAATAGAGGTGCTAATTGTTTAATGCGAATTAGCATATTAAAGTTCAGGAATAGAGTTAGAAACGTGTGAGCTCACCACCGTAGTCTTCCAAGAGAAGTTTGTAAGCCATTTTGTAGCAGCCGGCGTGTGGACCTCACGCGAACGACGTGATGCCGGCGATTTCTGTACGCGAAGTGCGCCAGATCCGACCAACATCAACGATAAGAGCCAAATCTATAAGGTTTCAACACGTGTTAACTAAAAACGTGTTGTTCGGCACAACAAACACATACCAACCAAGATTTCATATTGATGAATATTGAAATATTCTGACTTGTGTTAACAAAAGTAACTGCTAAGTAAAAGTAATTTTGATTTGAATTTATAAAATGCAGAGAAAAAAGTTGATTGTTTTGACTAGTCTATCTTTTTGTGTTAATTAATATTGAGATATTTTATGGACACTTAATCCTGTTTTTGGGATAAGTAATGACATTCAATAATTATTTCTAGTGCAATTTAACCAATCGCAAATTTAATACTAAATACATCTTTTTGATTTCTCACCAATTTTAAAGATCATTCATTAGAAAGTTTTTTCAAAATAGATATTAGCTCTTAAACCTGGGTATTTATTAATCACTTAGCAAATATTTCATACGTTTGACATACGTTTGAAATAGTTAGTTACACACATGAACTCATGAACTCATGAGAACTCCGTGAACCTCCTTAAAAAAAAAACAAAAAAAAAACAAAAAGTCGTATTTTTCTTAAGAAGATTTATAAATTTGGCTTAAAACTTTTTTTAAATATTGGATTTTACATATATGGTGTCAGACGTATAATTAACGGACCTGTAACATTTTAGCTGTCAACAACAATAAGTTTTAACAAAAGCATATGCCACGTACTGTGAAATACCATTCTACAGAAAAGTTAATTAAAAGATATTGAAGCTACAACCAATAATTTTACGGGTTGAAATACACGAGAAAAAAATTAAACTAAAAGAGTAAAAATATCTTCTCCTACGGTTATAAATATCTGGGAAATTAAGATGAGGTAAATATGTTAGGTTATCTAGAATTTCCAATCACTCCAACCATTCATACTTTAAGTATTAAAAAACGCATTGTAACATGAGTAAATTTATTGAAACAACAACCGAAATGATACACAAAACAAATCTATTGTAATGCCTTCATATCGGTACGAGGCAGCATAATGGCCATTAAGGCACACATAAATGTAGTGGAACCAACGTAGAGAAACGGCTGCCAGCATCCAGCGTTGATTAAGTACGGAAAGATGAGATTGCCGACCATCGAGCCCAAGCGTGCAATCATTAGCGCAAGTGCCACGGCCGTCGTCCTGTGCACAAACATGCAGTTATCAGAAAAACCATAAGGCCAATTTAATATCGAATGAAATTTTTATTATTAGGTAATGACAAGTGTGATTGCTGATAAGTCAAAATAAATGAGCACATTGTAGCAGCGGATGGCTCATTATTTTTACACACGATGTAATAAAAGTGCAAAAAGCATGAAAGAATCAAATTAAGACTTACCTTAATGTGGTCGGAAATAGGTCGATGATAATCGACATTAGCACATTGGAGTTAATGCCAGATAATGCTAAACATGAAGTGGATAAAGCCGTCACTGCGTATGAATTCGGTGCGAAATACAGAGACATTGCGGATACACCGGAAATAACTCCCAAAGTCACTGAAATTTATATAATTGTTTGTTTGTTTTGTAATGAATGCTAAAATATTAGTTACCATAAAGAACTTTCTTTCCAAGAAGGTTAATCAGCGTGCCAACGAACAAATAACCCGCAATTGTTCCCACTGAGATGACCATTAAGTTATAGTAAACAAAACTGTTACTATAGTTCTGTAATCATATTAATTAATTGTATAATATAAAAATAAATCGCAAAATCTGTTGGTAAGCGCATAACTCAACAACGCCTAGACCAATTCGGCCAATTCTTTTTTTTAATGTTCGTTAAGGTCCAAGGATGGTCTTTACGGCGAGAAAAATTAGAATAATTGCCGGGAAAACCCTAAAGACAGCTCTTTTCTATAGGATAAAAGTTGGCATTGAGATTTAATCATAGTTATCGTTAAATAGTTGAATCCGAGATGACACATACTATGTCTTGAACAAGAAAGTAAAAAATAATTACATTATTATTAAACACTACCGGGACGAAGTCGCGAGCAAAAGCTGGTTTAGTATAAAAATGATTTTTGCATCATTTTAACTTACCACTGTGCAGTCAATAGCTGCTTCCTCGTCAATTCGTAGTGACATACGGCTTTCTTCTAATGTATTAGCCAATGAACTGTTTTTATAGATGTTTTCTTCCAAAATCACACAGATATCCGCATCCACGTTGTGTTTATACATGTAGTCATTAATAAAAGCGAATAATTGTGGAAGCCATAACCGCAAACTATTCAATCTATAAAATAATTAAATTTTTATTAAAAAAATGAAATAAATTTTAGAAAAAATATTTACCCCATTAACGTGCCCAATTTCAAGGTGCATACAAATACAATTTTTGACAAATGTGGTTTCATGAACAAAGGCTTCATTTGCGCGAAGCCATTTTTGAACGCCTCCAGCTTATCACTGGAGACAACGTGCTCCGACAACTTGTTCTCGTCCACAAGGGCTTTGATCTAAAGCGTCACATCAAAACCACTGCCATTTCAACGAAAGAATTTAGCAACTTACTGGGAATGTGTCGGGATGGTTACCAGTGTTCCATGCATACACTTTTTTAAATACCCTCAGGGCTTCCTCATTGCATCCGCTTGTCATCAGAAATTTGGGCGTTTCAGGTATAAAAATGTAAAAACCAATGAAGCTTATGTAACTGGGAAGTGCTGTTATCAATATTAATATGTTCCATGAATGAATTTCTATAAAATTTAAGAAAAATTAAAAAAAAAAATTTTTAAATTGTTTTAATATTTACTTAATCCAAGAATGTTAAAATCTATTGGTGCCGAGAAGATTCCAAGCGACATTAGTGGTAATACAATATTGGCTGCACAGAAAATCATTCCAATGCATAGAATTGCTTTGGCGCGATGTCTCGCACAGTGATATTCAGAGATAATTGTTGTCGCAATAGCATAAGGACCATTAATACTAAAAAAAATAATTTTAAGTATTTAACATATTAATTTAATTTATACTCACATAAAACCTCCCATGAATTTCGCAAATATTAAAACACCAAAACTCTGAGCAAGCCCACCCATAGTAACAAAAATACCATTTAAGAATAGTCCAAGGATGATTACCCTTCTACGTCCCAACGTATCTGACAGAAAACCCCATACCATTGCGCTTAAAACCATTCCTGAAATTAAAATGAGAATGCGTTGTGGTAAAAATTGAGTTTCAAAAATGATACCTAAGTAAGTTGCAGAAATTAAATATCCTTTATCTTCCAAATTCAAATTTAAATCGCATTGTGCTACTGGAACAACATACGCAATCGCTGTCGTTTCAAACATGGTCGCAAACACGGTTGGAATCACGATGAGAAATAATATGATATTAAATTTGCCAAATGTTGTTGCTGTAATTGCTTCTTCAAATGTGGCCGGTTCATTTTCTAAAAATTAATATTTTTTATAAATTTGTTTAATTTTTAATAATTATATTTAATTTACCTAATTTTGAAGTTTTGATGTTTTTCTCATTGAAAACCATACTAATGTTTGCTTTAGCGTCGGGTTTCATATTCGACATAATAATGTAGATCAATTTCAATGAATGAATTATATAAATTAACACTATTTATTCAATGGATTTACGTAAATGGAAAGATTCACAAATGTTTGGCCACTAAATACCCGAAAGCACTTTTATTCAAAGAATCATAGTGTTAATTAATATGAATAAAATTGTTCACTAGAGTGCAAACAATTAGCAACTGGCGAAATCCAGAAATCCGATTCATTAAATTCTCAACATCACGCCGGGTTTCGGTGAGCATGGTGACGACACATCACGAAATATGACGAAATTTGATCTGTTTCTAAATAAACACAAAAGCAAGAATCATATCATATGTGATAGGATGTTGAATAAAACCTCCGAAAACAAATCATATATTACTCTCTCCGGCATGAAAGTTACATGTTTACTTAGAATTTCGCAAAACATGCGTTGTAGAAAAACTTAAACAATCAAAATTTTCCACGTTAATATTCCTGAATATTCTCGTTAATAGGTAATTCCATACACAATAAATTCGTGGATATTAAACATTTGAAGAGTATTAACAAAGATTATTTATTATAAATTAAATAAGTAAATAAACATCAAAAACAAATATACAAGTCATTGAGTAGGGTAACTAAAAGTACGTAATGTTAGTTATGACAAGATGAGATTAATTAATTATTCTAATGCTTTAAGATCGGTTTTTGGCAATAAAACAGCGAGCACTCCGCAACCAAAGATGACTACACCGACGAATAAAAATGGTGGTAGGCAACCCGATTGGATCAAGTAGGGGAAAATTATGTTACCTAACATAGCACCGAAACGACCCACCATCATAGTCATACAAACAGCCATTGTTCTAAAAATATACAAAAATAATTTATCAATCAATATTGGCCATGAAAATTTGAAATTTAAACTTACCTCAAACTTGTTGGAAAGAGATCAACTATAACAGTCAACAATACATTTGTATTGATACCAGAAAGTGCGATAGTAGCACTTGAAAGACCAGTAACTGTCATTGAATCTTGTGCAAAATAATGAGCGAATGCTATTGTGCCAGAAATCATTCCCAAAACAACTAAAAAATACAAAACAAAAAATTTATTAATTAATTTCAAGGATTTTTTTAGAAAATGATCTTACTATATAAACGCTTCTTTCCAATAGCATTAATTAACGACCCAACAAATAAATATCCAACAATCGATCCAAGCGAAACAATCATTAAATTAGTGTACACTGCTCCACTATCAGTATTCTATAAACAAAACAATACATTATCATTTCGATAACATTAATTATTGTTGTGATGACTTACAAATTTACAGACAAACTGTTCCTCGCCAATGATAGTTTTATTCGGAGTGAGTCCCTGGATCATATCACAAATGCTACTTTCCTGACCGTCATGCGATGTTTTGTAATCATTGATAGCGGTGAATATCTGCGGCAGCCATAAACGCAGACTATTCAAACCCATAAGAGTGCCCAATTGCAAAAACACACTAATGTTAATTTTCCAAGATGAGGCGCAAAGAATAAAGGCTTCATTTGAGCGAAACCATTCCTGAATGCTTCCATTTTATTGCTCGAGATTGTTTTGTGTTCGTTCAATGCATTCTCATCAATTAACTCTTTGATCTTAAATTAAAATACAACTATATTATGTTATGTTATGTTAAATAAGTGTGAAATAACTGTGTAAACATTAAGGTTACTCACGGGAAATGTATCCGGATGTTTACCAGTGTTTAAAGAATACATCCTTTTGAAAACCAATAATGCTTCATCGTTGCGTCCACTAGTCATCAAGAATTTTGGTGTTTCTGGTATGAGAAAATAGTGACCAAGACCACTCAAAAGTGCTGGTAATCCGCTTGTTAAAATAAACATATGCCACGAATGCAATGCTATAATAAAATAAATATTAAATAATATCAATAATATTTTGTTCATGTTTACATACTTATGTAACCATCGAAAAACTTCCATTCAACATCACTGGGCAATAAACCCCATGCAAAAAGTGGTAAGAAAATATTTGCTACACTGAAGACTATTCCCATTGAAAGAACAACTCTTGCGCGATATTTCGCGCAGTGATATTCTGATAATACAGTGGTTAAAACAGCAAATGGTCCATTAATACTGTAAATGTAATATTTTTAGAAAAATAATTTAAAAATTAATAATAACTTACATAAAACCGCCCATAAACTTTGAAAACATCAACATTGGAAACGTTTGTGATATTCCAGCTAAAAATGTAAAGAAAGCTGCCAAAAGAAGACCGATGACGAGTAATTTTTTGCGTCCTAATGTATCTGATAGAAAGCCCCACACCATCGAACTGGATAACATTCCTAAAAATTAGATTTTTACAAAAATAAATTAATTTAAAATGTTTACGTACCTAAATATGTAATGGAAATTAAATATCCTTTGTCTTCTAGAGAGAGCTCGAGATCACACTCAGCAACTGGAATAATATATGAAACTGTTGTTGATTCGAACATGGACGCCCATCCTGATGGAATTGCAACTAATAGCAATAATAAATTAAATTTTCCAAAACCTGTGGCTGAAATAGCTGTTTCAAAATCTGCCGGGCCATTTTCTATAAAATTACAAACGAAAATATATTAATTTAAAATTTCTATTAAATTAGATAAATTGTTACTTTGGTTGCCTATTTCTATATTATTTTCTTCTTTTTCTTCTGAAACATTTTTTTCGTCTTTATGACCAAACACTTTACTAAATGGTTTTTTCATGGTTCTAATGAAGCGCTAAATTATAAACTAAATTAATGTGCGTTGCACTAGCATCGGCGTTGGCGAATGAGTGCGAATCAAATGCGTCCAGCATTATTAAACAAATGCGAAATGTTTTAAACTTTTCCCTACATTCGGTTGTTTGTCAGAGGATAATATTTAATCGAGCGCATGCACAGCGAGTGTTTTACGCTGTGTTTAACACAGAGTGTGACGACAAACCAGCATAAAAGGAAACAAAACCCATTTGACCAAATGACGCTGTAATATTTAAGTATATATAATGTCGCAATAATTTAACGTCACTCAAAAATACGCTTAATAATCTGTGTAAACCTGGTGAAATCTGAGAAATTATAACAACAGTGTTTCTGTCACTCAGTGTTTTCATTTTGTTTGCGAATAGACGAAACAAAGTAATTAATGACACCGTCAAATTAGCCACGTCATTGTGTATCACTCTGGAAATCTTCACTTTTCGGCGTGTCATTCTATGATGTAAAAGATAAAAGTGAAATTTCAGCAGTGTGCCGAGTGTGCGATAAAAGCTAATTCAAATTTTAAGTTACATTTGAAAGGAAAAATGGCGAATCCACTGTTGTCATTGAACGAGAACTTCTCGTATAATAGCATGCTTGCCAGGGCATTGCTACAGCTGATGCCAAAGAAAGGTCAGTGTGTGTGTGATAACGATAATGTAGATAATATAGCAGGACCAAAGTGTAAATAAACGACAGTTATAAACATTGAACATGTTAGTGATTCGTGGTATGACAAAAATATTCATGTCTTTAATTAAGCTTTAATTATTTCAAATTGTTCATCGCATTCCAGAGGAAATTTATTATTTTTTTAAATTTTTTTTAAGTAATCACATAAAATATTTATTTCCATTTTAAAACTGAATTTAACGTTGGTAATCCGATATAATTTTATTATCGCCATGTTTTGCCTAATTGGAATTTGAAAACTGATTAGGCAACTGATTTTAATAATGAGATTATTCCGTAACACCTCACTAATTTAATATGGAAATAAATTAAACTATTTAGTTGATATATTGATGAATTATTATAGATAAACAAGCAATCCAGTCATGGCTGTACGTGCTGCATGAAATGAATGGCACTGTCGATGAAATGACGATTCGAAATGAGTATATGTGGTTTTTACTCATCCAGTTACAGAATAAACGAATTACGGAACCTTTTAATCATCCGCCTTATTCGCAGAGTTTGCTACCGCTTCGCGAAATTTTGGTATAAATTTAAAGATTCGTAATTATTTTAATTTTAATTTAATTTACGTATTAGCCACCTAATATATACGAAGAGGTATTAATGACAACTGAAAAAAATATTTCACGTTTGGAGGAACCGTACGTCGAGAATAATGAAGCCAAACAAGAAGAAGAAGCTTCAAAAAATAAAAGTTTCCGCGCGCCGCCTGCTAAGTTTTTGGACAATCAACCACTGCCAAAGAACGGAATTATTTGTTATTTGGCAGCATTCAGTGATCAAAGTTAAAATATAAATTTTAGATTATTAACAAATAAATTTTACTCACGCAGCAGTGGAATGGATTCCATCGAATGCATTTCTTTTAAAATAAAATTTCTTCAATACGAATAAAATTCAATACGTTTTCCAGTGGTAATAACCGTGAAAAAACGTAGAATAACAAAACACAGCAACTGAATATCATTGTGCTTGGCTGAACCGGATTTGATGCACTAAACAATTGAGTTGTCTGATAATAATGTCTTACAATCCGACCTTCTAGAACAAAGATGATAAGCAGTAGAAGAATCTTTGTCTACGCATGCTCTAATCACGTGGTTTCTATACCGTAAAATATTTGATCAGCATTGTTGCAGCGACCTCGCATGCGGTAAGTTCTATTAGTTTTATTTTAATAAAATATTTGCAATTTATTTTTTCTATTTTTTTAATTTATAAAGAATTCGCAACAATGCACGATCAATTAAATAGTGGTAGAAGAACAAATGCTGCGTTTATATTCTTGGTGCTATTGGTGATTCAATGTGAGTTAACACGTGGTGCAGTCCGACATGGCCGTAGTTCACATCCGGGTAAAGAAGGAAGAAAAGATAAGCACTGGGCTGATATTGATATAAACGAAGCTCATCGCCATGGATTTACGCCTGCGCCTCGATCAGATGAACCGCATCGGGATGTGTGTGAAGAGGATGCGAAGTGTGTACTTCCGGTGCAGTGTCCTGCACATGTGTATGGAGCAGCCAAAGATCGGTGCACTTCTTTAGGTGGACGGAAAGGAGTTTGTTGTACAACTGGGCACAATCACACTGGTAGATTTTCTTTAAAAAATTTTTAAATATTTTTAATTAATTTATTTTTTAAATTAGAAAATCTAGCTAAGAAGGGCAGGCATCATCACAACATCATCAATGACATTGATCCTGATATGTTGGAAGATGTTGCACGACACAGTAGAGTAGACATTGCTGAAATGCACATGCATGAAGCACGTATTCTATCATCGGAGCGCTCCGCCATTTTGCCGATGGGTTCGGCCAGTTACGGTCACTTCCGGAACACAAAGGTTTACAGCATGACTGATTTAATGGATGTTATGAATGTTGCCAATCGTGCGATGGAAATTGCCTTAGCTACAAGAGCATTTAAAGAAAGGTAATTTTTAAATTTTTAAATTTTTATGAGAACTAAACTAATTTGGTGGTGTTATTTTCCTATAGGCAAGGAATTACTAATCAACAACTGAAATGGGGCATGGTTCAACAAGACCTTCGTCCAACTCCTTTAGGATCTGCATGTTCTCCAACTATTGAATGCCCTAGTGTTCCAGAACGTTACAGACGTATTGATGGCACATGCAACAATCTTTTCAACCCAACATGGGGTGCGCCACTTACCCCATACGCTAGACTTTTACCACCAAGTTATCAAGATGGAATCTGGTCACCTAGGGTCTCTGAAGATAAAGGCCAACCTTTAAAATCTCCTAGATTGATTTCTACTACTCTCTTTCCGGATGCAGACTCAACTAACAAAGATTACACCCTTATGCTGATGCAGTTCGGGCAGTTCCTCTCACATGACATAACTCAATCAATAGATTCAAGCTTTGCAAACGGCAGCGCCATCTCGTGTTGTATGGCTGATGGCTCCAAAGAGATGCCGTACGAAATGAGACACTTTGCTTGCATGCCCATTAAAATCCCGAACAAAGATTCTTTCTACTCTGTGTTTAAACAGCGTTGCATGAATTTTGTACGCAGTGTAATGGCGCCCAGAAGCGATTGCACTTTGGGTTATGCACAACAAATGAATAAAATCACTCACTTTTTGGACGCTTCTTCAGTTTATGGGTCTACGCCGGAAACTACTTCAGAGTTGAGAAGTTTCCATCATGGTAAACTTAATATCTTCAAAGATTTTGGAAGGGAGTTGTTACCATTATCCAAGGAACCTGATTCTTGTTTGACCCAAGAGCAGGGATCAGCTTGTTTTGAATCAGGTATGTACTAAAAGTAAAAATATTAATATTTTATTTTTTTATTATTAAATATTTTTTATTTAACTCACAGGTGACACTCGAACCAATCAAATGATCAGCTTGGTAGCAGTTCATTTGATATTCCTGAGAGAACACAACCGCCTCGCTAATGCCCTCTATAAGATCAACCCACATTGGAGTGACGAGAGGATATTCTTGGAAGCACGTCGGATTCTAACAGCAGAAATGCAAGTCGTCACTTATAAGGAATTCCTACCGGCTCTTCTGGGAGAAGGGGCAATGCATGAATTTGACATTGCTCTGCAAATGGGTCATGAATATTCATACGACTACAATCAAAGAATAGAGCCTTCTGTGACGAATGAATTTGCTACAGCAGCGTTCAGAATGGGTCATTCCATGGTCGAAGGATTACTAAAGTAGGATATTATAATAAAATTTTATTTGTTTGAAATCTAAAAAGAAATTTTACAGAATTTATGGAATGGATAAAATGGATGAGATGATTTCCATCCCTGAAACCATGTTCTACCCTGGTAGAATGAGAAAACACTTCTTTTACGATCAGATTTTGAGCACTTTAACCACTGAACCCATTCAACACGTTGATAACTATATATCTGAAGCCGTAAGACCTACGAAAATATTAAAATGTTGTTTATTTTTTAAATTTTTGCGTTTTAGTTAACGAGGTATATGTTCAGAGCTGGTAATCCTTTCGGAGTAGACTTAGCATCATTAAATATCCAACGTGGGCGTGATCATGGTCTACGTTCCTATAATGATTATCGTCAACTCGTAGGACTTCAAGATATAAATATTTCAAAGAGTTTGGACCTGATGTAAGTTAAACTTTAAAATTTTTTTTTATTATTTATATTTTTATTTTTATATTCAGATGGGTCCCAAATTAGAATCTGTTTATGATCATATCGATGACGTTGATTTATGGGTGGGTGGCCTAATCGAACCTAAACATGACGGCGGAATTCTTGGAAATACCTTTAGAGACATCATCGCCGATCAGTTTGTCCGCCTGAAGAAAGGTGACAAGTACTTCTTCGACCATGATCCCAGTGTCAATCCAAGTTATTTCACTCCTCAACAATTGGTCGAACTTCGTAGAGCTTCAATGGCACGTCTCGTGTGTGATAACAGTGATGGTTTCCTGCTTGCTAAGCAAGCACCAAATGCTTTCCGTACACCGGGTGTACCAGGCAATGATTACGCTGATTGCCAAGGTCCAGTTATTCCTAAATTGGATTTAAGTCATTGGCAAGAGTATTTTTGAACGTTGAAAGGTTATAAGATTTAACGAATTGCTGAAATGCTTTTAACGTGTTGTTAATGTTTGTTAAAATTTTATTTATATATATTTCAGGAATCTAGTACAGTTTAAATATATTATGATACATTTTGAATTTTGTATTTTAAGATAATATGTTTTATTCTTGATTTTTTGTTCAAACGCCGACGAAAGAATACTTTGCGAATCCAGCCTATTCTGACAAAGTTCTTTCGAAGGCATAGAATGAAAGTATGAGAATTTAAAATGACGTTCATTGGCAACATTGGTTTGCCATCGCTTTAAGTTGCTTTCTCCAGGTTTTTCTTTACTTAAACAAGCAAATTCACAGCAATACCCTTATATTTTAGAAATTATGGAATAATTTACTTACCAAGTACTTAATAAAACGAAACTTGTCATTGATTATCGAATTTAATGGCGGTTCATTCGCAGCGGAGACATCGCCGAGTTTTACTTGTTCAGAGTCGCTTAGAGAAACATCTTCAGAACTGTGAAATAATCAATACAGTAGGTTTACTAAATTGGTATTACAATCAATTACGGTTTTCCATCGTCAGTTTGATTGTCGTCCATTTGATCTCGCAATCCTTTGAGTAATCGATTCTCGTTTGTTTGCAACAATCGTGCGATGAACCATCTAGCGTCTTCGTTGAGCATCGGATCGTTTTTCAAGCCTACGGCATTGTTCTTCAACGTGTTGTCGTGATGACTACGTTTTCCATGCGCTATTCAAGTTTCCACATTAAATATTATTAAGTGCAAAATTAGATTCAATGGAAGTGGAGAATAAATGAAGCAATTAATATGAATAGTTTCGTCCAATTGTATAAAGTGTACTAATGAATAAAGTATAATTTGCAAACATTGTTGTGAAATGCTTAATAATTGAGTTGTTTACCTCCCCAGCAGGAATGACCATATCTGATGCAGGAACCTGTAATAAAAAATTAAATTGTAATTTTTTAATAGTATGGTATTTTATATTATTGGTATTAATTGTTAATTGGCATGTTGCGTAATCTATAATATAACAATGAATCGGAAAATCTGTTGGTAAGCGCATAACTCAACAACTCCTAGACCAATTCGGTCAATTATTTTTTTTTAATGTTCGTTAAAGTCCAAGGCTGGTTTTTACGGCGAGAAAAATTCGAATTATTGTCGGGAAAACCCTAAAGACAGCCCTTTTCTAAAGGATAAAAGTTGGTATTGAGATTCAATCATAGTTTTAGTTAAATAGTTGAATCCGAGATGGTGGGTTGAAGTGCATTATTAGTAATTCTTTATTTAATTAATTTCTTTAAAATAAAATTGCGAATCTTATTGATTGAATTGACATACACCATGTCTAGAACAAGAGAGTAAAAACGAACTACATTTTTATTAAACACTACCGGGACGAAGTCGCGAACAAAAGCTTTTAATAAAAAATAAACACATTTTAATTTTATAAAATTTAATGAATACATTAATAGTAAATGCAATTTTTGAAGCTTAAATTGTAATATTTTTTACTGCGTGGAAAGTTTTCTAATCTCTGCTAATTGAAACAAAGCGTTGTTGGAAATATGCTGGACTCATATTCACGGCCATAATTGTCTCGTGCAGCGTATGAAAAAGACATCAAAAATAAAATTTGCTTATTAAAATGCGCAAATTTGTGCAGGTGAGTAAAACAAATGTGTGTAAAAAATAAATTATAAAAACTCGTAATAAAAAAATCAGTAATTACGAAGAAAATATCAAAGCCTACATATGCAAGGGCCAGACAGCATAAATTACAATTTGAAAAGGTAACTCCTTTCCTGTAGCCAAGTTTATAATTTTGTAACATTTTAAGTCTCCGCAAGTGTAATGACTATGCACAGACATTTAAATTTAGTTAATTACTTTGATCATCCAGATTTATTTAAATCTCACTCAATGTATAGAAATTAAAGTTTGTGTTAGTTTTGTATTATATTATATGCAATCTGTAAATAGTACTAATGGAGTAATATTTATAAATACCTGAAATGTTTAATTTTATAAAAATAATGTTTTTGTAACAATTTTCGATTCGTTTCCTTCTGCGATTGCTTTTGAAGTGATAAATAAACCATCGCCGGTTTCAATGAAGGAAAAAATATCGCACGTAAATAGGAAATCTGAAATCGGCGTGTGTGATTTTGCGAGTCAGCGGCGGCGGGCGGCTTGCTCTTTACGATTTATTTGCATTTACAAATTACTCGTGTTTGCATCCGCTTTGTGCGCATGCAGCAAGCGCCCACTTCATGTTTGCGTGTACGTAATCGAAGTGAAATCAACACGATAGTACAAATTGTAATTGTGCTATTGATCTCGTTTTCAATCGACCACAGAGCATTTTGTTAAATATAAGCCGAGATTTAGGGCGGTTATCATTCTAGACAAATTGAGTCAATAATCGCGATTATTTTTATAACATGAGATTACATTTTATTTAGACATCAATATAGTATTTTTGTCCAATGTAAATGTATAGATTTGTTAGATGTTATTAGTATGTTTGTTAATCACTCACTCCAAAATTACTGGGTTATTTTTGATGAAAGTTTCCAATATTATAAATTACCAATTAAAATATGATATAGGCTACTATTTATTTCAAAAATAATTTTGAAACGGTTTCAATAGAGATATATTACAAATCGTCAAATAAAAGAATAAATTTAGAATTTAATAGAATACTATTAAAAAGCACTAAAAATTCATGCCTAGTTATTCGTAATTTTTTATTTTTATTTCAAACACGGTAGTTAAAGACCAAAATATTCACATAACTTAATTTTGTAACTGAATATATTTTCAACTAAACATTCCTAAATAACTTTTTTAGTTACCCACTAGTTTGCCCTGAAACTCTTCAAGCTTACTTGCAATGTTTAATCCCTTTTGATGCAAACGTCGCAATTCAAACATACTAAAACTTAATACATATACGAGCACTAAACTGCACTAAATGATGTTTGCTGTGCTTTTGATTTACAAGTTAAGAAGATTATTGAAGCGTTAAATTTCTGAATAAATTTATTCCCCAAAAGCAAATATATACTTATTTCAAATGCATATCTTAATATATATAAATCTCGTGTCACAATGTTTGTCCTCAATGGACTCCTAAACCACTTAACCGATTATAATAAAATTCGCACCCCATGTGCAGTTCGATCCAACTTGAGAGATAGGATAGTTTAAATCTCAAATTATAGTCGCAATTTTAATTTATTGCTAATTATTTGTCTGTTATTATTTGACAGTCACAATTATCTGTTAACTCCAAATGATTTTAACAGGTGTCGATACCTTTCGACTGTTATTATTATTAGTTGACAGATAGAAACTCATTTTGACAATAATTATAAAAGTGAATGAATTTGTAAATTTAGAAATGGAAATTGTGAGTTTTAATAATGGATGTGGCACATATAGCTAAAAAAGTCTTTCGGAAATTTCGAAAATATTCGTGAAAGATAAGTCGGGACAACGTTCGACAGGGCCGCTAGTTTATTATAGAAAATAAACTAATTAACAACTAGGAAACAGGATGATACATCCTGTATATTCCAATGATGATAATTTACTTACTTCACAATCAACCCACTTGCATCCCGTTAACAGAAGTCCATCACAGCTCACTTAGTGCTTTGTGCATTTAAATATAATTATAGTGTCAGTATAAGTTTGTGTTAGTGACTTGTTGCTTGAACCCTTGTTCAGTTAAAGCTCACATTATAACTCAATTAGTTTTGGGTTTAACCCCAGTACAACAAGCAACCAATTACTTTCATGCAACAAAATTAGTCAAATTTATAGTTATACCCAAATAATTTATAATAATTTAATAATAAATAGTAAATTAAAATAAAACTTACCAGAAGCGCTTTCAGCGAAACAGCAAAACACCAAGAGCATTGCCAACTTGACGAGACATCGTCCTGAAGGACTGGGCAGCAACAATTGACTATTCATTCTGCACACTTCTTGCACACTTTTCTTTGAAAATGAGTTAAAGCAATACTTAAATCTAGGTTTTACGAATTTTTAATGTGTATATTTTGTTTGTAATTATCTTGAAGCACAATCTGATCTTTCCTGATACGATGCGGCGTTATCGCGTCGTTACGCCAGATTTGGCATATCGCGGCCATCAGCGGCGGCTTTATAGCAGAGTTCGCTCCACCCACAAGCCGCCTCCGACGCACGCAAGCCGAGCGCAATGCTCTTCTTCTTTTTCCAACAAATTTGCCCGGTTCCATCTGACCCTAGAAAAATACTAAATATATTACACGTTTTAAGTGGGTCTTCAACATGCAAATGACAATTGCAATATGTTTATGCTTTATCATGTGTTAAACTGCGTCAAATCATACTGGGTCTACATATTATATGAAAATTATAGAATTTTATATTAATTTAAAAAAATTATTAGTTTAATAGTAAAAACTCATTGTTTAGATTAAATAGTAATTAATATTTGTTCTTAAATTTATTTAATAATAATAATTTTTTGCAACTTACTGTTGAATGTCATTGAAATAAACATGAAAAGAAACTGCAGTTCATCCAATTGCCCATTCACAGCTGATAACTTCATTCATTTACAGGTCATTTTCACGCTCGTTTGCATTTAAGAGTACGCGTTTCAGTCGTCATTGAGTATCGAAATATCCACGAAATTCTTTGCAAAAAAAGTTCTTTTATGCAGAAAAGTGCGCTGATGCAGATATATGCCTCATATATTCATTTGCATGTCACCTCGAATCAAAGTTACGCGTTCTATAGGGATAGATTATTCAAAAAACAAGAAACATCGAAGTCGACTCCCAAAAGAATCCAAAAATTTTTATTTTGGTTTATTTTAGATTTATTTAGGTATTCTTATTAATGTTGAATGTTAAGATAGTGAAAACATTGACATTCAATTAAATGAAAATCTTGGAATGGGTAATTACACGCTGGAAAATTATACGCGCAGCGAGGAGTAAATTTGTTAAAACTTTGTGCGTTAGTTGAATTTTCACTCGTTGTGTATAGTCATATACGAGTATGTTGCAACAAAACTTTGAGCGCTACGCATTAAATCGCCGGTCTAGTTTTATGCCCTTGGGTACCATCGTTTGTCACTGTGTCCTTTGTTGTTCTGGTCAGGTATTATGACTAGTACCCTGCAAAAAAGCTTCAAAGTATTTTGTGAATATTGTAAACAGGAAACAGGAAACGTCTACAAATTCAACAAAAAAATATATAAACAAAAGTTATAAAATTCAAAAAAATATTTTCAAAATAAATGTTTTAATACATAAATAACTTTTGCCAATATCTGGCCTCGGTGTATTTTTACAGAAACATTACTCAATTTAAGACAGCAATAAAATCTACGCGTCGTAATATCAACTTATCTAACTCTACAGGGGGTTTTAATAACGAATGCGCCATGAGGGAGCATGCGTGGGCGCGCAGGCATCTTTGGCGAGCATAAATCCTCACCGCAATCATCTCCCGGTGCGAGAAAAGCAGACAACGTGCATTGTGTCGTCCTGTTCAACAGGTAGCACCCATTTTCATTCATACCCGCAATATTCGCGCTTGGTTGTAGTCGGTAATTTATGCGAGTGGATCATGTAAACGTTTATATCAGTTATGATGAACGCACGTCAACTTTTCTTATGGTGATAATTTGTATAAATTTATTTTGATTAGGTCTTATATAATTTGACTAAGCCTACACGTAGGTGTAACAAATTGAGATTTATTGAATTATTTTTGGGAATATTATACGTGTATTTACAGTTTCTATTTATTAAAATATTACTTTGGTTTCATGCATATTTGAATAACTTTTATAATTAATGTTAGTACAATTGCGAATGAATAAATTAAATTCATGCAATGTATGCAGAATGGCATTAAGTAATTATACCTTCGTTAGTTGCATACTCGTATATTGAATATTATGGTGAATGTAATTTAAGTTTTTAAATTACGCTGGATTTTTATGTTTGGATTTGAAATCCTAATCTGTAATCAGAGCAGTCTTGACCCTTTGCAAAGACTTTGGGTCACCAAATTTGAACTGCTTGAATATTTTGTATTTTATTTGTGTCTGTGGGTCTAAGTCAACATAAACATGAGATAACAATATAAATAAATGTATAAAAATCAACGCACCGTAAATTCAATATCAGTTGATGCGGCGATATGGCTTTCAACGGTTTCGTTTTGCTGCTAACCGGTTTGTATTTAATAAACAATAATTAAAGCATTTAGAGCCGAAATTAATGATTTTTTAATTCCAGTGATATTCTATATCACAGTGTGCGTATCAAGTTCTAAATTTGATAATGATGGTCCAATAGTCCAAACACCCAACGGTAAAATTCAAGGTGTCCTCAAAAAAGAACAACATGCCACCTATATGCAATTTATGGGTATTCCTTACGCTAAACCCCCAATTGGTAAACGTCGTTTTGCTCCTCCTAAACCCATGACACCTTGGACTGGAACCTGGGTGGCAAACACAACTTATATGTGTATTCAGGTTGATCATTATGACGTCCCTCAAGAAGGTCTTACCACCGGCGATGAAAATTGTTTGTTTTTGAATGTATTCACTCCTGGAAATCAAATCAACCCAGATGCTAATTTGGATGTGATTGTTCACATTCATGGAGGTGGTTTTATGTTTGGTAGCTCTAATGGTTACTCCAAACCGAAACCTTTCATGAACCAAAATATTGTCTTTGTCACTCTTAATTATCGCCTTGGAATTTTCGGTTTCATGAGTTTGGAAGATAAATATCTACCGGGAAATAACGGAATGAAGGATCAAGTCATGGCGTTGAAGTGGGTCCAAGATAATATTAAGTTCTTTGGAGGTAATCCTAACTCGGTAACTATTACTGGATTATCCGCTGGTGGAGCCAGTGTTCATTTCCATGTGCTATCACCATTGTCAAAGGGATTGTTCCATAAAGCAATTTCTGCTAGTGGAAACGTTTTGGATCCGTGGCCAATTCATGAAGCTCCCAGACAGAAAGCCAAACAAGTCGGAAAGGCAGTTGGATGTTTATATGAAGAAAGCAAAGAGTTCCTTACATGCCTAAGAACTAGATCCGCATCACAAATTGTAGAAGTTACCAAAAAGTTTAGAGATTGGTTATATCTGCCATTTTCTCCATTTGGACTTGTTGTTGATAGTCATTCAAATGAACCATTTTTACCTGCGCACCCTTACAAACTTCTTGATGAAGGGAAAATCAATGATGTACCATGGTTAGCTTCGTTGACTACTGGTGAAGGGTTATATCCAGTTGCTCGTAAGTTTATATTGGACTAATTAAAAAAACACTTTTTTATTTTTTTTATTTTATAGAATTGGCTGCACGAAAAGATTATTTCGATGAATTTGCCAATAATTTTGAAAAATACCTTCCTTTATTATTACATTATGAAATGACAGTGCCAAAATCAAAATTAGATGATGTTACAATGAAAATTAAGAAAGAATATTTCAAAGATGAAAAAATTAGCAAAACAACTTACACGGAAATTATCAAAATGGCTTCCGATCGTCTCTTTAACGTTGGAATGGAACAATCTATCCGAATGCATTCTAAAGCAATCAAATCACCAATTTACTTTTATTTGTATGATTATACACCAGAGGAAATTTGGAGTTTTGCGGAATTCTTATTCGGATACAAAGAAAAATATGGTAATTATAATTTACAAATATAATAAATAATTTTTTAAATTGTATTAATTTTATTAATTTAGGTGTGTCCCATGGTGATGATATCTTAATGATGATGGAAGCCCCAAGAAAACCAACTAAAAACGACGCTGCCATTACGAAATTATTAATGGACACGTGGGTATCTTTCGCTAAAAATGGCAAACCTAGTCGTTCTGACTGGACGCCACTTTTTGAAAAATCAAAGGATTCTCTCGATTACTTATACATCGGTAATCCAGATAATATTGAAATGAGGAAGACAAATGATTTTGGTAATAAAGCATTTTGGAATGCGTTGCCTATCATCGAGAATGCGAAACTTTTCAAACGTGAAGCAAAAGTAGAATTATAAAATTAAACGTAGACGCGAACAAATATTGCGCAAAAAGTTATGTGCACATTTTACAAAACATGTAAATAAAGATGTACTTTTATGTCTGCGTTGTATTTTTCCTCAAAATATTTATGTTTGTTTGCATCATGTTTTAAGCAAAAATAATCCACTAATTGTTTTGTAAAACAATGAAATAACTTTTATTCTTAATATGAGAAGAGAAGACTTTTGGACGAAGAAGCCATAGATGTTAAGTGCGAAAATAATTAGATTACGTATAAATAGGTCGTAAATTTGATACCGTCTACCTCGGAATTAATACTTTTTAATAACACAAAGAACCCCGATAGAAATGTAAAAGTTGATAAAAGTTTTTTGTTTACCTTAACACTTTCCTAAGTCCCATATTTTTTAATAACTAGTTTAGGTAAACTTTTATTAGTAAACTAGCTTTTGCCCGCGACTTCGTCCCTGTAGTGTTTAATAAAAATATAATTTGTTTGTACTTTCTTGGTCTAGACATAGTATGTGCCAATTCAATCAATAAGATTCGCAATTTTATTTTAAAGAAATTAATTATATAAAGAATTGCTAATAATGCAATTCAGCGCGCCATCTCAGATTCAACTATTAAACTATAACTATGATGGAATGTCAATGCCAACTTTTATCCTATAGAAAAAGGCGGTCATTAGGGTTTTCCCGGCAATTATTCGAATTTTTCTTGACGTAAAAGCCATCCTTGGACTTTAACGAACATTTTAAAAAAGAATTGGCCAAATTGGTCTAGGCGTTGTTGAGTTATGCACTTACCAACAGATTTTGCGATTCATTTTTATATCATGGACAATAACACAAAATTAGTTTTGCATACTTAATGCAAAAGAACGTAACACACATTCAAACTTAAAGTAATTTAGTACTCTAACTTCTCTGTACATAAGTAATTATACAAGTCAGTGAAGTTGACACCTTGTCTTCCCAAAGGCGACACTCCCCAATTAACAAGGGTAGCTAACAAGAACCCAAAACAATATACAATATCAGAATGAATTTTAATTTGCTTACATCTAATTCTAAATCTTACAATTCTGGAATTATATTTTCTCCTTACTGGATTTGCTACTATAACTTGAAACAATACTCAATAATGTCGTATTATAAACGTGTAATCAGTTTTCATTTGACCCTTTCAAGTATGTCTACGTAAACACCACTTGAACAACTTGTGTGATATAATAAAGTGATAAACATACGATTACGGTATTGGTAGCCTCCTCCAATATTAATAACAAGTATATAAAGACGTCGCAGTCTACAATCAAGTGTTGTCAGTCGTGAACGACAACATCGACGAAATGGTTCTCATGCGTAACATTCCACTGCTTGCCGGTATGTATTAAATATAAATAAACAGTAATTTAAACTATTTTTCAATTGAAATTTAATGTTATCTTGTTTATTTTATAATTCCAGTGATATTGCAATTATTTGTGTATGCTTCAAGTTCAAAGTTTGATTATGAAGGTCCAATAGTACATACAGAAAATGGTAAAATTCAAGGTTTCGTACAGAAACACCCAGATGCAACTTATGTGCAATTCCTTGGTATTCCCTATGCCCAGCCTCCAATCGGAAAACGTCGGTTTTCCCCACCAAAACCAATAAAACCATGGCCTGGTACGTGGATCGCCAACTCAACTTATACCTGTATCCAAGTGGATCATTATGACGAACCTAATGAGGGTCTCACAAAAGGATCTGAAGATTGTTTATATCTTCATGTTTACACTCCTGGAGATGAAATAAAACCAGATGCAAATCTTGACGTTTTGGTTCATATCCATGGAGGTGGATTCATGTTTGGCAGTGCACATTTATATGCGAAACCAAAATTATTCATCAAAAAGAATGTTGTGGTGGTAACACTAAACTATCGTGTTGGAATATTAGGTTTCCTGAGTTTGGAAGACAAGTATCTTCCGGGAAACAATGGAATGAAAGATCAAGTCATGGCTTTGAGGTGGATTAAAGATAATATTCAGTTATTTGGAGGTAACCCTAACTCAGTTACCATTAGTGGGTTGTCCGCGGGTGGGGCCAGCGTTCACTATCATTTGTTATCACCAATGTCTAAAGGATTATTCAATAACGCTATTTCTGCCAGTGGTAATGTTTTGGATCCCTGGACAATTCATGAAGCTCCAAGGCAGAAAGCAAAACAAGTTGGAAAAGCTGTGGGTTGTTTGTATGAAGACAGTAAAGAGTTTCTAGATTGTTTAAGGAGGAGATCTGCATCGGAAATTGTTGAAGTTACAAAACTATTTAGAGATTGGATATATTTACCGTTTTCTCCATTTGGACTTGTGGTGGATAGTGCTTCTGAGGAACCGTTTTTACCCGCACATCCATATAAACTACTTGAAGAAGGAAAGGTTCAGGATATACCATGGTTGGCGTCGTTAACAACCGGGGAAGGGTTATATCCTGTTTCACGTAAGTTAATCTTTGGAGTTATAATTATTCAATGAAGATTCTGATAAAAAAGAATTAAAAACTTTACAGAGTTGCCTGTGCGAAAAGACTACTTTGATCAGCTGTCGAATAATTTAGAAAAATTTCTACCGCCTATGCTGCACTATGAGATGTCCGTGCCACACACAAAAATAAATGAAGTAACAATGAAAATAAAGCAGGAATATCTCAAAGATGCGAAATGCAACCTGGAGTCTTTCACACAAATTATCAAGATGGCTTCTGATCGTCTTTTTAACGTTGGAATGGAACAATCTATCCGAATGCATTCAAAAGCAATCAAATCCCCAGTTTACTTTTATTTATACGACTACACCGCTGAAGATATTTGGACTATTCCTGAACTTCTTTTCGGTTATAAGGAGAAATATGGTAAAAATCTTTTACTGTTTTTGAGATTGTTTTTTATGCTACTGGTCATTATTTTGCAGGTGTTTCCCATGGAGATGATATGCTGATGATCTTTGATCCGCCAATGAAACCGTCTAAACGTGACGAGATTATTACCGAGTTGTTGGTCGATTCGTGGGTAGCATTCGCAAGAACTGGAAAGCCAAGTAGGTCGGACTGGACGCCAATCTCTGGCGATTCATTGGATTACTTATACATCGGTAATCCAGAAAACATCGAAATGAGAAAAACTGACGATTTGGGTAATAAAGATTTCTGGAAACAGCTACCTATTATCGAAAACGAAAAGCTTATCAAGAAAGATGGAAAAGATGAATTATAAATATGAAACATAAATAACTTATGGTGAAAATCTTTTTTTTGTATTTTCATAAAGAGAATTTTCCTTCCTATTATTTATTATAGTCGAGTGTACGTCATCTTGATTTAAAACACTACCTAAATATATTGATTGGAGAAGCGCGGTGTACGCGTAGTTCTGTACTTCATCCATAGATGGCAACTTAATAATGCAAACTTTATAAATCCAGCAGTTTCCTTTGTAGCCTTTCCACAAATCTTATTCAACCATTTGCGCGACCCGTCGTTTCGCTGGGATCCTATCTCCGAAATTTTTAAATAAATTGAAACCTTGACTTTATCATTGAAATGTTTAAAAGGTCAAATAGCAATTATTTTCGAATGTAAAAGAATTAAAAAATAATTAATTATGATTAAAAAAAAAATCTGAAGAAAACACTTTAAAAATTCAAACTACTCCTTTTATGTCCAAAGTTGGAATTTAAAATTTTGTTTTGTAATGAATCACAAATTTTAATATTGGCTTCTAAAAATTACATTTACATTGAGTTTATTTAAATTGTGAATTTCGTGTATTTTTCTTATTAAATTGCAATTATGTATTAAAATAACAATATAATTAAATGTTTTTTGATAATTAACAATAAAAATTTGTGTTATTTAATATCCTGCAAATGCAATTTACACATATTTGGCGGATGCGCCGGATAATTTATTTCCAGTTTTGTTTTAATCATAATTATATTAATTATATTAATAATTATATTAAAACTTAAAATTAACACTGCATAAGAAAATCTTTTATTGCCGTGTTAAAATAACTTTTGATTTAATAGAACTTACGGTTTAGTCTGTCGACGTCTTGAATGTATCTGAAGATCTAGAGGTACCTCAGAAAAAAATCATAATAAATTATAATTAATAACAGTATAATTTTGAATTACACTTTCATAAATACATATGATTAAAAACCTTTGAAATATTTGTCTTTCACAGTTTTCTCCTAAACAAATTAATGTAGAAAAGTGGTCAGCGAAGAATTTGTTCATGAAAATCTATAGTTAACTTAGGAAAACTATTTTATTATATGGCTAAATATATGCAAATATTAATCTGCATAAATTTGTGTCCAATACTGTAAGATCTACCAATTTATTATCTATGTTTAATTATTGTTTACAACAATCTTCAATTTGGTTAAAAAATTGTACTGCTATAGTATAGACTTCTCCACACAGAACATAATACAAATATAAATTTTAATTTCGTTTTTGATCAGCATATGTCTAAATAACTACAAAAAAATAACAACAGAAAATGAATGTCGAAATAGTTTGCTTGTCTAATAATTATTATAACAATTTTATATCAAAAACATTTAAGTGAAGATTATTAATAAGATCTGATGAGGGCCACTTCACAAAGTCGTATTACTTTAGTTGATTACGTCGACATGTGACAGTTAACAAGGGTCGCAAATATGAAACAAATACACCGACGACATCTTGACAACAAATTTCCACAAGTTTCTTAAATTTTCCGTAACGTTTAGGAAACTTGCGTAACTTGCAAAACCAATAAGTCCTTGCTGCCGGTCGCAAAGTTTCGCAAAGACTCAACGTATTCCCGACGCGCACGTAAATGATAATCTTTAATGGACGTACAATCTCACGCAAATCTCATTAAATCGCTGAGATATAATATAGTCACTCGACTATAAAATTATCTTTTTATTGTTTGAATATTATAAATTTAAATGCATTATTTCATCAAACTATGATGATAATAATTGGTAACGGATCATCTATAGTATAAAAAATGAATTGCAAAATCTGTTGGTAAGCGCATAACTCAACCACGCTTAGACCAATTTGGCCAATTCTTTTTTTTAAATGTTTGTTAAAGTCTAACGTTGGTTTTTACGGCGAGAAAAATTCGAATAATTGCCGGGAAAACCCTGAAGACAGCTCTTTTCTATAGGATAAAAGTTGGCATTGAGATTCAATCATAGTTATAGTTAAATAGTTGAATTTGAAATGGCGTGCTGAAGTGCATTATTAGCAATTCTTTATATTATAGATTTCTTTAAAACAAAATTGCGAATCTTATTGATAGAATTGATACATACTATGTCAAAAATAAGAGAATAAAAACGAATTACATTTTTATTAAACACTACTTTGAGAAAAGCTAGTATAATATAAAATATTATCATAAGTACACAAATAAATTGATTTCTGCGCAGTAATTAAATGGGGGTGGAACGAAGTGATGTTTGATTAATGAACTTGCACCGCGTCAAATTTATACCTGCTTGTTATTTAATATTTAATCACCGCTGAATGCAAAAAAGTGCCTGGGGTAATTTCAATATTATTAAATCGGTATTAAAATGTTGAGACGTTACCAAATTAATCGCTGTCGGAATAATTCATTCGGCGCGGTCTGCAGGTCACAATCACACGGGTTTCTTTCACGCCAAAAAGTAACAAAAAACGAGTAGATAGGTATATTAAAAACTCATTTGGCGCGTGTTTTTTATGTGCCTTCATTTTTCTTTTCACTCGTTTGCAAAGCTTTATTATGGCTTTTTCGCTTTATTGTAATGATGCTAAAAATAATTAGTGAAATTGCATGCCCGAGGCGTTTGCAAACGAATATCAATATTTGTTTCGATGTTTCATCGAGCAACCAAACCGCAAGACCTGCCTATTTGTATTTGAACAACGTTTGAAACTCGACACGGGAGTTTTCGCGTTATTTCACTCCGACTTTTGCGTGGATATTAATATGAAAGTTTATTACTTTGAAGCCTAATTAATTTGAGAAATTTTGAAGGATATTAACATCTATAATTTTGATATTAGTTGAGTAAGTCAGTTTAAAATAATATTAATTTTTGGTGGAATATTCCGGATTCTAGAGATGATTGTTGTATTGTTTAGTAGAGCTGCGCCGCGTCAAAGCTCCATTAAGCAATGAAAACGGTGGCAATGCAAAGAGAAATAACATCGCGAGCAATGACGGCCGGCGTCATGAATAATTCCGCCCACGCCCATACAGCCCCTCAGCAGAAATCTGCGACTCCGACAGGCGGCACTCAGAATTCCCGCCGCAGATGCGGAATCTGGATGGCACGCGAGTGATTCTAATATTCTAATACCTGCTAATAGATTTACATAGCATGCATTTTTAATCAAGCGTCTACACTGAGAAGCAGCTGATTTAAAGAGGGGAAAATCTAAATTTGTTTTTGTTGAAAATTCCCAAAGATATTTGGTTTGATGGTCAATTAGTTAATTTAATTGGCGTGTAAAAGGTTGGGTGTTTGCATTATGATGGAATGATTTAATTAAAGTTAGTTTCAAGGAATGTTGCAATTAAAAACGTGTAATGTCAAACATACATCTATAATATAAAATGAATCGCAAAATCTGTTGGTAAGCGCATAACTCAACAACGCCTAGCCCAATTTGGCCAATATTTTTTTTTAAATGTTCGTTAAAGTCCAAGGATGGTTTTTACGGTAAGAAAAATTTCAATAATTGCCGGGAAAACCCTAAAAACAAAGTTGGCATTGAGATTCAATCATAGTTAGAGTTAAAGAGTTGAATCCGAGATGGCGCGCTGAAGTGCAATATTAGCAATTCTTTATATAATTAATTGTTTTTATTTAAATAAAATTGAGAATCTTATTGATAGAATTGGCACATACTACCTATGTCTAGAACAAGAGGGTAAAAACTAATTACATTTTTATTAAACCCTTCCTAAACGAAGTTGCGTTCAAATACTAATTGAAAATAAAAATTCAAAAATTAAAAATACAAAATTCAATTTATTAAACTGAAATAAATTAAATCTAACACATGTGAATATTTTCCATCAATTATCTCATACAACCCCTCATTGGCAGACAAGTTAATTAATATATTATTTACTTTATTATTATTTACGCTATTTACTGCCGCGTATAAAACACTCCGCGAACTTTCCATAGACTATGCGTGCGAAACTCTCGACGTATTCACGTGTAAAAAGCACATCGTTAATCATTCCGCTTGATTGAGTTTTTTTCCTCTTTTTCAATTCGCGCGACTGTGCGCCGTCGCCGAAGAAGTGATTAGAAATCCACGGCATGCGTGCGCGAAATTGAGGAATCGAGCAATTGAATTTCGCCGCCAAGCGACGCATGAAATATGATGTATGAAACGTATTCCCAGACGCACGACAGGAAGTGCGTGGAATGCTTTTTCAGGCAATGGAAACAACTATAATAGAAAAATTATGCAATCAGATTTTGAGGTTGAGTGCTATACTCTAAATTATTCAAAAACAATCTCATAATTTTGAACAATTATGAGATTTTGTGAAATTATTATAAAATTATTGAATTAACTGAAGCTTACAACTGCAAAATATTTTGATGTTTTGGTGAATAATTTATGACCTTGTTATTTCAGTGGCTTTCATTCGCCAATCATAAATCAGCAATAAACTTGTAAACATTTATTTTATTTTATTCTGGGATAAGAATTATTGAAAACACTAGTTTTCCCATTTCCTCATTGGCGTCGACATGGAGTGGTTTATTGGAACATGATTGTATCGCACTTTATTGTTCAGATTGCATTACAAGTTTTACGTTCATCCGATTTTAGCTTTTACGACTTTATACGCAAAACCGCAACGAAAGCACGCGAACATAATGCAATACGCCAATATCAAGATTATGTAGTGGATCGTGTCGTTAGCATTCAATCCTTTCAGTTTTCACTAGCTCAAATCCAAATCCTTGACTGCAAAATAAAAAAATATATACAAAAAAATAACACTTGTGTCGGTATGTCATGCAAGGTCTGCTTTAGGTCCGCCACCTTTGCTTGAGCTTTGTTGCCCTCGGCCTCTGGTAGCACCCCATTAAAAGCGCTTTGTGCTTTTCTTCGTGCGAGCTTTTCGTTTTCCTATATACTTTTGGCTTTACTATACTACTCTTCGTTCGATGCATTGGTGCGGTTTTTTCTGTACAGACCGGCCTCGTCAATAGGTGTTGCGTCGTGGGATTCCGAATAATAGCTCACTTCGAAGTGCGGCTCGAGCGGCTTGTGGCGGGCGAAAGTGGGAAAGCACACGCAGGGCCTTGCGCGGAAAAGCGCGCACGCGGGAAGCGCGAAAGCACAGGAGCGCGCCGCGG